CAAGACAGTCCCGTCGTAGCCGCCTCATGCAAACAACATACTCGCTTTCATACTTGGCAGAGTACTCACCGTTACATGACTATTCATTTGAAAGGAAAGCCATAAGAGACATCCCTTCCCGTGTTGTCGGCAAAAGCTGACACCGATGCCGTGATGTATGTAAGAAATGTCGGTCATTCCTTTTGCAACGTGCTGCGGCTTTAAGAGAAGCACATCATAAAGCCGTCTACTCGCACCATTCCTTATTAGAAAAACAACACTGCACACATTTTCTTACTTTCCACACTCGTCTAGAGGTAAACACCACAGTTTACATGCTAAGCAGTAAGAAGCGACTACTTTTATGGAGAAATCTCACGAGAAATATTTTAATCACGTAGTATTTGGACAAAACCGTCGTTTTTATCACTATTTTATGCAAATAGCATAAAAACTACGTCAAAATATCATTCGGGTTGTTTTCATACTTTACACGCCATGTTGTATCAGGAACGCATGGAGCTATGGTGAACTGACAACAAATACTAACCAAAAATTACGTTATGTAATTCAGAAATTACATTATTTTTATTTTATCCAGTATTCGTCTGCACGTCCTCTTACTTGCCTAATGAAACATTTAGAATGGGAAGACTAATAATAATTAACAATATAATCCATAAACACACTCAATAACACTATGTAATCGTAGAAATATTCCAAAATACTACAACGCAATGCGCAATTATGTTTATCGCAATCAATACACAAATGCTATTCAAGTATCAAGTGGGGAATTGAAACAAAATACTCGATACCTTATTTCATAACAACATTCCTTAGTACAATTTGAAGTGAAGAATAATTAAAAACACAAAAAACAACAAACAATACTATCGGAGTTCGTCGGCACCTCCGGAATCGATACTTATCGAGCATCGGACCGAATAGTCACGGTGACAACGACCTCAGACACTTGGTGACCCAGTGCCTAGTTACTGTAAGCATGCAATAGGCACACAGCTCTTATCATCTTGCTAATCAAATTAACAACCTGCACTCACTCACGTAGCGTTGCAGTTTCATATCGTATCTAAATCTGTTCGCATGTAAATGAAGATCGTACTTAGCAACTACTCCACCCACGTATCTAGCCAGTCAGCATATTCTAATATATCCAAACAAAAATATAAATCTTCAAACATTGAAATATTACAGTGCAAGAAAATGTTAAATTACTTTTGAATTATTTGAAAAGATGGTGTAAAAAAGTTCGGAACGTGATTTTTTGTAGCCGAATGTTGTAGGCTATGAAGCTTATTTACGTTTTCCTGCCATCATACATATAAAAGTGAGAATAGCACACAATTAGAGGTCTAGTGGCTGTTGGTTACAAGTCAAGCATCCTTAGCATATGAAGCATTGTGACCTATTTTAGTCCGTAGCCTTACCGCTACGCTGGGAAATAGAATGACACGGTCTTACTCTACTTATGACATTCATACACGATGTTTACAAAGTTATATGATACATAATAGCTGTCAAATATTGCATGGTTAATTTATGTACCATTACACATACTATTAACTATGTAAACCTAACTCAAACATTAATACATATAATATGTTTGTATGTGAGTGTTTGTATTAATTGAGGTGCCTCTTTTCTTTCAACCGACTTCCAAAAAGGAGTATGGTTCTCAATTCGACCGTGTATATACTTTTTTTTAAGTTTACTGATATTTTTCAGTCAAAAGTAGACAGCGAAAAAATATGTTGGTGTAGGTATTAATGCCTGCCGTGTCCACAGATTTACGGCTCACACAAAAATTTTATTTATACATCAGGTATAAGTATCGAACAGCGGTCAACATCTTTTCGTAGTAGTTATACGTCGAGATCCAGAGATTCGAGAGAGATATAATTTCATTATATTTATACACATTAATTAGAAAATGTTTAAGATACAAGCAATTAAATAGTAACATGCCTAAACCAATGTTTTTCATGAATCATTATACAAAGAAAGGCATTATTAATTATATTATTTAATAACATATTTTCTGGGAAATTAGGACCACCATAATGCTTCACTTTAATTCGATCACCTTTGTACGTTAACAAACGATTCGTCACTTGAGCATGATTCATACAAATTCGCAGTTGAAGTGGATATGTACACACTTTGTGCCATAAACAAGCCGGTCACAATACGCTCGTATTCAGACAATTATCGTCATACTAACCAAATACCTATTCTTGAAAACAATTCTTAAACCACAAATGAATGTGTAAATAGGTTACTATAGCATCGAATGGGTTAATTTGCAAACTATAAAAAAATAAGTTGTCTTCTTTATTAAAAAATAGCAATAATAGAATAGTGACTTCCTGCAGATTTTTGGTATAAAAACTATCCTATGTCCTTTCAGAGTTCCAAACTATGTCTGTACCAAATTTCACTAAAATCGGTTCAGTAGTTTAGGCGTGAAAAAAGGACAGACAGACAGACAGAGTTACTTTTGCATTTATAATATTAGTTTGGATTTGGAAGTTTCGATTAAATAAAGTCAATCCTAATATTGATTTGTAATAAAGTAACAGTAATAACTTTAATAAATTTAAGCAAAATGTGACGTAATTATTTTATCACATTTTCTTTTAATTAACGTAACGTTTATTGATTCAGTGGTAGCATAAAGATCGCTGGTTCATATACATAACAAACCACTGTCGAGTAAGCTTATATTATACAAATGTTTTGGGCCGGTAAAGTGATAAGGGTGCTCTTATCTCAAGGACGTCCTTCAAGTCTCTTCAGTTGTAGGTTAAGCCCACCCCATGACCTATTTTCCCTCACGTCCTAATTTTCTTTTCAAACATTACCGAGATTAATCTGCTTATGGTGAGGTGATGAGATAGAAATGACTAATAAAGATATTTTTATGCACAATTAATTAATTAGAGAAACAAATGTTATAAAACCACAGCTTTAAGATATACTGTATTAATTCATGATTTTCTCTTTTACAGTACATACAATGTGTTAGAATTTGTGTGATGGACAACAAAGAGAAAAAAATATGTTTTTGTGACAGCTATAAACTATATTTTATGGATGTTAGTAGATAAGATTTTAATGTTGGTCATAAAAGGAACACTGTGCCACAAACTAATACAATATTAAGTACACCAGTTACACAAAATTATAAAACCAAACATGTTACTGGCAAAAAAAATTTCATTGTATTTTTTTTTCTTCGATAGTTACCAAGTAACTGATTTGTTTCCAGGGCCCGTATAGCAGCCTGCCGCATTCTCGAGCGCGACCTGCATGCATTCCTATGCGCGTGCGCAGTCACCGACGCTCACATAATTCAAGCCTTGACCTGCATTGCTAACGAAGCCTGCAGGCGTACCAGATAAGAAGATTCACTGACACTCTTTGCAAAATTAACTAAACATTTAAACACAACTAGCTGTTACTACATTCCATGGCGAAACACAGGCACAAGCACACGCGTTGTACTTACATAAAATTAAAAATCTTAATTAAAAAATTAAAAATCCGACTAGTTATAAAAACAGCGCGGTCTTCGATCGACTTCCGAAGGAACTAAGTATTTACTGAAAAGCGTTCAGATTCGTAATAGAATGAATCAAGAATCTAAATACCACTGACGTCAGCACTTGGTAACGCATACAAATCAATACGAGTTTAGTTAATCATTCATTTACACATTCAACTACTTACAACCGTTTATGTTGTATGTATTGTTTACTTTGATAAAATGTTGCACAGCACATTATATCAGGTATCTAGTTTTCTGAGTCTCATCTGACAGAGATGGGACTCAAAATACTAGAATTAAAATATCCGAGCTCGGTATCTTAGCACCTATTGTTACATATCATTTACATTTAATTGGAATAACATTTTTTTTATTAAAACTTATCTAAAACCGTAGAGCGTTGTACCTAAAAACTATAATAAAAACCATTACAATTGAACTGTTCGCATATTGCTATTTGCCTACTTATGTATGTATTTTTCGGTAAATTTATGTAAATATACAATACCCAAAAGTCGACTTGTTTACTCAAAATTGAATTGTAAATTAACTTTGTAGATAAAATTCATTCACCGAAACATGTCAATTGCTGATTTAAAACATTGTAAGCAATTATTTTAGGTTTTGCTATCATGTCTACAAAGGTTTGACCTCGAACTCTGTTATAAAATATGTAAATACTTAGATAATATTTCCACCATTTAATTGTTTTTATTCACTAATTTAGACAAACAATTAAATTGCTAATTTTTGCCTAACTAACTAGTTGAAAAGCAGGTCTCTAGAATATAACATTTTTAAAATCCCTAAAATTCAATCGATCTGAATATTAAATAAAGAAATACCTACAAAATCTGTAAGTTATTACAAAAAGAACACTTCAAAGAATTTTCTTTATTTGTATTTAACAGTATTAACACTGAACATTAATATATTTATAAAGCAAGTACCTATATGACAACGTATGAGTCAACGTGCGGACGATGATCGTCATTTTGTCATGGTAAATAACATAGTAGGTAGGAACCATTGATTCACTCATTGAGATGATTTATAACAAACATCATCCTCATATTATCGCTGAATTCTATCAAGTTGTCACATCTACTAAGAAGAAATTCGTTTAATAAAATATAGTATGACACTGCTTCTTCGTAACTGACTACAATGTGGTGTAGCTTAATGTTGTTTATTTTGTTTTTAGGTCCGCAAAAACCAGACAGGTATATCTGATAAAAAATGGTATATTGTATAAATATAAATAAATCCTCAAAATCCGTCATAACTCATAAGATTATTGCACGTTCTAAATAATCAGACATCGCAATGAAAATAGTTTAAGTTTATAAACCGTGATGTGATATACGTTATAGTTACTAGCACAAATATGATGAGCAACCTTAATCAGCATATCAAGATTGAACGAACGAGGTTGTAGACACCAACTTACTTTGACATACCACCGGGTTTGAGATTTTCGGTGTCTGGTTCGGCGACGCTCACAGCTCCTGTCTGCGCGAGCCGGCGACCGCAGCGCGTGGCACTGCGCCGCCAGCGCCTTGGTGCGCTCTGCCAACGAGTGCCGCAGCTCGCCCCCCACACACCCCCGCACTAACATCTCACCCGACCTCCACTTGCTCCACCAAAACACTGTCATCTACAATATTCGAAATACCACTCATCGCGATGCCTTCACTACTCCGGTGACCCCAGCTGATTTTGTTGCAGCCCTGCCTAATAGAGAGAAATTCTGCTTTACGATTTCGTTCTACCAAATGGTTATGTAATCAATGCCAAGATAAGAACCTTTAGTCATCAACTAGGAATACATTACACACAACAATAATTAGATTTGGTTGCTAAAAATAGATTGCTTTTAAGTGTAGTCTATTTTAGATTAGATGAACGAGATGAGGCGTCAAGGTCTAGGTCGGGAGATAAGGTCGAGCGGGCAACAAGCTGTTTATCATTTGATATGACGAGTTAACTAAACGCATTCTGGCGGGCAACGACTTGGTATGGGATATCGACTATGTGTCACTATATACTCTTGCGGGAATAACACTAGGTACATAGTATCTTTTTATAATAATATCTTAGTTATACTTGTTCAATATGTTTATTTCCTTTAAATGGGAATTACCTACACGTATAATAAAGTTTAAAGCAAAATTTTAATCAGTTTTCTTTTTTTATAATGCTGTCCGTTGTACTATATAATGAATAATTATGTAGGTAGAAGACACTAGTATCTTATTGGACGACGATGATGATGATGATGAAAATAAAATATGATCCATTCCCGTATTGGCGCTAATTGTTACAGCTAAGATGGGTTCACTACCTATCTGCTGTGTGTAATGGTGTCCATATAGTTTAAATCATATGTAACCAATAAGTAACCAAAAACGGCTTTAACCATGTGACTTAGGTAAACGCACCATAATGAAAAGATCTTAGGTTTTAGTTAGCCGAGGGAAAAACCTTTAGAATTAATAAATATAATTATACCACGTAATATAGCAAACAATTCATGTCACAAATGATAATACTCCTATTTGTTGCAGTACAAGTACAAATAAGATAATCTATAGCTAATAAGATATAGCTTCAGATAAAAGTACTCTATGGTAATCATGTTGACATTTAAGTGCGGTCTGTAGTAAAGAGTGCTTTGATATCATAATTATAAACTCTATGAGCGTCCATTTTGCTCGGGATTTAATTTCCCCAGTAATAAACTTTCCATAAATAGAACTTTCGAAAGGTCAACACCAGAGGATTATCGTTCATTTTAGTTAATTTCCGAGGAGATATTTCTTCATTACAGGTTCAATTTGATTGATAAACCATTTTTTATTATATTTGTCATTTAATTGTGGCGTACACGTGACGTAGGTCATATGCTATCTTCAACATTATCCTCTCTCTACTATGAGTGGATTGCAATGTGGATCGAATAAACAAAGTTAGCTTAAAACTTGATCAAATAAACAATGAAGAATATGCAAAACATATATCTAGTTAATTTTATTCTAGGTTTTTCAAATTATTTACAATTTAATTATAAAAACTAAATAGCAACCAAAAACCACTTAGGTATAGGTAAGACTAAATTTTAACTACTTCTTCTTCAGCTTGTTAGAAAATGCTTTTAGATTTTTTATTTCGTTATACCTGTCCTGAATAACTAGTTTAACTGCTTAAGCGTAGAATACATGTCTGTAGACTAGGTCGATATCTGACGAGGAAATTGGATAATTGAGGAAGGGAGCGGCCGCGTCGACGTGAACTACTAGTAGATACACACGGTACATTAAGAGTACATTTACATTTTTTTCTATATGAGTATCGCATGTTGCAAACGAACCAACCAATTTATTTTTAAATCGAAAAGCTTTGGTAGAAACACATAACTATGTTGTAATAAGACAAATTCCATCCTATATTTTCATCTCTAAACTTGTTTCCAACGTCTTAAAAACGCTGCGAATGCAATAAATTGCAACAGTAGTAGTGTCTAACGTTCAAAGGAATTCTAAACAACTCCTTACTGGGTCAGTGTGAGTGTATTTTAAGATATCTCGCTCGTAAACCGGCATTAATTGATGTTTAGCTTGAGAAATACGTTTTCTTATTATGTTTAGTTAAGGTAAATAACGAAGAGCTGGCGTCTAACAAGGTAATGATGTTGGTCTTCAATTACAATGTAAGCTGTATAGGTACGTATATGTGAAAGATATATTTACAAATATCATTACGTAAAGTTATCAAAATAAAGCCATCATGTAATCAAACTTTGTAAGCCACCAAAATGCAAATGATGAGCTACAACGCCAGGTGTTTTGAATGCAATGCCCCGAAATTTCATCCTTGCTGCTTGCGAATGCGGCAACATTACCGAATCGCAGTGAAAACGACAGGTGGCCGACAACTGTCGTCAGGTGCGCACCGTACAAAGGACCGAAAAGGTTTTTAAAATCCTACCTGGCTTCCAAACGCGCCACTCTCATTTATTCATCTACCCATGCCAACCGCGACTTTTTGCGTGCACTCTTTGTGCAAGGCTTTGTGTTTGTATTCATTATCTAGGCACTAGGCAAGCTTATTATCACCGTATAGAAGAGCAACGTTCTCTGCTGTTTTAGTGCCTACAAAATTCCTACAAAACTACTGTTTGTGCGGGTATTTCAAACTAGCTGTTCTTAAAAATATTTTTCTTTGTTGTGTTCTAGTTTGTAAGTGAATGTCTTCGTCTCAGATTTGCGTTTTTTACATTTTTTAAACATGATTAGATAAGATTTACTTGATAAAAATGAATGATTACATAAAAGAGAACAGTAAATTATTCAGTGATCACAGCGTTTACTTGTATTTGAAAGTCGTTGATGCTCAATAAGTTTCGAAACTAGATTTAATATAATTTAGTGACCGTGTGATCTAATTCGGCACTAACCACAAACATATTAGAAATAAAAGCTTGCTTTTGAGGGTAAATTTAAAAAATCTACTTTAACACAAGTATATTTCACTCGAAACATTATCCCCATGTTGGAAATTCACTTATTATGATTTACTACAAGCCCTAAACAGTTGAGTGCCACAATTGGTATCAACCGTAGTAACTTCGCAGAACGACGGTAGGAGATTAAACTTATGACTGATTATTATGTGTACTCGTGGATATTTGTTAGTCATCCTCAACGTCTAATGAACGTCTTTGTACTCTGAACTTGAAAATAAAAGGTTTTGTTTAAAACTGTGTTCCATTTAAATGCGATCAGCTGATGTTGACCTTAGCTCAGACGATTTTATGGACCAATTTATCCATAATAATAAACAAAAAGATTCTTGGTTTCTTAGCTTGGCATTAACTACATACCCTGTAGATAACCAACTAATTGGTATAGCAAATAATTACCATGCAAATTACACTTGAACTCAAAACACGTTTCAAAATAAAAACACAAAAACGTTATCGCACTGAGCACAGTAACAGAAATCACAAAGGAAACACAATGGAATTTTATTCATTCAACATTAAGTTCACTGGTTTATTCACTAAAAGTACTTAAACGAGATTTTTCGGAAGTGTGTTTTATCACTGAATGTAAAGTAAGAATGTTGACAAGTAATGGCCTTCCGCACTCGACGCCCGGCGCGCGTCGTCTGAGCTCGCGACGAGCTCCATCGCACTACACCGAGGCACCGAGGACTGACGCGACAAGGAAACCACGCATGTGCAGGATCTCTCGGATTTTCCGACACGCCACTATCATGACGTTGCATAGCTACGTCATTAAATCAAATCACCATAGTAGTCAATCACAAACACCATTACAGGTAAATAGTAGCAGTAAATATACGTGATAAAGCTCTCATTTGGAGTAGACTGTAGAGTATAAGGGATTATGTATAATAATGGATCGCAATCTATACTAATATTATAAATAGGTACAATTAGTAAGTTTGTGTGGATGGTCGGGTCTAAAATTCGTTCACTGATAGATAGCTACAATGTTTCTTCTCTTTTCTAATCTTTCTCTCAGATTAAAGTTTATAATTCAGGATCATTTAGATAACCTTAAATGTTAGTTAAGTTTTTATATCAGGTATTATTCATAATTTGTCATAAATACATATATGACAAATTATGAATTCGTCCCTTATTCAATAGTGGTACATTCAAAACCACTTTTTTAAATATCTTTTTTATTACATACAGCATTCCAAGGAGTTCGCGAAAATTTAAATATCGGCATATAAAACTTGAATCCCACGAAGAACTATATACCATGACACTAATACTTGTTTAAAAACATCAGAAATGTAATAAAAATAAATAAATTAACTGGAGTTCTAATGACGTGAAATATTTTAAAAGAAACTAAAAAGAAAATGTTAATGAAACAACAGAATATATTTTCCTGTTGCTAATCTTTATATTTTTACTCCTTTTCTTTTCACTTAGTACATAATACGTATATTTGATGTGACAATCCCTCATCACCATCACCATGTCACCAAACAGTTCAAACGGCATCTTTTAGATAAACTTTTCTCACATAACAACAACTTAATCAGATGTCGGATATTTAAAACACAATATATTCTTTATTTATAGGAAAATGAAATTGAGAAATTCGAAAAATTATTAGTACGCAACGAATTATAAACAAAAAACTTACATAACTTTACCAGCTGGTAAGAGTATAGTTACTTAGTTGTTATGTTAAAAGTAAAATTTTTTACAGTTTTACGTGTCCACATATTTTACGTGGCCAAACACCGACACCCGGCATTGCAATAGCGATGCTTTTACTAAGAATATGGGACAAATAAATATCTTACCTTTTTATTGTATTAATTAATTTTGGTATTTATCCACATTGATAGGTACGCCAACCTCACCGTACCCTCTTAGTTTTAATAACCCTAACCTAAGTTATTGAATTGAATGTGAGAGAATCATCCATTGGGTATCTTTGCTAACCTATTCAGTCTTTCTAATCTTAATTAAGACCCATTTACTAAATAACTTGCACCATTTGGAAATCGAATTATTTCATACTGCTTACTTTCATTATTTATTTAATTTAATTTACTTAAAAGTTTATATTTAGGTGCTTTCAGAGTTAAAAAGACATGAGTGATGGATTGAATAATTACTTAATTGTATGTGAGTATGACATGTTTAAAAGATCTCAACGCGCGATAGGTACCTAACCATCTTTCTTTTGTTACAAAAGTATTTTTTATGAGATTTGTCTTAACCATAGTAATTTTAAAAAGCAGTCACCCCTTTTATAGCATGTGTATAGTATGCGTGTGAGTATTTTCTATTAGGTCTGAAGTGAATTTGGTTAAATAATCCTTATTGGCAATAGGACGATAATCTTACGCAACTAGAGTAGTAAGAGTACTGCTAGTAATTTGAAACTTACCTACGAAGTTATATTTTAATAATAATTTGTGAAACGGGAGCAATTAATTTTAGATACAGAAAAATTTAAGTACACCTTAAATTTCTTCAGTCATTAACAGTAGACACAAATAGCAAAACATTTTTAGTTTCAATATTTATACAGACTGTCAGTTATCCAAACACTTATCAATGTTGGTAATATACATAGTATTGTAGTCTTTATTTGGTAAAACGTAAAATATATTTTTAGTTGATATCGGAGTGGTTTTTTTTATAAAACAACTTGGTTATTACGCGAGCTCTTACTCAAAGTTCTATAGAACGCAATGTAACGTGAAAGTGCTAACCGAAGGTCCGGACTCCGAGCGTTTCACTTTCTACAGAAAAATGCGATTGTCGAAATGTACGCGCACAGATGTTAAACTAGCAAAATGATAGTTTCATTTTTATCACACAAATAGGCTAGCCTTAGCAACTCAGAAGATGACCTATTCTTTAAATCACGTTAATATTTGCATTCATCATCGCCATCACCAATTATAGTGATTTCAAAAGACAAGTTCAGACTTTCTCACAATGTTTTCTTACATCTTTTGTCAGTGGTGTCTAAAAAAACTTTAAACTTTAGTACCGCCTGCTACCTACATATAAAAATACCCACTCTGAGGTACCTATATAGGTATAAGTCGGAAAAGATAACATTGATTGTTGCCAGCATTTGAACTTTCATATGATTTTCGGGCCAAACGCTTTAACATCCGCGGTAAGTACTTTTTTTAATTTCGGTTTGGTTAGCTTAGGTTAGGTAAGCAAAAAAAACACCAAATGAGATACGTATGAAGCGACGATAATTCCATTATTCTAATAGTCAAACATTATGAGAAGATCAATTAAATGTTCGCCAATTTTTAAGTGTTTAGTTGTATTTTTTGTTACCTCATTTCATACTTGCAACATTTTGGGAGCGAATGGTTGGCATGTCCCATATCAAATAAAAAAATGAATAATGTACGCTAGGTTTCATTTATCACAGAACAGAAGAAAATATTAGAGTTAACAATAGTTCAGAAACTGGAGCAAGCGCGTGTACAAGCCACTGCACTGCCACTAGTCCCACGAACACTTTCAACATTTTGCGTTATTGCCAGAATAATAAAACAAATATCGCAATCTGCATCTGTGCCATACTTTTTATGAAATGACAATGTAGCGATTACTTAACCATATTTTTCGTTTTGCACACTGATCAAGCGGAAGTTATTGTCAACTCAGCCCAATTTGTCAATGCATGCAAGGGACGACTGTAACCACTCCAATATTGAGGACGATGCTTGTTTTGAATCTGATAATTTTTACTTGTCTGCATGTTTGCATTCTGTTAATGGAATTTCTAGTGTGTATACTTAACATGTAGATAATGTTTAAAAGGTACCATAATTTTATTATAAGTTATATGTAATTTGGCCTCTTCAGTCTTCACTAATGTGGGCGAAAAATAACTCCCACGCTTTGAATCATCAACCGACCAAACAAAATTTCTAATTAAGAACATTTTGAATGAATAGAAAAATGTACAAATAATATCTGTTGATAGGGCCATGATTTATTGCGAATCCTTTCTAGGTTTCTAGGTAAATTATTGCGTTCCATGGAATTCGTACTGTTTATTTTCCCGTTAGCCAAGCGATAAAGGCTATTTTTACTATTAATGTAACCGGAAAATATTTTGGTTAATATTATCTAGTTATTTGTTGCATATAGGTACTTATTTTAGAAATCTCGGATTTGTAGTAAATAAATAGATAGATACTATAACATTAAATCTTACAAGTAAGCAGAATGTACCTAGACATGTAGCCAGCCTTGAACGTCACCACTTCAAGTAGGTAAACATACACAAGTTTTAAGTATGCAACATTGACCATCTCTAATATGATCATCATTATAAATAGCCAAACTGAAATCGCCTCTGTAGTTTTCGCAATCGTGATCTAATACAATAAAATTGTTGTCAGTAGTCGTCAGTAGTCGTCAGACAGCTTGCCGTGCTGTCCGCTCAAGATACCACCGGAAAGGGTTTGAGAAGTATTAACGAATTGTGATAATAATATTACTAAGTGAAAGTCTAAAAATGATATTACCAAGCTCTCAGCATCCTGGCTCATCTTTTTCTACGCATGGTTCCCGTGGAGGAACCGCGCTGTGGCGGCGTTGCTGCTAGAAGCCAGGTAATCCAAGACACTGCACCATCGCACGTCACCATAACAACACTCCACATTCCATCACTGCATCCGCGTCCAACATATGATCGCGGTGGCCGGTGTCTCTGACGTCACTCGCTTTCTCACTACTTCACAAGGTTATTGTTGTTTTAGGTGCTGGTCGGTCCTGTGCACTCAATCACTTAAATTCAAACAATGATACCTTGGCTGATGAATTGATTCGTTTCGCTTTGGCGAGCTGTAGAAATAGTGTTCGCGTGTGAGCAAGTACTATCGTGTGACGCAGGTAACGACTTTCGCGCACGAACTGAGTGAAGCACGTCCGCGTCGTGGCACCGCTGCCGTCGCGCGCGCACCACGTAACGGCACAAAGCCCCCGCCTCGCCGCCACACTCGCCACCCCGCCAACCAGGCTTCTCCGGACCTGCCCTGTCTCACTATAGCCTGCATGCCCATTTTCATGTATTGGTTTCACTTACCACATTGTTATTACTAATGTTAATCGTTGTGGTTTATTAACATTTCCATAAGTATTTATATCAAAGCTACTAAGCCTGGCAAGCCTAAGGAAAATAGGAACGAAACATTTTTAGGGACTCTTTCACTTTCACGCATTTGTTATTATGAAATAGATATTAGTATGGATGTTACCTACTACCTTACTTAAAATCTTTGATCAGTCTAAATTATTGACTAGGCTTTAAAAAAATAGGTAGTTAATTACCGAAAAATAAACACACAATTCTCTGCCTGTCCCATGTACCTAAATGAGTTTGAAATATTAATCTAGGTCACTAATGGCGTGAAATACCTACTGAAACCTCAATGGTGACAACGTGACAATATTACACCTCAAAATTATTGCTCATATTTTAATCATATTGTTGGTTTTTGATATAGTAAAATAACGCGTCTAATAAGTAGTATTTGGCCAGTCTTAATAGCACGTCTTGGCGGATAACATTATTAGGTCTTAGTAAGGTGCCTTATGAAAAATATCTTAAAGGAACTTAAGTACGTATTCATTACGTACATTGCAAAATATAAAGCAAAGAAGGTTCCCACTGAATGCGCATTGTAACCACACATTTAAATTCTAAACTAACCCCCACTTTTATTTAGTTGCTTAGACTATAATTCCTTCCATGGAAGAAATATTAGAATTATAATCCTAGGAATTTTACAATAAATAGGAACTGCCCCGAGCTCATTAATCGCTCTCACATCATGATAATATTTCTTGATGTGATGTCGGATATCACTAACGTAGTTCTAAAATAATATAATTTACAAATCAACAAATGCAAGTAGTACAAAAAAATATTGACTTCTTAAAACTTTGTTTCTTTTAATTGAAAAAAAAATACCGTTCTAATATTGTCGGTATTCCAAGATTTGATATAAGTTTCTAACTTAGATTTAGGTTAAATAACTGAGTTTCAACTTAAGTTCTAAATATGTTCCTGTGCCGTCGTAACATGTCGTGTGGCGCCAAAGGCCTAATGATTTCATACATTGACTATGCTTACACACGACCAAAGCCTATTTCAAGGCTTTTGTGGTGTGTTGTATCGTATCGAGTGCTGACAAAAATATGATAATGGGGCGTCCTTCCTGTCCTAGCCATGCTCACTAGAAATTACGACGTAAAATAATGAAGATTGTAAATTTTCTGGTGCAAAAGACAGGATTCCCGTCTTTTGCACCAGAAAATTTATACTCTGTGAATAGAAACTTGACAGAGATCGCCGTGATCGGTGACGTGTGACGTCAATCAGACAGATGTGCTGTGACTGCTGTGCAACATAAGTTTTGGTTTTGGTGAATGCTGCGAGCTCGTAGTTTTAACTTAAAGCGAATATCAAGTAATGGTCGTCATACTTAAACAAAAAAATTATTAATTGCAGAAAATGTCGTATAATACTCTGAATACAGAAGAAAGGTATGGTGATTCCACGGTTGAACCAACAAAACACAAACAACAGAATGATCATGATGATGACAGCAATGAACCCCCTCGCAAAAAGCTCGATACCGAAGAACATAGCTCTGTAGTAGCTGCCCACTATAATCATCTAGAAGAGAAAGGTTTAAAAGAACGATTTAACTCGCCTATTTATTACCTCCGTAATTTTAATAATTGGGTAAAAAGTGTGTTGATTCAGGAGTACACGGACAAAATTCGAGAGAAAGACTATGGTAGATCATTGAGAGTTCTAGATATATGCTGTGGAAAAGGTGGTGATTTAAGTAAATGGCAAAAAGCCAGAGTAGAACATGTCGTGTTTGCTGATATAGCTGAGGTATCAGTTCAACAATGTCAAACTAGATATGATGAGCTGCGTACACGGACAAGGGGTGGTCGACTATACTCAGCTGAATTCATTGCAGCTGATTGTTCAAAGGACAAATTAAGAGACAAATATAGAGATCCTTCTATAAGTTTTGATATTGTGAGTTGCCAATTTGGACTCCACTATAGTTTTGAAAGCTTACCACAAGCAAGGAGAATGCTCACTAACATATCAGAGTGTTTAAAACCAGGTGGTTACTTTTTTGGAACCATTCCTGATGCCTATGAAATTGTGTCCCGAGCGCAAAAATCTAATGGCTCATTTGGCAATAGGATTTACAACATTAAATTGCTTTTTGATATTGAAAAGGGCTATCCCCTCTTTGGTGGAAAGTATGATTTTCATTTAGAGGGAGTTGTGGATTGTCCAGAGTTTTTAGTGAATTTCAAACTATTTACTAAACTTGCTTCTGAGTATGGCTTAGAACTAGTTTATAAAGCAAGATTTGCTGATTTCTTTAAAGATCATTCTGAGAAGTACAGACAACTGTTACAAAAAATTGTATGCTTTGAAAGTTACCCACCACCTCCAGGAAAAGAATTAATTGCTGATGAAAAAGAATATGAACATGCTAAGCAGTATTGGGAAAGCAATGAAAACAAGACTGAACGAGACAGAATTGGCACTATGAGTTCAAGTGAATGGGAAGTAGCCAGTAAGTATAAAAACTTAAAGTTACATTATTTGGAACAACCCAACCTGCTGCTAATATTAATATGTGGTTTTATTTCATTTTAGCAGTCTACATGGCATTTGCATTCAGAAAACTGAAAAGTACTTGGGATTCAAATGGAAAACCTGTATATTCAAAGCCAAACAATGAATAAAATTTAGTTTAATAAGTTAGGTTACAAGATTGATGGTATAAGTGAGTGGGTGCGCCTTGACATTATTGTGTTTAGTAAATTCTAGGGGTATATGCTAAGTCCTGTCATGTCTTGGTGTAATTTCACTATCTGAATCCTCGAATATAGTATCATTATACTGCTATGGTATTTTAATAGCCTCTGTTAATGAATTCATAAATAATGACTACCTTTAAGTATAATGATGTACCTAACTTAATAAAAGATTGTTAATATCAAATCCTAAACATGTGTATTTCTTGACGAACTCATTAAAACCAGTTCAGCTATTACAACTGAAAAACCTAAAAGAGACTTACAGAAAGGAGCAGGTCTCCTGACTGAAATCACATTCTTCATAAGAGACCCAAAACAAATATAGTATATAGTTTTTTATATAATACCTGTCCAGCTTCCACAATGAATCATCATCATGGAAACATCATGTTTAGCCTGGTGATGTCTGATCTGTTTGGGTCTGGTTCCCATATTTTCCCTTTGGGTAAGGGCGAGGCGAGATGCAATGTCATGCCAAAGATTATTGGGAGGCCCAGTAATTTTTTGCATTACCTTACTATTGTACAAAATACATAAGACGAATAATTGCGACTGCACGGTTGGCGCGGTGTCTGGGCAACTGGCTGCCGCGCAACGTGTCGCGGGTTCAATTCCCGCACGGAACAACTCTTTGTGTGATCCACAGATTGTTGTAACGGGTCTGGGTGTGATGTGCATGTGAAATTGTATGTTTGTAAACGCACCCACGACACAGGAGAAAATCCGAGTTTGGGGCAAAATCTTTAAAAAAAAAAAGCAAGTGGCTGGGGCGCAAGGACAACATTTCTCATTCGCTCACCTTTGTGAGCATGACGCAGCTCAGAAGGAAACGGCTTCCCAGTTCTTCTGACTCTACACCATGGGCTGAACTAAGGCCGGGCGCAAGTGGTCAACCCAGCTTTGCTTCACTCGCAGCTCTCACTGCCGTTTGCTTTTCTTGAATCCGATACAAGCACCTCCCGAAACTTCTTTTTAATAATCAGCCACAAATTTGGTAAAGGTGGACCTCACGATGGCCATATATCCGCGGTTGTTCGACATCATTAAAAGGAAGTGGGCACTTAAGTACTTAATTGAACCTTTATATTAAATATAGGTACTTAAATAAAAAATATGCAAATACAAAATTCTTTATTGTGGTATATCATCATTATCATCATCAGCCTATTAGTGCCCACAGCTGAGCAACGGCCTCTTCTCACACGGAGAAGGTTTGAACATTAAACATCACGCTTGCTCAATGCGGGTTGGCGATTTCAAACTTATGATTAGAAAAATATAAGTATAAAGTCCTGGTTTCTTCACGATGTTCACCTTCACCGTATGTCAGTGGTGTCTAAATAATCATAGAAAGTACATATAACTCGGAAAAAGTCACATTGGTACTTGCCAGGTTTCGAAACCACCCCCTCATGCATGAGAAGCGGGCGCCTTAACGTCGGGGCAACCAACCACGACCTTGTATTGTGGTACCTACATGGTAAGCAAATAAGTGTTACATTCACAAATAGGTGATCATACACAAATAAGTGGTTCCATGTGCTTAAATAGAGAAAATATATTAATAATTTTAAGATCCAATTTTATACCTTGGTATTTCTGTTTCAAAAACGTTGCCCCAGAGAAGAACTTTCTCCTGTGTCGTGGGTGCGTTTACAAACACACAAATTCACATACACAACTACCCAGACCCGAAACAACAATTTGTTAATCACTCTGTGCGGGAATCGAACACACGACACGTTGCACAGCAGCCAGTTTCCCAGCCATTACGCCTACCGTGCAGTCTTATATAATCTCAGCTTTTTTGTCTAAAGGTATCATAATTTTTCAAGAAAATAAAATTATATTATTTAGGTACATAATACCTATGTTCTATGTACCGATCATAATAACCGATCTCGTGTAGAGTGTCGAGTAGAGTAGATTAATACATTTCTTAAAATCTTTACTCGTGCCGCCGGTAGAGTCGACTAACGCAATATTAACAACATCAATTTTTTGCATTAGGTATTTGTTTGAAGTTTTTGTCAAAAATCCTGATCGATCCAGATACTTTAGATATTTTATGAATTTCAGCCGTTAGGTTATAAAATCGCAATCTTTAAGCGATCGATGGGTACATGTAGTAAGTACCTCTTTTTATTACAATACAGTGTTCAAAATGTTGAAGTATGTTATTTGACTCTATTAAATTTCTCTCTTTTTAATACAACAGTGTAGTTTTGACTTTACTTTTTATGTAGAGAGTACAAACTCAAAAAGTGTACATTCTATATTTATAATGTTGCAACACCAAAACCTGTTCTACTCTGAACAACGTCCTATTTAGAACATTGAACCAATTCACCTGAAGTTATCTACAGTCTTGGGAGGAAAGGCGCATGCGCATTCGTCACCTCTCAGCACTTAGAATTTGCGCTTGCTTGACCGGCCCCATGTAATCGTATTGTACTAACGTCGGTCGGTAATACGTAGGCAAAATGAGTGTCGAAAATCCCGCTAGCGACAATGATTGTGAATCAGTAAGTGGTTAAATAAATTCCTATAGTCTAAATTGTCTAATTAAATTACGTTTTGCCCCAAAGTTAATCTGTATAACGCTGTTTACTGATCCAGTGTAAGTCTCCACGAAGCGAAAATTTTCTAAGTCCCAATATGGCGTCAACTACAGTGTTCGTACAAGCTAAAGCAAGCGTCGGTTTGGAAAGTTTCGGGAATAATAATCTACATTATTATTTTTAGAATTTCGTTAGATTTGTATATTTCACTAGATGATGACAATTTGTGTCAATTTTTGGTAATGATTCAAAACTCATTTTGTTCTCAGGGAAAGGTAAATGGTAACAGGAATGAACACGTGAACGGTGTTCACAACGGATACAGCAGTTCCGAGAAGCATAAATCCAGTCATAAGTCTTCAAGCAAAGATAAGCACCGAGACAAAGATAGGGACCACAAAAGCTCGTCCAAACACAGCAGGTTAGTTTTCCAGAAAGTTCTGTATTTTTATGCCCTCTGCATTGTTCATCTAGTTTATCTATGCATTTTATCATACGTATGTTTTATTTATTTATAGTGATAGAGACAAGCACTCCTCTAGTAAGAACCACAGCAGCTCACATAAATCGTCCAGTAAAGACAAAGATCGAAGTGAAAAAGATAAGGAGCGCAGTGATCGTGAGCACAGCAGCAAAGACAAAGATCGCGACAAGGACAAACATCGCAGTGACAGAGAGAAGCACAGGGACAAGGACCGTAGTGACCGTGACCGGGACAAACATAAGAGCAGCAGCAGCAGCAATGAGAAGAAATCATCCTCATCATCATCTTCTAAAGATAAAGACAGAGATCATAAGAGTTCATCCAAAGATCACAAGTCTAAAGAAAAGGATAAAGAACGTGAAAAAGATCGCAGCAGAAGTGACAAACATCGCAGTGATAAAGAGAAACATTCAAGTTCTAAAGATAAACACAGGTAAGATTGTTAATTGGGTGCACACCATTTTCATGTATATTTTCTTAATAATGATAAACAAAATATATGTATCTTTTGTAATACATTTTGAGCCAAATATCCTACAGTGAAATAATAAATCCTAATTCCACTGGCAGCAAAAAATTTAAAAAGAAGAAATTGTATTTTTAAAATGTTACTTGACAAAGGAATTGTCAACAAGTAGTGTCAAAATTATATATGTGTTTTGAGAAATAATTCGGTTCAGCTCAAGAAAAGTTGTATATTTTAGATTCTGTATGTCTTGTACTTATATTAACCCTGAGGTTAAATAAGTGAATTATGACAATTATGTATGTATGTAAAATGTTGACATAATTTACTTATTATGAGTTACAAGTAATATTTTAGGATTTTTTAATGATTAATTTAAAATGGATAGTTAAACTTATTTCTAAAGTATATATTTATATTTTAGCTCCAGCAAAAGCAAAGATAAGAGCAGTAGTGAAAAACATGACAAAATCAAATCTGAATCTGACTATCAAGATTCCCCGATCAAGGAAGAACCCATGCAGGTACTTATCTGATATTATAATTTTAGTACAATAGATTGTATATGAATATTTTCTCACAAAATAATTAATTTTTTATAGATAGATCAAGTGGATATCAAACAGGAGAATGATGAAAGCAATGATTATGGAGGGTTAAACACAACGGCTTCTTCTTGTGATTATTCTCTATCACAGTTTAAGGATGAACCACTGTCAGAACTGCCACCTGAAGAAGAAAGTGATGAAGATTCTCCATCGGTAAACATTACATTAAAAACAAAAAATTAAGTACCTTATTTTTTTAAATTATGTAAATGTATATCTTCCTTTTGATATAGTCCGAGCGAATTGGCAACAAACGTCGTGCTCCTAGTGAGAGTGAAGAAGACATTCCATTACTCCAACGTAAAAAGTCTAAAAAGAAAATTAAAAAAGGTATTTAATGCAATATAATTTATCAGCACACTTCCTTTGCATCATTATATTTTGCATTAATATTGAATTTCATTTTTAATTTGATAGAACCTACTTACGATGATGATATGGATGATGAAGAAGAAAAACCGAAAAAAAAGAAATCAAAACCAGTGAAAGTCAAGCAAACTCAAGTGAAATCAGAGCCTAATGATGGCCCTAGTCCTACAAAACGTAAGAAGAAACAAGAAGATGAACCTGAGGTTTGGAAATGGTAAGTAATTTGACTCTAGTTACATAGTAATATCGAAAAGGTATTGAAGAGTGAATTCATAACCTCTTTGTATAAGTTCGTCAGGTAACCAATAGATGGCGTTGTTGTAGCGCAATGTGCCAAAATTTTGAGGTTATGATTTGAAAATGTTCTTCAGAAATGTGTCAATAAGTGTTTTACAAATAAAATCGTTTTATAAGATAACACTTGTAAATACAATACTACAAAATCAAATACGCCGTAATAAGTTCAGTTGTTTGTAGGTATATGAGATAATCGTGTTTATGTACTGCTGGCAAGTTCTCGGATTTTAATATCATTATTTTCGTAGGTGGGAAGAAGAAAAGAAGGATGATGGAACTAAATGGAAGTTTTTGGAGCACAAAGGACCTGTTTTTGCACCGGATTATGAACCTCTACCTGAAAATGTTAAATTCTATTATGATGGTAAAGAGATGAGACTTTCCCAGGATGCTGAGGAAGTAGCGGGATTCTATGCTCGAATGTTAGATCATGAATATACAACTAAATCTACATTTAACAACAACTTCTTCAATGACTGGCGTAAAGTAATGACACATGAAGAAACAAAAATAATTAAAGATCTCTCTAAGTGTAATTTTAAGGAGATGCATGCTTATTTCCAAAGTGTTTCAGAAAAGAATAGAAATCGAACAAAAGAAGAAAAAGCGGCTTTGAAAGCCAAAAATGAGGAAATCCAAAAAGAATATGGTTTTTGTATAATAGATGGTCATAAAGAGAAAATAGGTAATTTTAGGATAGAACCTCCTGGCCTATTCAGAGGCCGTGGAGAACATCCTAAAATGGGGATGTTGAAGAGACGTGTCATGCCAGAGGATGTGCTGATTAACTGCTCTAAAGATAGTAAAATACCTAAACCACCTCCTGGGCATAAATGGAAAGAAGTTAAACATGACAACACTGTTACTTGGTTAGCTTCATGGACAGAAAATGTACAAGGACAAGCTAAGTATGTTATGTTAAATCCTAGTTCAAAGTTGAAAGGTGAGAAAGATTGGCAAAAATATGAAACCGCTAGAAAACTTCACAAATGTATTGATGTCATCAGAGAAAATTATAAAAATGATTGGAAAGCAAAAGAAATGCGTGTTCGGCAAAGAGCTGTTGCTCTATACTTCATTGACAAGCTGGCATTAAGAGCAGGCAATGAAAAGGATGATGACCAGGCAGACACAGTGGGCTGTTGTTCCTTGCGTGTTGAACACATTGCTTTGCACAAAGAAAAAGATGGGAAAGAATATGTTGTTGTGTTCGATTTTCTTGGTAAAGATTCTATCAGGTACTACAATGAAGTACCAGTCGAAAAGCGTGTCTTCAAGAATCTCGAGTTATTCATGGAAAATAAAAAAGACAGTGATGATCTCTTTGATAGACTCAACACTCAAACTCTTAATGAACACTTAAAAGATTTAATGCCTGGATTGACTGCAAAAGTCTTCCGTACATACAATGCATCTATTACACTACAAAGACAATTAGATGAACTCACTGATGCATCAGCATCAATACCAGAAAAAATATTAGCTTATAACCGTGCAAACCGTGCAGTAGCAGTACTTTGTAACCATCAACGTGCTGTTCCCAAAGGTATCAAAACTTCCGTTTGTATGCATGAATTAATTTAAATGTTTAAAATTATAAAGCAGGCAATTCTACAATATAACATCAAACACAAAATTTGAAAAAAGATACAATCTTTGTACTGTGCATAACATAATATTTATAATTCTAAATTGCAGGTCATTCAAAATCAATGGAGGCTTTGAAAGAGAAAATACAAGCTAAACGTGATCAAGTGGATGAAGCTGAAGAAGACTTAAGAGAAGCAGCAAAAGCAGCCAAACGAGGTTCTGTAAAAGAGAAGCTAGCTTGTGATAAGAAGAAGAAAGCTCTAGAACGTTTGCGAGAGCAATTGAAAAAACTAGAACTCCAAGAGACTGATCGTGACGAAAATAAAACAATTGCCCTTGGCACTTCTAAGCTGAATTATCTCGATCCACGTATATCAGTAGCTTGGTAAGCATAATCTGACAGCTATCAATGGATTAAAATTACATGTTTATTGTAAACATTGCTACAATGTGTTTTTGTTTCTAGGTGCAAAAAACATGGTGTACCAATTGAAAAAATCTACAACAAAACTCAGCGTGATAAATTCCGTTGGGCGATCGACATGGCCGGTCCGGAATATATCTTCTAAGGTCAATATTAGCATTAGCTATATTTTATTTTTATTTTTTTCTCTTAAATCTGAAAACGTTCCACTTGTTTACATGGAATTTATTTTATGAATTTCTAACGTAAATTTTAATCAGTGATGTAGTATTGATTTAAAATATTTGGACCCAAATGGAATAGTGTTCCTCCCATGATTAGGATCCAAATTAGAAGTCTGATTCTAATTTATTTTATTTAGTTACAATGTTCTCCTTAGCTTAATTAGTTATAGGTTAAGATTAGTGTTAAATGGGAGTTTAAGAGTTTCTTGTATAGATTTTGAAACTTTTCAATGCTAAAAAGTACTATTTTAGTTACGAGTTTTGAAGAAACTTCTTATTGAGCTGTTTTGTGATTTGAGAAGGAGCAGTTCATTTTCAGTTTTATGAGTGGTGACTTATGTAATGGTTTTCAAGTTATATTTGTATATAGGTACCAGCTCTTTTATTTACGTTTTCTATTACTGTACTAAGCGTCACAATCGCTACTTAACTACATACTATCTTTGATTTATGAACATTTTAAATATTGTTCTTAACATTTCCAATAAATCATAACTTGAGAACCCAAAAGAGTAAAGCCGTATCAGATGTAATGTAAATTGTGCACAATGTGTGCAGTAGCAAATGTTGTAAAGTAAGAAATAATGTTATTTTATTTTTATAAAATTAGGATCGGAAATCGTGGCAAGCGCAGTTCATGTTACGAAAGGTACAATGCTATAGGTAAATTTGTAATATTACATACATTTTATGTGTGCATCTGTATATAGTAAATTTTTACCATGTCATACAATTGTGAAATGAGATTATCCCAAATAAATAAAACATTGACACCTAGTATTTAAATGGTTTAATTTTCATACATTTATTCATTCAAGTCATCACTGTCTTGAAAAAAGTTTTTACCCTCCATTCCCTCTGGCATATAGTTTAATCCTGACTTATCCTTATGCAGCATATTATAACCTCTTGCATAACCTAAAAACAATTTTCACATATCACATTAATTAACAATTTATATAGATACTAACTTTATAACTATTAGGTACTAGCGGCCCGCACCCGCTTCGCACGGGTCCAACTATCTCGCTATCAAGGGGTCTCTTTTCCCAATTTTCCCCTCTACTTTTCTAATATTTTTTTTCATAAGAACCTTCTCCTGACAATAACAAACACAACAAAAAAAGAATTAGCAAAATTGGTCCAGGCGTTATTGAGTTATGCGCTTACCAACACATTTTGCGATCCATTTTTATATAAAAAGATAAGACTGAGAAATAAGTACAAATATCTAATAATAACAAAATTATTTACCTAGTTCTTTCATTAGCTTCGTAGGCGCATTACGCAAATGAAGTGGAACTGGTGGAAGAGGTCCTTTTGCTTCCATCAATGATTTTCGACATCTTTTCATAGCACGGTATACTTCTGTACTTTTAGGTGCTCTTGCAAGTCTTACTGCACATTGTGCAAGCAGAACATCGCATTCCGGCATCCCAAGCTGCTGACAACCTTGTAAACATGCCATAGCTTCCACTATCGCAGACTGATCAGCTAATCCTAACAGAAAACACAAAATAATCTTGGCTAAGTAAATGCGTATAAGGTAGAAATACTATTACCACAACTAAAATTTTAAACTAAATAATATACTACCTAATTATTGGCCTGGGGTAAGACGTATTCTGAAAACGTGTGCACAATATCGGTGTTGCAAAAAAGGATGAAATGGGTATCCACTTTACCTGCTTGTTATAATTATGTTAACTGGATTCTGTGGTTGTTTGCTACCTATGTGACAATGAGTATGATAGAGACTGATGTTTAAATTACTGACCTATATCTTCACAAGCAGCTCTCACCAGACGCCGCGCAATATATAAAGGGTCCTCGCCTCCGTGCAAAGCTCGCGTGGTCCAGTACAAAGCAGCGTTATCGTCACTGGCACGAATTGATTTGTGTATAGCTGATACGGTATTATAGTGTTCCTCTCCTTTTCGATCGTAAACCATGTGTGATCTCTGTAATGTATAGGTACGTATATTAATTTAAAAATCTACAATAATTAAGCCAGTGTAGTTCAATATCTAACATCTCTCTCGCTCCGAACAGTGGGATGAACTAAAGCCGGGTGCGAGTTTACTAACCATACCTTAATACCATCAACAATATCTTCAAATCTAAGTATAGCTGGTTCTGACCGAGCTGTCTCAGGAGCTCTTGCAGCAAGTGCCAGTTCTAGGGCACCTAGCGCAACCCTTGCATCTCCATCACATATTTCTGCTAACCATTTCAAAGACGCTTCTTCCACAATACACCTTTAAAATAAGAACATTAAAACATTTTTAATACACATACCCGCGGGCCTGTTACCAGTGTCCTTCCCTAGTGGCTAACCAACACAGGAGGGTTCGTATTCGAAAAGGTAATATTAGGATGATGGAAAGGGCTTTTAGGGCAGTATGTACAATACTTATATACTAACGCAAAACACCGCTCAAACAAGGTTCTTTCATTTCGAGTCCACTAACAGGTGATAACAACATTACCTGTGTGTAGCTGTTATCAAAAACGGGGCCGTTTTGAATGATAGGTCAAGTCCCAAACTAACGGAATGTAGGCACTTACAGGGCAATGTGTGTAAGCCGAATCAATTAAAACAATCTGAATCAAAGGGGTCGCAACTTGTAAAATAATGTTATCAAACAATGGAAACACGTCTTATTTCTTACATTCTCACTAAATCTGGGGTTGCTTCATAAATGCTGTTTTGATTTAAATTAATTTAGCGGCAATTATAACTTAACAGCACTTAGTAGTCTTTAAAATGATCTAATTTATTATTAATAAATTTCGCAAGTGAAGGAGACTCGGGGAAAGGATGTATCTCAGTAAGGTGCTGGTAGGTGTCTTGACCATACTTCCGGGATTGCTCTGATAGCCGTAGGATACTCTCATTCCACAGCAGCTCAACGTATGTAGCCACCGTGTCACTACAAGCTAGCGGCCGTTTCCGAGGGCCCATTAAATGAGTTTACCAGTCTCCCCCTGCGTGTTTATCCATATATGTAACAGTAACCATATAATTTTCTACCATATTGCTCAATAGTCCTACATCAACCGGGGATTGTACTTTGGTGCACACAGAAAGTTGTTCAAAGGGCCTTTGTGAGTTGGCCTCGGCCTCTCGTATAGTTATCACTACTGAAATAAATGGAAATAATTTATTATGACGCTTAGCGCTGTGCTTGGGGTGTTGGCTGTTGTGCAACATGTTGAGGGAAAGAAGGAATAATTGTTTGTGTAATCCTTAAATGGGGCCATATGGGCCACTTTTAAATCATACTTCAATTCAGTTTTTTAGCAGGAATAAGTAAACATTTTGTTTTATCCTATGGAATGAAATGGAATGGAAGGAAGGAAACACAACACTACTACTTCTCTAACCATTTTTCTGTAGGGCTTTTTTTTTTTGTCTGGGGAAAATCATCCAATGAATTCTCACGCCCGGTGTAAGGCGAGAGAGAGTGTCAGACTCTTACTGACTAAACCCCCCCCCCCCCCCCCCCCGTTCCTTCTTCTGCTCTGGGCCGAGGTCGCGGTGCCTCATTGCGCTTACCCCGCAGCCCCGGCTAAACATCAGCCCTATTGGACCCCGACTGTGGTGGTCTATTGGCTCTTTGAGGCGCGCGCGGAACGCTACGAGCCGTTCGCTCGGGTCCGGTTCTGGTCGGGCGGCGAGCTTCCCTTACTTGCCGTCCGCAGACCGGCGCTTACGGTGGCCGGAGATCATCTCTCGATCCCCGACGTCCGGAATGTCGCCTTCTGCGGCGGCTGGGACGCGAGGAGGATAGTTCCGCTCCGCCTCCTCCTTTGCGAGCATAACTGCTTTATTAGAAGGAGGAGATAGCTTCCCAGTTTCTCTCACGCTGCACCATGGCCTCAATTAAGGCCGGGCGCGAGAGGTCGCCGCCGCCTTTCTGTGAGGCCTGGTATCACAGTGATAGCAACACTTAATTACAAAGTTAGAGTTATCTTAAAACATACCAAGGTAAATCAGCTGAAGCTGTCTTTTCAAGATCTAGTTTGCCATTCCCAATTATTGCTTTTCCAGTCTTTTTAAGTGCATGCTTTAGTATTTTTAATACATCATCAGCACTTAATTTTTCCATGACCACAACCCTACATCTACTTAACAGTGCATTATTTAAACTAAATGAAGGATTCTCAGTTGTAGCACCAATAAGAATAATTGTGCCATTTTCTACATGAGGTAGGAATGTATCCTGCTGCAGTTTGTTGAACCTGAAAATGCATTTTCATACAATTATTAGAATGTATAACACCCTAAATACTAAAATGATTATATTTTTACTAAAAAATACAAGCATAGTGTACAACATAGTGCGATAGTCACAGAACTCAAAATATAACATAGTTGGGATGACTAAAATCAGTCTTATGAAACATTAGATACATATTTTTGGTTTTTTTATGGAGTCATATACTTTCCAATGTATATGTCGCAGGGATATGATAAAATCAGGGATTTGGCCAAATCCCTAAGGGATTTGATCAAATCATGGAGGATGTTAAAATAACAACACGTTTTTATCATTTCCCTAAGCAAATCTAGTGATTTGAACAAATCCCTAAATTTATTTAGTGAAATGATAATAAAACATGTCCAGTTCTTGTTTACAAAGTGTGGGAGAGCCATGCTTTGGCACGAATGGGTTGGCTCGACCGGAGTGATACCACGGCCTCACAGAAAACTGGCGTGAAACAACCACAGCGTTGTGTTTCGCCGTGTGAGTGAGGTTACCGGAGGCCCAATCCTTCCCCTCCCCCAATCCCTCCTCAATCCCTAAATCTCCAAATCCCTAAATTGTCGGCAACGCACTCGTAACTCCTCCGTTGCTTGCTGATTGCTTACCATCAGGTAATCCGTCTGCTCGTTTGCCGACCTATTAAAACGTCGCGCTCGCACTTGCTTGTCAGTGACCGCGCCTTAACTTAAACTTGACGTATGATACGTTAAGTTATTCTACTTATATTTTTTTTTTAATTTTTGTTTCTTTTTTTTTCGATTAATAATGTTCTAGTGGTGATTTTTGAGATTAGTATTGCATTGTGATACACCTGATTATTATAATTATGTAGGTAATCTTACAAAATAAACCTTAAATATATCACAAAAATTATTTTTGTCATTTCACTGAACCAATTTATGGATTTGCTCAAATCACTAGATTTCTTTACTGAGATTTGTCAAATCACTAGATTTGCTTAGGGAAATGATAAAAACGTGTTGTTATTTTAACATCCTCCGTGATTTGATCAAATCCCTTAGGGATTTGGCCAAATCCCTGATTTTATCATATCCCTGCGACATATATATTGATTTGAAATATTGTGACATTACAACTTAGTACTCTAAATACTAAGCGATATGCAACCATTCCTACCCTTACAATTGTATAGCTCTTAGTATTATTTCATATTATAATTATGATAAAATAAATATATGTCTAATTGATGTTCATTATGTAAGTCTTTTTAATGCTGTCCTATGTTCTAGATACCTGTGGATTTCATCCATAAACAATACAGTCTGCCTTTTAAACTGAGCTTCGTTTTTTGCAATTTTCACCACTTCCTTGACATCATTTATTCCTGCCATTGTAGCAGATAACTTAACAAATCTTAAGTTATTCTGCTCTTTACAAATATTAGCAATCACATTTGCCAAAGATGTCTAAAATTAAAAAAAATATATAATTAAACAACACTATCACATTACTTTTTTTAAATGTAAATCATGGATCACCATTGTCAACATAATTAGCCAAAAGATGACCAGTGCCGACCAACATTACATTACTTTATCAGTCTTACAAACAATGGATAAGGAAGTTCAGTTACCTTTCCACAGCCAGGTGGTCCCCAAAGAATCATGTTTGGTATAATTTTATTTTCTATTGAAGATCTTAACATTGATCCCGGACCAAAAACCTGCACTTGTCCAATTATTTCTTCAAGGTACAATGGTCTCATGCGTTCAGCAAGAGGTATACTCTTAGATTCCTTCAACTGAGTTTTCTTAGAAGATTCTGCTAAAGGTGATTTCTATAAATTAACAATACATGGTTAATCCACAAATTAAGAAAAATCAACAAGAATCAAAAAGTCTTATTTTGGTTTACTCACTTCGGTTTTAGAAGTACTAGGGCTTGTGCTTATGCGAGGACGCTTTTCTTGAATAGATAAGTTGTTTAAATGTGAATTATTCCTTTTACAAGTAACTTGATCTACCTTATTTTGCTTAAGTTTACTGTCTTCCGAAGAATTCAAAAACAAACATTTATTAGCATGCTCCTCAATCATCGTTTTTTGATACATTTTATTACAAATTGGACATGAAACCTCTTGAATATCTTTATCACTTCTGATCGTGGCCATTGCAATTTTTAAATATTTATCTGTTTGTTTTTTATAATAATTCAATTGTTAGAAGCTGCAAGAATAACAATATAAAATATTATTTATTAATTTTATTTATAGGTACACATAGTTACGGGTTAACAGACAGCCATCAATCAATTTCTATTCAGAGGGTAAATCTGGAAAGCGCTTATATTAATAGGTATTCACATTATTCTATAAATGTATGTCTGCACTCTACTATATTAGTTAAATATTGTTATTTATTTTCGAACATAAAGTTCGATGCGCCTTTTACTCAAACCAAACAAGTTTCAACTTGACTTGCTAAACTGACAGTGAAAAAATTTTCTATTTTCCCGCGGAGTTTTTATCCTGTGTGGTTTGATTTTCTAAACTTACTATTTAGGCCTAGACCACACTAAAGTTTGACGAACTTTGTTCGTATGACAATGCAGTTTTTCATTGAATGAAGTAAAATAAAATTAATTTTGTTTTGTTTCTTTTTTTCTATAAGTGATACATCCATGTCATCAATGTATCTTTGTCAAAGCATTGGTAGCTTTTTGTTGACCTCCTTGGAAAAGTAAGCTGGACTGGACACGAGGCAACAAATTCTTCAAAGGCATTTTATACTGACTCGTTTAGGACATTGTTTGCCTGCTGAACCAGGGTCCAATCAACTTGTTGAGTGCCTATTGATGAGCTTGTCTAGCCTATTTTATATTGTTTAATTTGCCGCAAATGGCCTAATATTGTTTTGCTGCTAACGTCGAAAGCTGTCGCTATTTCCGCTAAAGATAGAATTTCATCACAAACTCCTTTATAATTCTCATCTGACCAAACTATATAAACGACCACGGGGTCAGCTTTTAAGTCAAAATATCCAGATATTTTGGTGCATTTGCTTCGTAAATTTTATTGATATTGCGTGCCGCTGGTGTCACTTATTGCTGCTAAAACGACGACGGCACACGTACTCGGTACTCCATTATATCTCGAAAAATATTGTGATTAATGTGGAGGGGTAATTTCAACTATTATTTGAACATGATTTTCACAATTTTCCGGCAAGTTGATTACTATTCTAAATATGAGAAGAAAACTTTTAGAAACCATAGCAATATGAGCTGAGACTTTATGTGTAGTGTATTCATATCTGATTCACCCGTAGTCTATGGTGCGCTGACATCAATTTGTAGTGATCTGTGATGACACATGACATTTAGTGAGTTTAGTAGTGACAGTTACAGGTGTTTATTATTTATATACCATTACATACGTATTCAATTTTAATAAAAGTTACTAAAATGAAATTAATTATGTATTCATGAATGAAGTTTGAATAAAACGAAGTAGTAAACCATTAATTAAGAAAATGGATACATATAAAGAAGACAAAAAACTAACGACGAGAAAGAAAAATAAGGAGGTCAGCGAACTTGTAAGAAACAGTTATTCACAAAAATCTCTTATTAGAGAAGATGAAGAAAGAGTAAGTGTTTTTCTTATGCATATAATATTATTATTAGAAGTGGAAGTATCGGTACACGTACCGTGTGTATAGTGTAATCAATAATAATAATTCAATATTAAAAAAAGGACATTTAATTAAATATCATTATATTCTTTATTTTGTTGTAGCAAAGTGATGTTACAGAAGTTGAAGCAAAATCTGATTTAAATTTATCAGAAAATATAACACAGTCACCACCAACACCAGGATTGTATTTACGTTTGGAAATTAATCTGGTGTTCCTTGGTTTATTAGTACTGGCTCTGTGTACAAGACTACCTCACCTTGATGAACCTCACTATATTGTGTGAGTAATCTTACTTATATTATAAATGTGAAAGTTCATGCTTTTTATCAACATACAATGCAAGCAAAGCCACATGTGGAAGCTAGTCCTAAATAAAACAAGTCCTTGCTGTAACCATCATAATTATGTGTCTTTGATAGAATTACTATTAACTTATAATGAATAATTATGATTGTGATTGGTGTCTTTGGCAGTATGGATGCATCACATACTGCTAATCATAAATTGCCACAGTGGAATGTCCACTGTATGCGGCATTCTCCTCCAGCTCTTTTCCCATTTACTTTATCGATCAGCAGCATATTTTTTTTATGTGATAAAAAGTGTACTCCTGGGTTTTACAAGCTATCTTTTACCAGCACAATATTTAGAAGACAGACTGAGATTGAGGCTATGTTAATAATATGAAAATATTTATTTAAAGGTTTGATGAATTACACTATGGCCGTTATGTGTCTTTATACACAAAAGGAGTTTTCTTTTTTGATGCCCACCCGCCTCTTGGAAAGCAGCTATTATACTTAGCTGGCCGTGTTGCTGGTTATGATGGAAATTTCACTTTTGACCGAATTGGTACACCATATACAGAAAATGTGCCAGTTACAGCACTACGGTTAATACCTGCACTATCAGGCAGTATGCTAGTAGCAGTTATTTATCAATTGATGTTGGAAATATCCGTTTATCATTGGACTGCTGTTCTGGCTGGGCTTCTTGTTTTATTTGGTAAGCAAAAAGAGTACCTATTTTATAACAACTGAATAATAATAAAAGTAATAATAACTATAAGTTTACCTATCTTTTTAGCTTATTTGTCGAAACAAGTAAAATGTACATTCACCACCATGTTTTCAGAAAATTGTTTTTTGGCGCAGTCTAGGTTCATGTTACTAGAAAGTATTCAAATACTGTTTGGCTTGTGTGGAGTTTTGTGTGCTATTAGAAGTACTCGTCGGACGGGTTTTGCGAGTGTTGTCTGGCTTTGCTTTGCTGCATTCTCACTTGGCTGTTGCTTTTCGTAAGTATATATTATTATTTAATGCTACATGATAATATAATTAAGAAAATACATGTGTATTTTCTGAATTATATTATACCTTCGGAGAAGTCAAAAGGTAAGAAGCAAATGCGAAGGGTGATACGACTTTACTTCGTTTCAATACCCTATGCTCAATTGTTTATTGCATTTCATATTTATTTCAAAGATGGTATAGAGATCAATATGGATCCTGTTGGGCACAGCTAAATTAGGAGAGAGAGAAAGAAAATTTCACACTTCGCATCAAGCAGAGTGCGCTCCTAGAAAACCAGCAGACGGAAACACAATTAAACACATCATATGCATTATATTATATTTATTTTTGCTAAGTACCTACATGTAGAATTTAGACAATGTATTATTTTTTGTTACAGTGTGAAATATTCAGGCCTATACTCGTATTTCCTAGTAGTCTTTTTAGTGGGAAGACAGATTTGGCAACGTGTTGGTCAGCGAGGATCTGGTCTTCGTCTCGCTTTGTCAGCATTATGGCGGCTATCGATTCTAATAATAATTCCGTTGTCCGTATATGTTGGCGTATTTTATGCTCACTTGACGATGTTGCCAAAAGCTGGTCCTCACGACAGTGTCATGACAAGCGCATTCCAAGCGTCTCTACAGGGTGGACTAGCAAGTATAACTCGAGGTCAGCCTCTACATGTTGCGCATGGCTCTCAAATAACTCTAAGGTAAGTCTTCGCGTAAAAAATGTGGTTTTAATTGTTTATCGGTTCTAAACTAATGTTACGAATTATTTAATTATAGACACACACACGGTCGCACCTGCTGGCTACACTCCCACGCTCACGTGTACCCCGTCAGGTATACGGACGGACGTGGCTCCTCTCACCAGCAACAAGTCACTTGTTATAGTTTCAAAGACGTTAACAACTGGTGGATAGTCAAGCGTCCAGACCAGGCGTCTTTGACTGTCTCGCGACCCCCTGACGCTATACGTCACGGTGATGTTGTACAGCTTCTCCATGGCATTACTAGCCGTGCTTTGAACTCGCATGATGTCGCAGCACCCGTGTCGCCACAATCACAGGTAATCAGGACCAAGAATTACTTACTAGTACCAGTTATGTTAAACTTTAATCATTATATTATGTAGGTACTTAATAGTTCCAGAGCGTAAATAAATATTATGGTTTATTTTTAGGAAGTTTCATGCTACATCGATTACAACGTATCGATGCCAGCACAGAACCTCTGGCGAGTAGATATTGTGAACCGTGACAGTGAAGACGCAACATGGGATAGCATCCGCTCCTTAGTTCGGTTGATACACGTTGATTCTGGCTCTGCGCTTAGGTTCAGTGGACGACAATTACCATCGTGGGGTTTCCATCAGCATGAAGTAGTCGCTGATAAAGTTCTCACTCACCAAGATACCATATGGAATGTTGAAGAACATCGCTATACCAAAGGTAAAACATTCCTCGCGTAAGATTATCACACGGTCATAAGATCTTTACGAGTCTCTTATTTGTTACTTTATGCTCATCTAATAACGACGGAGTAGAAACTTTATTTTATTGTTTCAGCTGAAGACAGAAAGGAACGGGAACGTGAACTTGTATCTGCAGAAATGATACCGACTGCTGTGACACAGTTGACGTTTTGGGAGAAGTTTGCAGAGTTGCAGTATAAAATGATAGCGCACGCGCCCGATGCTCCTCATGGCCATATGTTCGCTAGTGATCCTACTGAATGGCCTCTTCTCGTTCGGTCCATCGCATATTGGTTGTCACCTAACTCGAATGTTAGTATTTTCTTTCATATATTTTTTTTTGTGTCGCGTTGGTAAATCCTCATGGAGCCCCTCCGGCCTTGAAGAAGGGCGAAGGGTACCTACTGTCAGACTCTTACTGACTAAAAACTAACCGGTGTCCCTCCATTTACCCATGTGTTGGAGAGGCGGGTATCGCCGAAGCATCCGTCGCAACCCCCGAGGGGTATTGGCCCGCCAGATAGTCAGGCGGGCCCCGTCACCCACTGCGGCCGTCAACCTGACCTCAGGACCTCACTACGAGGGGCGCTCGAGGCCTGCTGCAGGTCGGACGATAAAACGCCCCGAGTCTGCCGTCCGCAGGCCGCGCCCTACGGTGGCCGTAGGTCGTCCACTCTACGACGTCTAGTGCGTCTGCTGCGGGAGGGGAGAGAGATGGCAGCCTCTCTTTCCCTTTCCGCCGCCTCCTTTTCGAGCATCACGGTCTCGCAAAAGGTAGCGACGGCTCTCCACACTGACTCGCTCAGTCGCTCCCGACCATAGTAGACACTACAGCCGGAAACGAGAGATTTCCCGCAGCACCTACGGCCGTTATCAAGTCACGGCGCTGCTCAGCCTAAGCTGTGCACTCCGCCAACGCATGCACCGCCGTATCGTCGTGGCAATCACCACAAGGGTGGCATTGAACTTCGGTTCCCGGCCCATGCTACAAAAGTACTTCCCAAAACACCCGTGTCCGGTAAGCACCTGCGTCAGCCGGAAGCTGAGGGCACCGAGACTCTTAATGAGTCACTCCTCTAGAACGGGCCTTATCGCCGCTACAGCGGCGTGCCCCTAGGATTTTCATACATTTGCTAACTTATAATATACCTACGAAGCTTACATCATTACAGTACAAGTATCTACTACTGAAACCTCATTCTCACCTTGTTTTTTACAGGCTCAGGTGCATTTAATCGGAAATCTCATAACTTGGTATACTGGAACGCTATGTGTTTTCGTGTACAGCGCCTTTCTCGCCTTGTATGCCATTCGTCAACGCCGTGCGTGCGCAGACTTACCTCCATGGGCATTGCAGAAATTTTACGATGGCGGCTGCATTCTCTTCTTAGGTTACTGGATCCACTACTTACCTTATTTCTTTATGGATCGGACTCTATTTCTTCACCACTATCTACCCGCATATACTTTCAAAATTTTACTTTTATCATTTGTCATAGACCACATATATTATATTCTACAGTCACAAGAAAAAACTCGTCCGCTGACAAATATATTTATTTTATGTATTGCAGCATGGTTAGCTTATATAATTATTACTTTTAAGAAATTTAGTGTCCTTAACTACGGGAATATTAATTTGACTGAAAATGACCTTTTGAATCTCAGATGGAAAGATACTTGGGATTTTATAATCCATAAAAAGGGCTGAAAATATTTTCGAAAATGATTCTTATATATGCGCTGCCATTTCTAAAATCTTGTCACTTTACCTTGATGAATGATTTAATATAATTAGGATAAGAAATATATAATAAATACTTAACAACATGTTGTAATAGTTGGTTGTGGTCACCACAGGACCAATACTCTAAGCTGTATTTTTAAGAACTAATAGACTGAGTGGAATATAATACTCTATGACATAAAATGTATTACTACTAAGTTAAGCTACAAGTCAATCCGTCCATAATACTACTATATTTTGTAAGATGAAAAATAAATTATTTTTATGCTAAACAGATTTTTCATTCAAATGAGAACTAAAGTTAGAAAAATTACATTTATTTTGTAAACAATTTTAATGCAATACAATATGAGGATAATGTAGTTAACGGCGGCTGTGGGTAGGTTCTACTTCCATAGGCTGGGGGCTAGAGACATTCACAGATGTAACCTCCAGAGGAATGACACGCTGTTTCAGCACAGCTGTAGTACCTGGGGCATATCTGTAGGATCCTTGTTTCTTGCCCTGTAAAGAAAATAGCACATTAGTTGTCTTTTCCTTAGTCGCAACAATGAGTGGCTTTTTCATAATAAACAATTATATAGTATAAAAATTCATTGGAAAATGTTGAGGTTGCATAGCACTAGTGAAAAGCTCTTTGGTACATTGCTAGGCAACTAACTGTTAGAAAAATTTAATGTCACTCGTGAATAAAAAGAAGATCATGTTGAATGTGTGCAATATATAAAACTAAATAAATAAACAAATAATCTAAATATTTTGTAACCAAATAAACCTAAATTATCGCTATAAAGTGTCAGTGTTGTCATACTGGAGAAAACCCCTACTATCTAGCCGAAATCTAAAGTGGGAAATACATCGATCACGATTTGGTCTCCGGAGCTTCCAGATTGGTAATAAAATAAGTAGACCACGTTTAATAGGTATTGGGACCCACCACCACTGGACGACTGAAAAGTGCCATGGATTTCTCAACGAAATTAGAGATCGGAAAACTAGAGGGCAAAAACAATTGGCAAACATGGAAGTACAAAATTTCAGTCATGCTTGAGGGTACGGAAGGTGCTTTAGAAGCAGTAGAAAATAGACTTCCAATGCCAGTTTTACCACCTGGTGCAGGAGATGCTGCTCAAAGCACTTATAATGCTGCAATGGCTAAATATAAGAGGACTCAAAGCGGTGCACTCCTGATGCTGACAACCAATATGACTGAAGAAACGTTAAAGAAGGTTATGCGTTACAAAACGGCACACGAAGTTTGGGCAGAACTGCATCGACTTTTTGATAGGCAGACAGAGGACAGGGCTTACAACTTGTGTCTTGAATTCTTTGGGCTAAAACGGGATCAAGAGGATGATATTCCTACACTTCTGTCAAAGCTAAAGAATTTATGGAACGACCTAGTAGTGGAGATCCAGAAAGTAGACGGAACAGCTAAGCTGCCTGATCTATTCCTTATCTGCAAGGTTTTACATACTCTGGATGACAGGTATTTTAATTTTAAGTCGAGCTGGTTAATGCTGAAGCAGTCTGAGAAAACGATCGACAGTCTTACGAGTCATCTCTGCGCATTTGAAAGAGATTTAGGTGGTCCAGAGAGCACCATCCAAAAGGAAGCACTGGTGACTACACCTGCAGAGCAAAAGAGTAAGCACAAGAAGGAGAGAAATGATCTGAAATGTAACTACTGTTCCGGTAAAGGACATAGAGTTAGACAGTGCAAGAAATGGATAAAGGATGGAAGACCACCAAAGCCAAGCACGTCACATTCAGACATTAAATCTAACCAAGTGCAGAACTTATCGCTGATGGTGAACGCATGCACAGTTAATCAAATACAAGATAAAGAATCTTGGTATGTTGATAACGGAGCAACCACGCACATAGCCGTTTCAAGAAAGATGTTTACGGATTTTCGTGAATTCGATTCAAATCACACAGTAACTACAGCGGATGGGACTGTGATTCCTGCAGTTGGAATAGGTTCTATTAAAGTTGAATCCAAGGTCAACGAAACTAAAGTCCATATTACTCTTGAAGAAGTCTGGCTAGTACCATCACTCACAAAAAATCTCTTTTCACCGTTGGCGGCACAAGACAGAGCGCAGAACAGTATTTTTACATCAACGACAAAAAAATGCAAGTTGGAAATTGAAGGCATGACTAAAGTCGTTGGCAGGAGGATCCCAAAGGGAGGCCTTTACAAGTTGGACTTTAAAACGGTAATTCCAACAACACCGAGAGCTATACAGGTAAATGCTGTCACCGGTTCCAATATGCTGCAGCTCTATCATGAGCGTTTTGCACATCAGGACAAGCGGCATGTAATACGCGTCGTAAAACGTGAATTAGGCGTGAACCTCAAGCCTGATAATATTAAATGCGAAGGCTGCATATATGGGAAGTCCCAAAGACAGACCTTTGGAACCAGGGAAAGAGCTACTGTATGTGGAGAGCTAATCCATACAGATGTATGCGGTCCTTTTGCACCAAGCATAACTAAACTCCGGTACTACGTATTGTTCAAGGACGACTACTCAGGCTACCGTATGGTTTACTTCATACGTCAGAAGTCAGAAGTCAAGGACAAGTTGCTGCAGATGCTGAAAGAGGCAAAGAATGCTGGGCATAATGTGAAAACCTTGCTTAGTGACAACGGTGGCGAGTTTGATAATAAGGACGTCAAGAAAATACTACAGGATTTTGGTATACAGCACAGACTGACAATGCCTTACACACCGGAACAGAACGGGTGTAGTGAGCGTGAGAACCGAACCCTGGTAGAGGCCGCGAGAAGTATGATGCATGCAAGGAATGAGTTACCGCAAATTTTGTGGGCGGAATTGATTAATACCGCAGCGTATGTTCTGAATAGAACAGGCCCAAGTCGAGTGACAGACAAAGTTCCATACGAACTATGGCACGGCAAAAAACCTCGAATATCACACCTCAAGGTTATTGGTAGTGAGTGTTATGCACATATCCCAAAGCAGAAGCGTAACAAAATGTCTAAAAAAGCCATGAAAGGCATTCTTATTGGCTATGAAAACGACGATGGATATCGTGTGTGGGACGGACATCAAACATTCAAATCCAGAGACATAACTTTTCAAAGTAATGTTGAATTCACATTACGGTTAGGGTCTGAGGATGCTACTGATACTACTGAGCAAGATGATGATGGAGAGTTTGTCGATGCTGAAGGGGAAGAGAATTTTCCGGCTGAAGGGGAACAGCAACCTCTTGACATAGTTGAGCCTCTGAGAGTAGAGGTGCCTCGACTAGAAGGGGAAGAAGAGGAAATTGTAGTCGAGCCCCTGAGAGATGAGCCCCAGAGAGAAGAGGAACCTAGATATAACCTTAGAGACAGGTCAACTCTTGCTCCCCCTAAGAAGTTCGATGACTACGTCTGCTTTGTAGGCACAGAAAACTTTCCAGAGAGCTACCATGAAGCAATAAGTAGAACTGACGGTGCGGAATGGCGGAAAGCCATGGCCAGCGAGCTTCAGTCACTCAAGGAGAATAATGTATGGACACTGTGCGAGCTCCCGTCTAATAGAAAGGCGCTACCATGTAAATGGGTTTTTCGGATTAAACGACACCCAGATGGAAGCATAGACAAATATAAGGCGCGATTGGTCGTTAAAGGGTTCAGACAACGGAAAGGGCTAGATTATGAGGAGACATATAGTCCGGTAGCCAGGATGTCTAGCATTAGAGCTCTTTTAAGCGTTGCTGCACAAGAGAAACTTCATTTAACACAATTTGACGTCGCGACAGCCTTTTTAAATGGGAAATTAGAGCAGGAAATATACATGTCACAACCTCCTGGCTTTTCTGATGGCTCTTCGAAAGTATGCAGGCTACAGAGGAGTCTATATGGCCTAAAGCAAGCTCCTCGTTGCTGGAACATGTGCATTGAAGACATTCTGTTGCAAAAAGGATTCACACAGAATGAAGCTGATTGTTGTCTCTTTACAAAGACAGAAGGGGGCAATAAGATTTTGTTGGCGTTGTACGTGGATGACGGACTCATGGCCACTACAAGCGAGGCTTTGGCAACTAAATTTTTGAAGGAGCTGGGACAAGCTGTCAAAATCACAAGCAAGCCGGCTTCGTATTACCTTGGCCTTGAAATAGAACGTTCCAAGGATGGATCTATATTTATAAGCCAACAAGCTTATACGCGGAAGATCCTCGAACACTTCAATATGATTGACTGCAATCCCGTCTCTACACCAATCGAAACAGTGACTTCAGAAACAGGGAAAGCACCTGAGAAAAAGTTTCCTTATCGAGAGGCAGTAGGAGCCTTAGCATACCTGATGACAGGGACGCGCCCCGATATCGCGTATGCTGTTGGGGTAGTATCACGGAAGTTGGAGAATCCGACAGAAGCTGATTGGCTGAGAGTCAAGAGGATCTTCAGATACCTTAAAGGAACAATGTCCCATGGCATCAAATACAGTTCGGGTCCTTGCAAAGCTGTAATTCGAGGATATAGTGATGCAGATCACGGTGGTGATGAGCTTAGTGGACGCTCAACCACAGGCGTTATTTGTATGTATGCTGATGGAGTTGTTTCGTGGCTAAGCCAACGTCAAGCATCGGTCGCGATTTCAACAACCGAAGCGGAAATTGTGGCAGCGAGCGAAGGTGCACGAGAACTTGTGTGGCTTCAGAGGATCTATGCTCAACTTACAAGTTTGGCGGACATATCAACTTTAAGCGTGGATAATGAAGCAGCCATTCGCCTTGCCCACAATCCCGAATTTCATAAACGGACGAAATACATCCGAATACGTCACTTCTTTGTACGTGAAATTGTGCAAGAAGGTCTATTGAATGTGCAGAAAACTAGCTCCACAGAGCAATTGGCTGACCTTTTGACGAAGGCAGTACCAAGACCCAGACTCGTTAAACTGAGAGAGGATTTGGGTCTGCAAGATCTTTCCAACTAGTGAGGGAAAGTGTTGAGGTTGCATAGCACTAGTGAAAAGCTCTTTGGTACATTGCTAGGCAACTAACTGTTAGAAAAATTTAATGTCACTCGTGAATAAAAAGAAGATCATGTTGAATGTGTGCAATATATAAAACTAAATAAATAAACAAATAATCTAAATATTTTGTAACCAAATAAACCTAAATTATCGCTATAAAGTGTCAGTGTTGTCATACTGGAGAAAACCCCTACTATCTAGCCGAAATCTAAAGTGGGAAATACATCGATCACGATTTGGTCTCCGGAGCTTCCAGATTGGTAATAAAATAAGTAGACCACGTTTAATAGAAAATACCTTGACATTGGCTTCCTCATATGTCCTAAGATACTGAGCAGGTCCTGTGTTACGAATGACACACAGATCAACATTGGATCCAGATCCCAAGTCATTAAAGATACCAGCCGCAATAGCATCTCTAACAAGTTTCTTTCCCTCCTCCTCATTCATGTTTGGTTTCCAACCTGCCTCAAACACAGCCATAGCAGCTAATGAACCGGAACCTGGTTACAAATAAAATGATTTAATTGTTAGTAACATGTTTAAATGCAAAATATCAATGTTCAAATGTAACAATATATTTACCCATAGTGGCATAAGGCAACTTATCTACAGATCCATGAGGGTAAATGCAGTAGATATGGGGCCCAGTTCTATCAACACCACCAAGCACTAGAGCAGCTCCAATGTAGCCTTGGTAACGGAACAGCATTCGTTTCAGAAGAGTCGCAGCAGTCTCGACGGGAACCGTGCGACCTGTATGCAATCGCTGCAACTCCAATTGTGATGCAACTGTTTGTGTGGTCATTTCCGTATCGGCAGCGGTGCCGGCACCACAACAGTACATATTTCCAGCAAGGTAATGAATTTTCTGACAGTTTTTGTCAGACACCACAGTGTTTTCAGTGGCTCTCGTGTCAGCACCGAGAATTACGCCATCCGCGTATATAATACCTACGATGGTTGTACCGGTTTTAGTAGCCTTGGGGGCTGGGAATCCCTTCTGAGCCAAAAATGCATTGCTGTAAAAAGAGGTGAATAAGTTTATAAAACTACGAGTCACGACTGAATTCTTCCCTAAACACTATAAGAGCCTCCTTACCGTTGACAGTTTTCAAATGAAAATCCTGGAGCTGGTACTTCAGGTACAAGAATTGAAGCCATTTTTATAGTATATAGTTAAAGTAACTTTGTTTTATTTGTGTTGAACAAATTCCGTGAGAAAGCCGACGAAATGTATTTTATGCAAGCAATGCTCCTAAACGTCAATGTCAATAGCAACGCAATGACTTTTCAAAAAGCGACCTGGAGAGATAGATAAAAAAAATTAAAAAGATTGCAAGTAAAAGTCACCATAAAGTTTTTCTCTTTGTGATTAAGTAGGTTCAGCTAATACCATGTTGATAATGATTAAACGTACATAGTTATTTTGTCACAAAAATTAGTTTTAGTAAAATTACTAAACAGAAACCAAAATAATTGTATTTGATGATGTTACATCACTAGTTTAGTATTTTTTTAATATTGCAAGTATGGACTATGGATATATTTTCAATCTAGTAACTTGTTGCTTACGAGTCGTGAAATGATTGGATGATATAAAATTTACTCTTTCTGCTGATATGAACTTTATTTCAATAACTTAAGATTGAAAATATAGATTAGCACGACATTTGACTCAGTTTTCGTATGTCAAGTTGCAGACCAATAGTAAACGGACGAATTGTCTTCTATTTCAATTTGTCAAACTAGTAATGCTGTTGTCAAAAGGCGAAATGTGTTGAGGAGTATCATTCCAGATTTTTACTTGAATTTTAAGCTATTTAGCTTCTAAATTAGTTCCTAGGTGTAAAGTTAACAAAATGAATAGTAATACAGCATTAATTTGTTTAATATATCTTACGTCTGCATTAGTGTTGACGTTGGCCGGTCGAGACTTCTATCAAATTCTCGGAGTATCTCGATCCGCAACTACCAATGAAATCAAAAAAGCTTACAGAAAATTAGCAAAAGCATTACATCCTGATAAGAACCAAGATGATCCTGATGCCTCACAGAAGTTTCAAGACCTCGGAGCAGCTTATGAAGCACTTTCGGACCCTGAAAAGCGAGAACTATATGACCGTTGTGGCGAGGACTGTCTTAAAAAGGATGGTATGATGAATAATAATGATCCATTCGCTAGTTTTTTCGGTGACTTCGGTTTCCATTTTGGTGGCGAGCCACAACAGCATGAAACACCTCGAGGGGCGGATATTATTATGGAGTTAACTGTGACCCTTGAAGAACTGTATAATGGAAACTTCATAGAGGTAAGTGCTAATAATAAAATATGGTTTCAAAGATATTTTTATAATCCTCTTGTGCTTACCCCCCTTCAAAACAAATCCTGCATAATTAATTACCACAAACAAAATAGCTATTAAAAATTATTTTGATATGCCACTATCCAGATAAAAAGCTCATGTATTCTTAAATTTACAGATAACTAGAAACAAACCTGTTATCAAACCAGCATCAGGGACACGAAAATGTAACTGTAGACAGGAGATGGTGACAAGGAATCTTGGCCCAGGTCGCTTCCAGATGATGCAACAGACTGTATGTGATGAATGTCCAAATGTGAAATTAGTTAATGAAGAGAGGCTACTGGAAATTGAGGTATAATTACTATATACAGAATTATTTCTAAACAAATACAAAATAGATCATTCATCATTAAAGGATAATTGATTAATAATATTATATGAAACAAATTTAATACCTATCACTTTTAATGATATAAAATTATAAAAACATGTGTGATAAGTAATCTATAATATTGAATAATCTACTGCTATTTACATTGGTTTTGGATAAAGTTGTGAAAAAAAAAATACATTTTAATTATGATGTCAATTACACCATAAGTTAAATTGATTTATAGTGATTAGTGTGTTCTGAGTTTAATATATTTTAGCAAATAGTAATAATGATGATGATAAGTGTTTATTGTAAATCATCTATGTATGAAGCTGGCAGACATTAAAACAATATGATAATACAATTTTCAGGTAGAAGTTGGTGCACCTGACGGCCACAAATCCAGATTACGTGGAGAAGGTGAGCCACACATGGATGGAGAACCTGGAGACCTCATCATGGTATTCACAACTGAGAGACATCCACAGTTCACACGTAAAGGAGATGATCTCTACACCAATGTCACAATTTCTCTTCAGGTTTGTGATATCTCATTCTTTTACATATCAATGGTCTTTAAAGATTGAAGTACATTTTACAATTAGGTTTCATTCATTTTAGAAAATTGTTACACAGATTATTTTTAAGAAATTTCAATATAAAAATTACTAAATCATGTTGTTACTTTTTCTGTTAATATTGAAACAAAAGTTTTAAATATTTAGGGTTTATAGTGAAAAAAAATTCTTATCAGGTCTAGATTAAAATTTTTTCCAACTAGTTAGCTAGGTGAGTTATAAATAAGTGTAACAGGTGAACAGGTTTTACATGTAGATTAAATTCTTATCTTGAAATACCTAGCAGTTAATTGAAAGTTTTACACTTTTGTATTACTTGTTTGTGAAGGAATAGTACTTGCCAAATGTAGCCAATGCTCATGATTCGCAAGGGTCAGGACAGGAAATTCCATCAAGTTAAAAAGTAAATATTTATATTACAGGATGCATTGACTGGTTTTACAATGGAACTTGTGCACTTGGATGGTCACAAAGTGTCTGTAACCCGTGACAAAGTAACATGGGCTGGTGCCCGTGTCCGCAAGAAGGGTGAAGGCATGCCTAATTTCGAAAATAACAACTTACACGGAAATCTATACATCACATTCGACATTGATTTCCCTAAGCAAGACTTTACTGAGGAGGAAAAAGAAGGTATTTTAAAATAATTTTCTCTTCAATGTTACTGTGTATTTTCAAAATATTTTGTATTTAATCAACTTTGTTTTTTGTTTCAGCACTACGAAAAATACTTAAACAAACACCAAATAATAAAATATACAATGGACTATAGTAGCCATACTGCCAGTTTAATTTATTATAGTAGTGAAATGAGTGCAATGGTGTGAACAAAGTCTGTTTTGTGTGAAGGATTTTTCGTTACCTGTGAATACATGTGATTGTTTTTATATAATAAAACATCCTAACTGTAGAATGGTGAATATTATTATTTATTAGGAAAGTTTGACGATAAAAAATAAAAATCTGTCAGATTTTTAATTTTTATAAACATACATACATACACCACTATAAATATTTTGTATTAATATGTTACATAATGACCTAGTTTATCCAAGTAATCATTGTATGCTGTATTTTCTATTCCGTGATTGTATGAATGTTTTTTATTTATGATTTACTTTTTTTTCTTCCACATATACGAATTTATCTCTTTGTCTTTGTTTGAATGTTGTGCATTCCCACTTTATTTATCTAACAAACATTTTGTTTCCTCTTTTAAGTTGATCCTGATTGTAAGTGTATAAAGGGATCTAACATTCAATAACATTTTATAATAAGTGGAGGAGTCCCAATCCTCCCTCCTCCATCCTAAATCCCTTTTAACCAACAAGAGAGCCTAAATCCCTTTTAACCAACAAGAGAGCGGCAACGCACTGTAGTCATTGATTAGGTAATACGAAGGCTCGTTTCCCGGCCTATGACAATAAAAACAAATCTTGTTTCATATTATATTTAGGTACATATTTATTTCCATAAAAATATTTTCGTTTACAAAATCCTAATCAGATTTTTACAACATAATACTTTCTTATTAATAAATATAACTGAGATATAGCAAACAAATATATTAAACTTTAAACAAACTGATTTGACATTATAATTACTACAAAATATGGTTCAAAAGTTCAGTTAATGGTATATATAGGTACATATTTCTTGTTATATGTAACTATGCAATTATGCCTAGTGAATATGTATAGTAATGGATAATTCGACAGGTCGGAGTGGTAGATAAACAGAGATAATTCATATAAAAAATATTCAATTTTACAAGCTTAATTTGAAATAGAAAAATAACTTCACGTAAGTAGGTACCTTGTATGTTGCTTGTAAACTATTTTTCAAACACCTTACCGTTTTTATAATTAAAAATGTATATTTGTATATTAAACAAGGCCCTTTAGCGCCGCCGCGAACTTAATCAAGCTGATTTGCCATTGAAGCTAATGGTTCCAAAACACAATTCATCGAGGAATGCATACACATGTCTTAGTAGATGTATTTTATTAATACTTACTTACAGTAAAAATATAACAATTGCACTTACCTAAAGTTAACAAATAACAACGTATGGAATTAATATATTAATATTTAACTTGATTTTGTATAAATTTGAATGATAACAACTACATCATGTAAGATTATACCTTGGCATTGTGCTGTGAGAGCACTAACAAAATTTCAGTCGTAGGTAGGTAATCAAAATATGACATACCTATATCTAAAATAAAAATTATTGTTGCCCAGCCGACAAACGATGATACAATGCATGAGTAATAGAATTGAGATGATTATAAAAGTTCCTAAATTGGGGTCTGAATTTGTTCTTCGCCCCGACTTATGGTAAAAGATTCAAGTGATCGTACGCAAGTTAACGTTGAGAAATGAATCTTTGTCGGTAGTTAGTGTAACGAGTAGATAGGGGGCGAGTATGTCAGGAGACGAGACAGGAGGGCTGCGCGGCGGGCTCGAGATGCGCGGCGGCGGCGCCCTGCAGGACGCTGTTGACGACGGCGCGCGCCAGGTAGCCCACTGACACACCCGGCGCCGCGCTGCTCAGCGCGTTTATGTCTGACACTCCGCTGTCCTGTAATCCACAATTCAGTTATTACAGATTCTAGGCGACTAGATAGCTTATGAGTAGGCATGCTCTATCGTCGTATCGCTTTCATTTTAGAAAAAACTTTGACTTTCATCTGGGAAGATTTATGGTGTGACTAGATCTTCAGAGACAGACTTAGTCGCTCGTATAAGTGTACCTAAGTACCTAATATAAGATGTATTAAATTAATATTATTTTCTAGTTATATCATAGAATACAGGGGACCATACAAAATTAGCCAGTACCTAGCAGTAATGGGAATTCTTGAAAACAGCAACAAAATACTCTCTTTTGCAAAATTATGTAGGCAAGTAACTTGTCATCACGACATTTAAAAACAAATTTTAAAGTCTAACGTAACGTCACAGATATTATAATACGGTAAAAATGTTTTGAGCGCTTAATGCGAGTGCGCGAGTTTGTATTAACGCGAGTAGGTACCTTGGCGAAGGTGAGCTGTGCGTCGTGCACGAGGGAGTCGATGTGCAGCGGCTGCTGCAGATAGAGCTCGGGGTTGCGGCGCAGGATGGTGGCCAGCACGCACAGCAGCTCCACGCACAGCTGGCGCCGCGCCGGCGACTCCACGCGCACCAGCGCCTGCTCCACCAACAGCGCGAACGACAGCTCCGACCGCGACATGTTCACCAGCGTCGGCTCCGCCGGGATCGAGTGCCCCTGTTTACCACCACACTATACCTGACGCTCGAACCTTATGCTGTACTCTTCCTCATCATCATCATCCTATAAGTGCCCACTGCTGAGCAAAGACCTCTTCTCACACGGAGAAAGTTTGAGCATTAATCACCACGCTTGCTCAAGACGAATAGGCGAATTCAAACTTATAATTAGAAATTATAAATGTCACCGGATGTCAGTGGTGTCTAAATAATCATAGAATGTACATACCATACCTAACTCGGAAAAAGTCACATTTGCCAGATCCAGCGCCCGCTTCTCATGCATGAGGGTACATGCAGAAGCGGCCGCCTTAACCTTTGGGCCACCACGCCACATGACATTCTCACACACACTAGAGAGCTTATAGGTAGATTTTTTCTAAGAACAATAAAATGGGTATATCGATGTTGACTGTAGAATATTTATTTGTATATCTATTCATTTTTCTCTAAGTTCCGGAATCTACGAAAATGTAAAATGAAAACATACAGGGGTGTCAAACACACAGACGAATAAAACTTAGAATAAAATTGTTTTGCGAATCAGTAAAGCTGTCTTCCAGTAATACGGGAGCATTATACATTAGACAAATTCCTTTTTATAAGGCTGTTAAAAACATTTAACAATATTTTTGAACAAAAATTGTACTTAATTTAATTCTATTTTTATCGACATCGATTCTATATATAAAAATTAAAAAAAAAACAGCACTGATTTTTACAATAAAATACAAAAGGAAAGAAAGGGATAGCAGCATTAGAAATCCTTAGTGAAAGAACGAGACTTTTACAAAAGACATCAACGTGCGGATCATCAATGTGCTTTTTACCCAACCACCATTTTATCTTAATCCCTGCGGAGTCACATAATCTAACGAAATAAAAAAATATTTTCGTTTTATTTAATTACTCATGAAAAGTAATGCCATCTTTTTTGTAGATCGATATCTTGGAATGTTTCCTACATTCCTTTGTCGCGCATGAAGGCATTTTGTTGCGATAAAATTGCAATAATAAGAAAATAAATGATTTATTATATTGCGTATGTAGGGGTCTCACACTTGGACATTTTTATTATATTGCGTATGTAGGGGTCTCACACTTGGACACAGTTAAATGGTTAGGTACTAGTACCGAGGCCTAGACATAGGCGACAAAATACCTACTAATCGTTTTCGAGCGGCGGGGCACTGTATCCACTGTCAAGTGGTTATATAGAAAGAAAGAAAGAAAAAGTATTTATTCGCGTCTGGGACGCATAAAAGACACAAAACGAACAAGATAATAAAATAAAGTTAAAATAAAAATACATTGAGCAAGGTAAAAACAATATCACAAAAGTAGAGGGTAGGAGAAAAATATGCGTCCAAGCACGCGAAATGGCCCACGCTCAGCATAATGCAGCGATTCCGTACGAGACGGGGTCGCGGCGCTGATTTTCAGCGATGGCCGATGATCCGATATCGTCATTGATGCACATATACCGACCTACTTAACATAACGCTTTCTGTTCCTTTAGTAAAGACATTGATCTATTTACTTTTTCTTTTACATTTTAAAACAACATGTTAATGATAGATATTAAGTTTATTTATCATCTCTCATTGTTCTATATATGGTTGTTGTTGTTGGTTGTATGATGTTGCGGGGTCAATCCCAACACGAGCAGTAGTTAACTTACTAGGACTGTCTCTAGTGTAGTATAAAAACAATGTTTGTGATGATTATTATTATGCTATAATAATATACTTCACTACCGACTTTCATTCCACCGCAATCATAGCTAAAACCTACTTAAGTAAATAATTTGACAGCATTAAATGGATTACCTGAATAATAATTCCTTTAGGTGTCCGCAGCAATATATCCCAAACTTGTATATAAAAATGTTTTGGCACTCGACACAGGCATCCTTCCAGCTGTCGCCTTTGTAGAGGAGTCAATCTGTTGGGAAAAATAAATTATGTAAGCTATGGACTTCGTAATGAAAATTCTAAACCTTCTGGTATAATATAAAAAGTTCTAGTAGCATGTCACATCTATCAACAATTTAGCTTTGCGCAGGTGCATTTTCTTTCTCTCATAACAAGCTTCTCTAGAATTATAAGTCTCTGTCTCTCTCTCGCCCCATGACGAAACATCATAAGACTTGGTTTAACCTCCTCCCCCATCCCCAATCTCAGATAAGATTTTTCAGAACGAGGGATTATTACATAAACGCGTTAGATTGTTATTGTAAAAAGAAAAAAACAATTTGCTTACTTCTTTTAGACTAGTAGACGTAGTTCACAACTAGTCAAATTCAATACTTTTTCCAAATGTCCAAACGATAGGTACGTTCTACGAAATTTGTATGAAAAATTGAGGGTTTTGCGTAAATTAGTTTACTTATTTCTTAAAAATTAACTAAAAAATATCTAAAATTCAGTGGATCGATCATTCAGTTAATTATTTTTCAATATTTTATTGTATTGAAACGTCGAATTAATTTATTCTTGACCTAGGACACTACTCAATTATAAGTAATAAACATTTAAAAAAGTAGGTACCTATACTGTTTTTAAAATTCAAACAAAAAGATTGCGTGATAGTTGTCAAAACACCCCGCCCCTGCCCAATGTGAAGGTAGACGAGAGTTGATTCGACCCCCTCCTACCTTAATCATCTCACGTAATTAATGGACGCCCCCCAAACGTGACCAAAAAATATTTAATAAAAAATCAAGTTAGTTACTAAAACACGTTTAAAACATATTGGGTTTCATTTTAATAATATAATAAATATATAAACCCCTACCCTCTTTCCTCTGCCCAGTCTGAAACAGTGAGAACTTGCTGCAGTAGCGTGCGAAGCTTATAAGGCGAGAGACTCTCAAGCGAGCCGTCCGCGCGCTTCTCGTTGGGGAACAGTTCGAGGTAGATACGGATGGCCTCCAACACCCAGCCCACGCGGATCTTCAGGATACCTCGGAACATGTCCGGGTTCGTTCCTATCAGCCGTCCGCAATATAGCACAATTTCCTACAAAGACATTTTAAACAATTCAAATTAGACATACATGATAAAGGATATTTCATTAGTAGATATGCAAAGAATTCTAGAGTTGACAAGTTCGATAGGTACATAATTTGAAAAGTAAAGTTTGCAGCTATAAAGCAAGTTATAATACACTAGCTAATGCCGCGCAGTTTCACCCGCTGCTCGGCTCATAATAGTCGTAGGGTGATGTATTATATTATATAGCCTATAGCACTCAGGAATATTGTGGTTATCTATCAGTGAATTTTGGAAATTCGATAAGCAGTTACAAAGTTTACCCCCTACATATAAAGTTACAAATTACACATTTAACCTGTTTATAATTTATAATATTAGTATAGATTATTAATATTTTGGCTGTATCGACTTACCTGTTGTAATACTGCTCCTATGACGTCGTACGGTTGTATAGTGGAGTACATCACAGACTGTATTTCTCCCGGAGTCATGGGCTTGTCAAATACTGTCTCCTTCTGACCAATAACTCCCACGGTAAGCTGTTGAAGAAAAATAATTAAATCTTTTTCGTGTCTTTTCTGGTGGAAAGGTCATTACAACTAAAGTTAATGCAGAGTAGAAACAACTTGCCCTATTTCTCTTAGGATAGGATATAGACATATTCGATTGAAAGCAGCATAACGAGCAAATACAGATTAATTATAAGCCAGAGTTTCAAGCAAGGGTCGGATACCGATTAAATTTTCAAACCGTTATGATGTACTTGACGCAAATGTAAACATTTAGTTTCGTTCGCATAAACCGGTTTTTTTATATCGTTATTTGGGAAAGGTTTACATAAAGTTTTCATAATAAAACAGTTTGGAGCAATAAAAACCGGATTATACGGACGCACTGTTAAAGAATTTGGCATACACAAATTAAATTCGTCCCCTTTCTACCCATGTGAACAACAAATTAACCTATAAATAAAGTTCTATAAAACGGGGTGAATAGAATTCGAGAGTGAAAAGATATTAGGAAAATTCACGAACATCTATTCACTCCTCAAATTCTATTCAACTCATATTACAATGTCTTAATTTTCACGTTTTTAAAAAAATCGGAGGAAATCCGTAGTACACCTGTATCAACTGGTATTTTTAAACCAGTACCGAGTCTTGGAATAAAAACAATAACTAGCCAGTTACCTGCTTCCCATTGACTAGCACTGTAGTGATGAAAGGGCTGATGGAGTCAACGGTATGGTTGAGCAGAGACGAGCAGTACCGCACGGCGCGCCAGTGCCGCAGCACGCCGGCGCTGTGGTACAGGCTCTTAAGGGACTCCAGGGCGTTCGTACCGTTTACCTATAAAGGTGTAGCAGTAAAATAAATATAGGGAAAACGGCAAATAGTAACGTTATAGTCCAATTCGATACTTTTATTTAACAATGTTGAAAAACTTTTATAGGAAAATATTCTATAACTTTCGGATGAAATCGCACATCGTCATAATCTATATATATAAAAGAAAGTCGTGTTAGTTACCTCAAGAACGGCTAAACCGATTTGGCTGAAAATTCTTAAGGAGGTAACTAAGAACTGGGAGAAGGACATAGGATAGAGTAGGTAGTGTAGATTAGGTAGAGTAGGGTTTTTTTTTTTTTTTTTTTTGTGAGGGGAAAATCATCAAATGACTTCTCCCGCCCAGGGCCGGGCAGGAGGGAGTGTCAGACTCTTACTGACTAAAAACCCCCCTGTTCCTTCTCCTGCTCTGTGCCGAGGTCGCGGTACCTCATTGCGCTTACCCCGCAACCCCGGCTGAACATCAGCCCTTTAGGGCCCCGTCTGTGGTGGTCTATTGGCTCTTTGAGGCGCGCGCGGAACGCTACGCGCCGTACGCTCGGGAGGTAGAGTAGGGTAGGCAGAGTAGATTCAATAGTAGAGTCAATCAATCAGAATCATGACTTTATATTTGTTTCTGACTTACAAATCCACCCAATACTCTATTTGCGTTATTTTTTTTTACCGTCCGGTCAACTAATTGTCACTCCTATTCCATAGGCATAAAGACAACATTGAAGGCAAAAAGTTATTACAAATCCAACTAATTATTTTTATAAATTACGTACTTATAGACAGTTCAGGATAGTATACGCACCTCAAACATGGGACCCTCTCTTTGTAAGAGTATCCCCCAGAGTTGGCACTGGGCGAAGATATTGTCGATGGACCTCAGCGCGGAGACCACGTCGGGTGTGGAGCGGTTTTTGTATGCCTCGTATGAGAGATTCTCCTCGCGGTACGTGAGCGTGCGGGGCACGTCCGTCAGAGATTGGTAGCCAATGTACTCGTGTTCCAACTGCTTGAACTGGGTGAACATCTCGGAAGGAAACTCCCCTTGACTCATGAAGTCCAGATGTTCTGTTGAAATATTATTAACGTGATTTTAAATCAAGTTTCAAATTTATTTCATTGCTGTCTTGACAGGTAAATGGCATAAAAGCCGGCCAAATACTTCTTGGCATGAATGCAATTAGCAGCAGTGTCATAAGGCAAAATTTTCGTCACTGTATTCGACTTAAGTTAACAAATTTGGCTAGTAAATTAAGTGTCATTGCAGACTAATAAATTACCAGGGATGGCTGGAAAGTTATCTACCTAACATAGAAAGAAAAGACATAGGAAGCTCATTTTTTTTTATATAGCCCCCTGCTACCGTGATACTCTTATTGCATTTGTCAATAAGCGAGATTAAACCGTCAAAAAATATTTCTTGAATTTGTCGTCAAAATGGTCATCCACAGCGGCCTTCATTTCTTCATCCGTCGAAAATCGCCTCCCTCTTAGGCTTTTCCTCAAATTTTTAAATAGAAAATTGTCACAGGGGGCCAAATCTGGACTATAGGGTGGATAGTTTAGTTCCGTGAAGCCATTCTTGCTTAAGACTGACCTTGCATGTAAAGCTGTGTAGCCCGGAGCATTGTCGTGCAAAATTAAAACTACTTTGCCGAGTTTGCTTCTTCGTTTTTCTTTTATGGCTCCTCGCAGTTGGTCAAGTAAGCTGGCGTAGTAACCTGCGTTCATCGTAGTATTTTTTGGCAGGTCATCTATCAAAAGAATTCCCTCGACGTCCGAAAAAATTGTTGCCATAAGCTTGCCTGCTGATGGCCGAACCTTAAACTTGCGCGGTGGCTTCTCACCTTTAAATTTCCACCGTAAAGACTCCTGTTTGCTTTCGGGGTCCCATTGAAGAATCCAGGTTTCGTCGCAGGTTACTATTCTAGAGATAATTTCTTCTTCTCTGTCTTTTACTAGGTCCAAAAATGTCTCACAACATTCGACGCGTCGTTGTTTATTAAAGGGCGTCAGCATTCTCGGTAACCATCGGGCGCTCACCTTTGCCATCCCTAAATGTTCGTGAATAATAACGTGAACACGTTCCTTACTAATCCTTGACATCCCTAGCGATTTCCCACTGCTTGACTCTCCGATCTGCGAGTATTATTTTTTCACTCGAGCCACATTGTCTTCTGTGACTGCAGAAACCGGCCGTCCGCTACGGGGATCGTCTTCCAGACTCACACGGACATGTGTAAATTGTTTAGATTGAAACTTAATAACAAAATCGGAAGGACAATAATCGCCAAACACATTGGACATCCGTTGTTTTATTTTTGCGAAGGAGTATTTAGTTAGGAATTTAATCACGGCACGCTGCTCAATTTTAAGCATTTATTATTTTCATCCAACATGATTAATATGTTAGTGGACTATTCGTAATGAAAACAATTAAAACAAATGAATACTATTATTTTCAAATAAGGAATACATAAGTATTAAAGCTTCACAGTAGCCAGTATCATTTTTGTAACTTTATTTAACAAAGTAGATTATAATTATATCAGCCACCCCTCGTATATTAGGACTTATAATTATAACGAAACGAACGAATTTACATACCTAAAGGTCCGAGCGACAAAAAAACAGATTTTTTTTTATAAAAACGTTGCCGCATACTTTCATTTTATCTCTTTTGTCTACGGTGCAAACATATAATTTCATATACACAATTGCACCCACATCAATGTGTGTGGGTGGGTCACAATGAGTTGTTTCAAAAAAAAAAGTCAAGAGTCATTTATTTCAACTAGACCACAGTAGGCACTTTTGAAGCTGAGCAACGTCAAGCAAGCAAAAAAGGAAAAAAGTATAACAAGAGCTTTAAAATTAAGCGTGTCAGTCTGTCCTCTAGTGAAGCTATTTGCTCGTTCCAAAGTGTAGATTCCTATGGAAAAGAACGAGCAAGAAACTCCATGGTTACTCTTTTTCAATCAGTTTTACAATATATTTCTTTGTTACATCATTTAGTCGGTTCTGATATGTGAATGGTTTCGTGCGGCAATCGAACTCGCGACACGTTGCGGGGCAGCCGATTGCCTAGCCACCGCGCCAATCGTGCAGTCAAGAAATAAAGACGTGACTGGTTGTTCTATTTATAATAAAAAATACTTGCCCATACAAGAGCTGGAGATCAAGTTCTGCAGTCTCCCGAGTCGTACTTTAACGCCGTCGCAGTGTCCTTTCTTGAGCATCGCGAACAGGTCCAGCATGTGCTTGAAGTGAGGGTCCCGCATGTGCTCCTCCCGCACTAGTAGACATACTGTCGGCCGACCGGACAAACGCCAGTACCTAAACAAAACAGATTGGCGATTTAAAAAGAGTATCTAGTAGAAAATGGTATATCAATACCAACATTATAAATCTGTCTAGTTTGTTTGAACAATTCTTTTTCTGTTTGTTAGTCCATTTATCGTGGAAGGCTTTAGGCTATAACCCATCACTCTACGATATGTAGGAGCCAAGCAACGGGGTAAACCGCGGGACAGTAGCTAGTACTAAATAATAGTGTAGCACTTTTAGGGGTCATGAATAGAAGACACATTTTGTGTAAGGCTAGTCTAGGTATAACATACTAGCTGACCTGGCAAACTTCGTTCCGACTCAAAATTAACTTGACTTCCGCGAATAATTCCAGATAGCAATTAGCCAAACCGGTAAAGGCAATGTTGAGTTATAACATTACAACGACAAGTGGCATTGATTTTATATATGTTACGGCTAAAGGTAGGTGTGAACGTAAACTTAAGATTAGCCGGCTAAACCTAGGTTTATCTTCGACGAAATGTTAATGTTAGTTTGTTCTATCTTTAGCCGGCTAAACTTAGGTGTAGCTGCAGGTCCTTGGCTAAAAATGTAGAAGGAAATGGGAAAGGAAACAATGTAATAATGTTTACTATTTTGACACGAAAACTTTATTAAAAAATAATCACTTTCTTTACACATACTTTTATGTACTATGTAGGTATTTAAAGTAACAATTATTACAATTACAAAATTTTAATTGGTTTTTTTTGACATTGACGCCAATAACCTAGTACCAAACTAAGCAAAGCTTGTACTATGGATACTAGATAACGGATAAACATACATAAATATGATAAACATCCATGACTCTCGTACAAATATTTGTGCTCATCACACAAACATCTACCCCTAGCGGGATTCGAACCCGCGACCGTTTGGTCTTGTGACTAGCGTTACTAACCACTAGACCAAACGCGTCGTCGTTAAAACAATATTAACCTAATCATTAAAATAAAATAATAAGGAACCATTTGGTCATTACAGAATCTTCTGTAGGTAGGTACTTACGGCGCGCCTATCGAATACATTTTTAGCCGTTTCGTTTCGGTTAATGTGCACATTAACCGGCTAAAGATGGAATATCACGACGCAAACTAACATGTTATCGAACTTTAGCTGCTTCTCGAAGATAAACCTAAGTTTAGCCGGCTAATCTTAAGTTTACGTTCACACCTACCTTTAGCCGAAACATATATATCATCATTAACATCAAGACCCCTACAAGGCTTTTCCCTTAGTTCTCCAAGTCAAACCACAAGTTGCCACTCGTATGTATCGGTTCCATGTGACTTACGACGATATCGTCGCTTCACCTAGCAGGAAGCCTGCCCACACTATGACTTCCGGTCTGTGGTCAATACGGGAACACTTTTCTGACCCATCGTTATACTATATTTATTGCCAGTTTATTATTGTTCTAAGATAAAGTGGTGTCTCTTACTTGCCAACAAATTGTAGTTCAGTCTTGATATCGTCAATGAGCAGAGCCATGTCTCTGTAGAGGTAAAACTCGGACACTTCAAATATGAGCGGGTAACACAGCACCGTCATGCCGCACACCCTGTATATCTGTAATTGAAAATACCACATAAAGAATTTATATTTTTATTAAATACTAGATACACTCGCTGCTCAGCTCCGCTGATCGTAGCATGATGTTTTATAGCACTCAGGAACATTGTAGCTACCTATCAGTGAAAGAATTTTGGCAATCCGACCAGCGGATCCAAAGATTACCCCCTACATACAAACTTATAAATTTTAATAACATATACATATTTACGCGTGTATTAACGCGGAAAATTATTATTTGAATACCTTGGTAGGCTTGACGCACAAACCAAAAGTAAAAGTGTTTTATTTTTGTTTTGTGTTTTCCGATTTTTGTAAATTCCTAGTAACTTTCATTTCTTCTCCATGATGTTGCTTTAAATTATTTACTTTTATTGTATCTAGGTACATACATTTACTTTTTAAATTTCAAGTATTTTTTATACTTTAGGCCTCCTAATATAAGAAATATTTGTTATTTTTAAAGAACCATCTACCGGTATTTGTGGCAGTAACGACTTTACCTTACTTGTACCGAGAGAGCCGATAGGTCGTATTGGACGTCCAGTGAGCTTCAGTTTGGGGCATACTCCGAGTTCTCTGTACACGTGCACGAGCTGCGTCGAACTGCATACCTATGGAATTTGAAAATAAAAACAACTATTAGAATTTCAATAAAACAACCTAATTTTTTTTAAGAGAATCGTTGCCCCGCACTTCGTTTTTCTCCTGTGTTGTGGGTGCGTTTACAAACATACAATTTGCCATGTACATCACACCCAGACCCGGAACAACAATCTGTGTATCACACAAAGAGTTGTTCCGTACGGGAATCGAATCCGCGACACGTTGCACGCGAGCCAGTTGCACGCGAGCCAGTTGCCCAGCCACAGCGCCAACCGTGCAGTCAAAATTATATTTATTCTCAATTTTTCGTTGGGCCTTTTTACAATTCATTTTGAAGTCAGCATTGAATTTTAACTTGATTTAAAATGAACTAAATGCCCCTGATTGCCTGTTTTAACCCACTGAATGGGTAAAATCAATCCTGGCAAAGTTAAACAGAAAAAAATATGTGTATTCAAAATTACCTGAACAGGTTCAACTTCGTGCGGTGTCTGTGTTTGTATACCGTATGTTCCCATCATGGCTTGAAGACGCATAGACTCTGCTATCAACACTACTTGGACCACCAAATCGGTTGCAATACCCTGTAAAGGGAAATACAGAAGTGAATTATGATTTTAGGTTTACAATAAAATTTTATTGCACATTGAGCGTACATACAAGCAACATTTGGTGGAAATAACATAAGGAAATGCAGGTACGTAATTAAAATAGTTTTTTTAAGCTGAAAGTAAGTGCCTAATTTTATTTGCTTTATGTCAGATTTGCAGATTGCGACACCTAGTGTACCTACGTTGTAGGCTAGACATATAAAGCTCTATCTAGCTAGACACATAAAGAACTTGACATTGACGCAACGACAGCAATTTCGGGAAGCATAGAACAATAAATTGCTAATATTTTTTTAAAACGCGGAATGTACGACTAGCACATGCGACTAAAAGTTTCGCAATTAACATAATATTAATGCTGTGCACTTTTGCAGCAGTGTGTAGTTCTAGGCTGCTCATGCAAATATTTTTGCTCCTAATACTTACAAACGTGGGCTTGGCCTGCAGGTTTTATATGAAAGTAAAATACAATATTTATTACATATCAATGGTAATATATCCTGTATGTTACTGTAAAGTGCCCTTCTGCCAATCATTTCTCTCGCAAGTTAGTAAAAAATTATCACATGCGAGCCTGAGAAAGGTTATTTCCAAGATACCATCCCAGGGCAGCGTCTATCCTCTCATCTTAATAAACTTTAAAGATTTGTATAAAGTACTAGTATAGCATGTACATATTAGGTATTTAAGTTTATAACATTAGTATTTAGTGGGATACTCATTATGTATCCTTACTAGGTTATCTTCTGTGCGCTTACAATACAAACAAACAATTCGCATAGATACTCAGATCCAGTATTACTATTAAATATTTAGATTTTGCTCACCTGGAAGGCGGAGTACCGTCCGGCACGTCGCGGCCTATTGTAGGAAGGTAGGTATCTCCTAATGGGATCCAATTCGTTCACATGCAGCAGTCCTCCAGTCAGCAATTGAGCCAACACGAACAAAGACTGTGCCCACAGGAACAAACCACCTGTATCTGAACATAGTATCGAATAAGCAGCTTTAAACATTGTTAACCATTTTCTACCTTATTATAAAGCATTATGCTACATTTTAAGCACTAACTCAAATGGGAAAACGTTTATAGTATTTCTTTTATTCATTAGGTACGTAATATCCGTAACCACTGAAGTCTAGAATTGAGGGTTATCTTTGTTACTTAGCGTTAGGTATTAAGCAAGTCAAATCACAACCAAAATCATAATTCCTAAATATATACACTACACACACACCTTTAGCCTCTAATCTGTAACCTAAAGCAATTACGAGGTTTGCAGTATTACTTACAATAATATAATAGGTACATATGTAAATTCATACAGGTATATGCAATAATAGTTTTTTTTAAGTACTACAAATCACCTACAATTATTAAACTAACTTGTATCGTGATAAAAATGTTAATTCTAAGTCTCACTACACCATACAATAAATTCAATAGGAAAAAATGTTAGTAACAATAGCAAAAAGTTTATTCGTATAGTTTTTTTTGTAAAGAAAGTTTAGTCACGTGTTAAATACAAAAGAAAACGATAAATATGTAAGAAAATATACATTCTCAATGCCATTACATTATTACCTTTGTCGTTACCGTCACTCGGATGATCTGGAATTATTTTGTTGAAATAGTTTTAACATGTTTTTCTATAATTAGACGTTCTGAACTACGAACTAGGTACTAAAAAATACGATGTTAATTGTGTACAAACAATTTTTTTTTTAAAAAATAATTAATTTTGTCGCGTTTGAAAATTCTTTAAATAAACGCTTCTTCTTTTAACATTATCCTTAATCATTATTTAACATTATCTTTATCAGTCCTACGTAATAAGGAGCAGGTTAGTTTTTACCTAACATTTCATAGTTCAATTATTACAATTACTAATAGTGTAATACTTACTTGCAGGCAATCTGCGAACTGAATTCGGTTCATTTCGTTCATTTTCAATGCCTTCACGAGGCACATAATAATACCAAGGAATTACTGGATCTGAAATTTAGAAAAATGTTTTAAACCACATATTTTTTTTTTTTTTGAGGGCCAATCATCAAATGACTTCTCGCGCCCAGGGCCAGGAGGGAGGGAGTGTCAGACTTACTGACTAAAAACCCCCCTGTTCCTACTCCTGCTCTGGGCCGAGGTCGCGGTGCCTCATTGCGCTTACCCCGCAACCCCGGCTGAAAATCAGCCCTATAGGGCCCCGTCTGTGGTGGTCTACTGGCTCTTTGAGGCGCGCGCGGAGCGCTACGCGCCGTACGCTCGGGCCTGGTTCTAGTCGGGCGGCGAGCTACCCTTACTTGCCGACCGCAGACCCGCGCTTACGGTGGCCGGAGATCGTCCCTTAATCCGCGACGCCCGTAGTGTCGCCTATTGCGGCGGCTAAGGCGTGTGGAGGAGGATTGCTCCCTCACGCGGGCCGCCTCTCTCTTTGCGAGCATAACTGCTTCACAGAAGGAGACGGCGTCCCAGTTCCTCTCACTCCACACCGTGGCCTCGACTAAGGCCGGGCGCGAGAGGTCGCCGCCGCCGATCACTTCCCTGAGGACACAGCGGTGCTCAGCCCAGGCAGGGCATACCGCCACCGTATGCTCCAACGTATCCTCGAGGTTTTTCCTCGCAATGACGACACTCGGGCGTTTCCTCCCGCTGGATCCGAAACAGGAACCTACCGAAGCTGCCGTGCCCGGTAAGGACCTGCGTCAGGTGGAAGGTAAGGACGCCATGGCGTCTCTCAAGCCACTCCTCAAAGAGGGGTCTTACTGCTGGTATAATAGCGTGCGCGGCCCTCGGATGCGACAGTCATTGTTTCCACTCTGCCATGAGATCTCGCCGGAGCTCATTCCGCCACGCACTAATTCGGCGCGGCAGAGGATCCTCGCCCCGGCGACGCGCGTCTGCGCGCAAACTGTAGACGCGCGCGAGCGCCTTAGCTTCCAGATCCCACGGCGGTGATCCGGCAAGGAGGTTCGCCGCCTCCCCGAAGATCGTGCGATATCCGCGGAAAACCAGGTAATGGGATGCCAATATGAATATTGTGTTAGTAAAAGAACTTAGGTAGTTACCTCCAAATTCATCCATATAAATCCTGGCTTTCAAAAGTTTCTGGTATTCTTCGACTTGATCAGGCAGGGTGCGGAACACGCCATCAATGATCATCATTACATAGAATAAAGGCCACTCTGATTCGATACCATCAAACTCTTTCAGTTCCCCTTCGTGGTAGTACCTCCTATTGGGGTCTTCTAGCACGCACTTATACCCATCACGACTAAACCTCTTAAATCCACATTTCCCTTGCAAACGCCTCAATATATTGTTTTTTGTCAACTGTACTAAATGTTCTTCGTGTGTTGCGAATGCTGGAAACGATACTGTTGGCAGTAATGCAGCGTCGACTCCCTAAAATAAGACAAATATCTCATTAATTCTATTATTGTCAATTAGACTGGTATTGAAAGTTAAAAGTTAACCGACACAACGCGGTATTCAATGTATTTAACGTTTTTTTTTTAATTAAGCCTGAATTTTGTATATATTTGGAGCAACTTAGTTAAACAATATGTTTTATGATGATAAAGTTAATATATCAATCCTGTACGGTAGTTTTCACTTGCCTTGGAACTTGACTCGCGTGGTAGCATAGTTTCAAAAATACTTCGGTTGCGATTATGGGCGTCAATATCTACATAAACTACACTCCATGATGCTCCCTTGTCTCCAAAAAGATTGCATCCATTGATGGCTTCTAGAGCTGCCTTTGCCATACCTGAATAATATTAGATTATAATTTTCTATTCCTAGTAAGGATGTTAATATACAATACGTTATGTATATTTGTATGACCTACCAATTGAAGAGGCATGAATTTCTGGCTTTCCATCATTATATTTAGATCCTCTTTCCCACATTCCATAATCTGGCGTTCTATAGGCACGTTCTACATAATATACCAGATTTTGAACAAATGCCACTTCATCCTGTCGGAAAAAAGTGCTATTTAAGTATAGTAGTTTATGTATGTGTTAAAAACTTTACAAAAAGATGGATATTATGTTGGTCTTACTTGAGTGTAAATAATTTGTAGCCCAGATGTGATCATTTGTACGAGAAAGAGTAAATATAAGGAGACAACATCAATTTGTAAATGATGGTATTGTTCATCTGTGAGCACTGGCTCCCCAGTGGTGAGGTGGAACTTTACGTGTAACGCATGTGCGGCACTCTGCCGCGTTTTAAATGCTTCTACTCGCGCCGACTGCTTTACCCAACACTCCAGTATTCCACGCATGCATTTTACAGTGCTCTGACCTAGTTCATAAGATTTGCCCCGGTCATCATCTATGCGTCTGAAATATTTATGAACCATTTTCAGTAAAAAAATTAAGTCAGAAGGTGGTGAAATTAAGTCAAATCTCATCAAATCTAAAATTGGAAACAGGGTGGCTCGAGAAATAGCACGCAAATTTTTTTTGTGATTGAAACCAAAATATGTAACTTAAAAAAGACCATAATTAAGGTTTTCCATCATATTTTTTTTACACTCATAGTTCTCAGCCATGTTGACTACTGGTCTTAATTAAAAAAAAAAAAACAAAAAAAAGATAGCAAATAAAAGCATGAAGCAAATTGTTTACAATAACAATCCAACATGTTTATGTAGGAAAGCCACATTCCCAAAATTCTTACATTTGATTGAAAGATGGGAGAGGGTGTTGAACAAAACCCACAACATTTCACCAAGGGGAGAAGGAGCAACAGAAAAATTCAAAGAAACACCTCATGTGATTTATGGGCTTCTATCATATTTTAATACAAAAATTATAAGAATAAAACAAAATCTTGGGAAAAAGTCCAAATTGCAGTTTAATAATTTCTAAAAAACAGTGAGTAATAAATTAAGTTTAAATAAAATATAAAACAAGGAAATGGATTCAACCATAGGTACAGTTCACTTATAAAGTAGCTAATTGATTGTGAACATGACATAAACCAAGTATTTACAATGAATTTAGTTTATTATTACCTGTATGCTTGGTAGAGTCCCCACACAGCTGACGCACAGTAAATACTATCTCTCACACTGCCTATGTGGAGATCGGATGATAAAACTGGAAATAATCCTGTTATAGGACTTTGAAACCTTAATAGTTGCCTTTTCACTGAAAAATTAAGTTCAAATATTAGAAAAAAAAGTGGAATAAACTAATTTTATTTTTCAAAATTGTGACTCCACTCATTCTGTTAAGGACTACTTATTAGTATTTTATGATTAACAAGACATTTAATTTTACTCCCTATACTCTTAAGCAAGCTTTGTTTTGGTATCTTAAGACTAAAATGAACAGATTCAGCCTAAAAATTAGGGGCAGTGGGTCATCTCAGGGGCGGGAAGTAAATGTTAATTGTTGGCCATAAAGCTAGAATAAACATACCTATGGCATAGTAAATATCCAGTTGCCGGACTGTGTCTTCATAATTAGAAATCTTTAAAAATTGTTGAGTATTTATATCATCAATACTTCCTTGTCGAATCATTATGTCTGGGATCGGCTGCAACACATAATATATTTTTTTTAGTGGTGAAGTTTCCTCTATAATACCTGTCTTTATACTATAAATAAAATAGAAAAGTGGAACCATGTATTACATTTTACATATAATAAGCCACTTTTATATTAACATGGCATGTTCAAAACGTTAAAATTACAGTAAGTATGAATGACTTTATAAATTCACCGAAAATTAATTTCTCGGGCCAACCCAGGTTTATTTATATTTTTGACAACTACTTGACATTCATGTCATTGGTGATTGACAAAAGGTCAAATTCATAAAAAAGATAAAAAATATATTATTATGAATTACAATTACCAACTGTAGGTACCTAATTAGTTAAGAAATAACCAACTTGTAATAATTCGTTTTTTAGTTCCTTCTCAAAGTGAAGGGATTTTCATTTTCCAATAACTTTTATAAGTTAACTTAGACCATAGAATGGATTTAATACCTCCATGTTAGAAAAACCAAAAAATTTGAAAACAACTTGGCAGTAGCTCTGACAAATTGTAAACGTCAAATTTGTCAACAGTATCACGACGAAAGATAAAAACACGAAGTTTGACCTACTTTATTTACGTTTACTTGGTCATTATTATTTCGCTTTCAATCTTATAATTATTAATTAATACGTCAAAATCAGGTCGGTTGTATATCGTTAATTATATTAAGAAACAACAAATGCTCTTAACAATAGTAATAAATATAGACCTCTATTCGTAGTTATTCGTTTTGTGCACACAGCGCCGACGACAATGAATAACGATATAAGTGAAAATTCATCGGAAAATGATAACAATCACAGCAGAGACACCCAACAGGTTTCAAGAAACGATATAATTATGAATGTTTTATTTACTACCACTAACATCACAAAAGAAGTATAAAAGCACAATATTATTTTATTGTCTTAACCATTTGAAGATTCTGTTGTGGTCTAATCTGTAAAGTGTTTGTTATTATACACTAAGATATTATTTATATTAAGGTCGTCACTTGGTGTTTGCCAAGTGGGAAACAAATTATTATTTACTGCATGCATTGGTTATTGGATTTTTGTGTGATGTGTTTTATAATGTTTTATAAAATTTTAAAACAATATTGGAATTCATAAATTTTGCATGTTTAGGATCTTCATATTAATATTTTTCTGTTTAACCAAATATTGATATAGAGGGTTTTATGAAGTGGTATCATTCTATTTAAGTTATATTAGTGCAATAAAATGTAAAAACATGTTATCTTTTAGGTAGATCTATTTCATTTAATTGGAGGAAGCTGGCCACCAGCACCAAAGGAGCCTGAGAAAATTGAGTATGGATCATTGCACCGAAACCACAAAGGCACTATGCAGCGACCTCACAATGAGCGCATCAAGTCTGTAAATTTACTGGCTCATTTAGCACCAGAGAGAAGACGCAACAAGCCTACTTACAATACACAATCCCCGTCTGTGAGTGAAGACATTCAGCCTAAAATGGTTCATGAACCAAAGAAGATAGAGACTGGAATTTTAGTTGGTTTGTACTTTATATTATTATTATTATAATAATTATATATTATATTGCTTCCAAGTCCCTACTTTCTATCTATACTTCTTAGGCAGATAATATCATAAAAATAAGTTATCACACTTTGTAACACTGTAGGAAAATAAAAACAAATCAAAATTTCTCCAAAATATTTAGTTTTGTCTTTAAAATAGAATATTAATCAATCACCAAGTTATTAGGAAAAAAAATCAATATGTAAAGTACTCTGATTTAAATGTATAATTATACACTAAAACTGTTTTATCAAGTACAAGTTGTATGTTTAAAGAAATTGGCTTCAAAAGTAAAATAAATAAAAAATACTTGTACCTAGTCTATATAAAAATACATGATATTTAATACAGCATTTACCTGACTTTAAATATTTTTTATTTATTTTAATTTGGAAGCCAATTTCTTTAAACATACAACTTGTACTTGAAAAAACATTTTTATACATTTAAATCTGAGAAGTTTACAATATTATATAATTTAATATTATATACAATATATGATAACAAAGTTTTTCAATTAAAATATCTAAATAATTAGGTAATTTTTTTTTTGCTTCCTTTTCCCATGCATCACAATATCTTATCAAACTAATTTTGGCCGCATTTACCAGAATTCCCTTATTTGTTTACACTCATTAGATTTGATGTTTTATTTACTTATGTTATCAGCAAGTAAATAGGAAATAATTATAGTTTTAACTTTTTTCTTGAGTAACAAAAATCATGATGTGACTTTGTAAATGTCAATGTTATTCTCAACACTCAACAATTTATTTGTTAGATATTTTTTGTTTTAGCCAGTAATATAAATGTTACACAACAATGAGATCACATCTAACTTACTGGTTTATTCATGTTTGTAGCTTTTTATTAATATAATATCCCTTCACTTAGCTATTCCTTAATTAATATTGACAAACACTTCAATGTTACACTAGAAAACTGAGCGTAAAACTCGCGTCTATCCACCGCCAATAATAGCTCTTCTGGTTCTAATTTTGGCACTAGTTTGGAAGGGGGCGACCGGCCGGCTGGCACTCTCGTGTGGTGCAGCGTCCACCAACATGTCGTATTTACAGGACTTATCTATTGATGAAATACCACTCTGTGTGCTTGAATGTGAAAAATGTATGGGCAAAACCTCTTTGGAATTCTTTCGATCTCACATGATATATGTTCAATTTTGTGTCTATAACAAACATTTCGTTTCCGGAAGTGAAGTTAGTGTCCTAAATTCAAAATAGTCCAAATTGATGTCCAGAATGGATTTTTCGGTTCGCTTCGATTGTATCCGCCTTTTCTATTTGGTATATTTTACTATGTCATGTTAATTGTTATCAATAGATATTTGTAATGCGGAAGCCGCCCCCGAAGAACTGTATGATTCACCGGCACTTGGGTCGCCTCGCGCGGCTCCAACGCAATCAAAACCATCACCAGTTCATGTACCGGAAGATATTGGAGTCGGATCACTGGTGGAAGTCGCGACTGATGTCGATCAGCATTATTATGGCGTAGTCAGATGGATAGGAGTTATTGATGGTAAGTAAATAAGAACTAAAGTCAATTAGTTCCTCATTATTGTTGGATGTACCTACAAAAATTGTTTATAAAAGTATAAACAATTATTTAATGTCTAGACACAGCGACAGCAGGCGTGGAGCTTGAACAAAGTGTGTGCGGTCTGGGAGACGGGACGCGCGGCGGCGCGCGCCTGTTCTCGTGTGCCGCCGGGCGCGCGCTGTTCGTGCCGCTGCCGCTGTGCCGCCGCGACGCGCGTTTCCGCGACACGCCGCCCCCTGATCGCGGCGATGCTCATGATGCCGAAAACTTCGACCAGGTAGACAAAGCACATAGAAATATAATTCGCACATTTTATACTTATGTTAGTGTTATAAAATAAGTATCTAACTGCAGTGTAAAGTATCCTAACCCGATGTTTTAGCCGGACTGTCCCGTGGTACCAGGTGTGGTACCCCCATTGAACTCGCTCGGTGAGCTGGCTGGCAAGAACCGTGGCATCCAAGGACATCACAACTCTTGCTATCTTGACGCCACACTCTTTGCCATGTTCACCTTCACGAGCGTCTTCGATGCTCTATTATATCGTCCTCCCGAGCCTGAAGTAAGTATACAAGATATCATAGTATAACTACCTGTACATCTTGATGTAACTTTAATTTGAAACTAAAATTCACTACATTTTTGTTCCTTGTAGGATTCTCCACATTATTCCGAAGTACAACGTGTTTTGCGAGAAGAAATTGTAAATCCCCTCAGAAAGCATGGCTATGTGCGTGCTGACCGAGTCATGAAACTACGCACTTTGCTCGAAAGGCTCTCTGACGTACCTGGACTCACGTCAGAAGAAAAGGTAAATGGTGTTGTTGTATTTAATGTTTCTAAAGGAACAACAGACTTTGTTCAAGTAAATCATTGTCACTTTTGAACTTGGAATAATTATACCACTTTAGTTATTTTAAGCTGTCGCATGTGTTTAAATTTCCTCTGACAGGATTTTTCCTATTTCCTCTGACAGGATCCAGAGGAATTCCTAAATGGTCTGGTAGCGCAATTATTGCGAGCTGAACCATTCCTTAAATTATCTTCGGGACAAGAAGCTTACTGCTATCAACTGTTTGTCGAGAAGGATGAACATGTTGCAGTCCCGACCGTGCAGCAACTTCTAGAACAGTCATTCACAACATCTGGAGTTAAACTAAGTGAGGTAGGGATTTAGTAAGGTGACATTATATTTTTATTTATTTAAACATTTCATATAATTTTTTATTTAAAATATTTGTTGAAAAGTTTGTCAAGTTGCTGAAACTTTCTTAAACATGTTTAATTGACATATAAAATATTTCAGGTTCCAGCAGCATTCATCATTCAGATGCCACGGTTTGGTAAACAATATAAGTTATACCAAAAAGTAATACCATCGCCCCTGTTAGACGTTACAGATTTAATAGAAGGCTGTAAGTAATAAGTTAAAATTTAGTTAGTGCTATATTTATTACCCTTGTAACCAGTGGCGGATTAACGTATAAACACTACAAGCACGTGCTTGGGGCCCCTGCTAAGCAGTGGCCTCCATCCTCTGCTGGCGTTTGATTTTATACCTGTATGATATGTTATCGAGATTGATCCACAATATGTCCGAAATCACAAGGCGCGAGCGAGTGACCCTTCATACCGTAATGGGCCGCCAATACGTCGCGTCGTGCCGCGAGACCCATTAGTCATCTTAGGAGATTAACCTCCCATGGCGTCCTCACCTTCCGCCTGACGCAGGACCTGACCTTCCAGCAAATGGCGAGTAAGTGTAGCTCGCCGCCCGACCAGAACCAGACCCAAGCGTACGGCACGTAGCGTTTCACGCGCGCCTCAACGAGGCAATAATTATAGACCACCACAGACGGGGCCCTACAGGGCTAATGCTTAGCCAGGGTTGCGGGGTAAGCGCAATGTGGCACCGCGGCCTCGGCCTATAGCAGGAGAAGGAACTGGGGGGGTTTTAGTCAGTAAGAGTCTGACACTTCCTCTCGCCTCCCCCTGGGCGGGAGAAGTCATTTGATGATATTCCCATGGCAAAAAAAGGAGTTTCACCTCGGAATTTACAGCTGAGATACCAAAATTAATTAAATATATGTCGTGGGGACCCGGAGGTAGGTAAAGGCAACATGGCAACTACCAATGTGAGGTTTTCCGAGTTATATGTACCTACTTTCTATGACTATCTCACCTCTAACATACTATGTTACCTGGACTTTATAAGTTTGAAATCGCCAATCAGCCCTGAGCAATCGTGGTAATTTATGCTCAAACCTTCTCCGTGTGAGAAGAGGCCTTTGCTCAGCAGTGGGCACTTATAAGTAGACTGACGATGTGATGATGCAATCTCAAATTCCGAGATTTTCACCTTATTTTGGTTGAGATGACTGGACTTCGCTAAGAGTGAGTGAGTTGTCTTTAAATTGCAAATGATAGCGCCCATACGCATTACCGCACGTACGTACTTACTCTACGACGATATAATCTCGGATTTAGCTCTAAAGCAAGGAAGGTATAATTTTTACCTTCTACATTTTCTATAATGATGAACTTTCATTTTATACCTCCTACCTTCTATTTCCATTTTAGCAATAGAGGGACTACACGAGCTCTGTGCTTAGGGCCTCGGATACTCTTAGTCCGCCACTGCTTGTAACCCTTTACATTATGTAAGTTTTTTTTTTATGGAGACCCACCGCCCTCGGGTAAGGGCGAAGGTACTGTCACTCTTACTGACTAAAAACCAACCCGGTGTTCCTCCAATAAGCCATGTGTCGCAAGGGCGAGTATCGCCGAAGTATTCGTCCAACCCCCTGACGGGTATTGGCCCGCCAGATGGTAAGGCGGGCCCCGTCACCCACTGCGGCCGTCACCCCGACCGCAGGACTCCACTATGAGGCGCGCGCGGAACACGGCGCCGCCGCCTCGAGGCCTGCTACTGGTCAGACGACAAGACGCCCCGAGTCTGTCGGCCACCCCACGACGTCTAGTGCGTCTGCTGCGGGAGGGCAGAGAGGAGGCAGCCTCTCTCTCCCTTTCCGCCGCCTCCTTTGCGAGCATCACGGCCTCGCAGAAGGTAGCGACGGTACTCCACCCTGACTCGCTCCCGACCATAGTAGACACTACAGCCGGAAGCGAGAGATTTCCCGCAGCACCTACGGCCGCGACCATGTCACGACGCTTCTCTGGCTAAGCTGGGCACTCCGCCAAGGTATGCAGCGCCGTATCGTCGCGGCAATCACAACAATGGTGGCACTGAGACGTCGGCTCCCGACCTATGCGACACAGGTACTTCCCGAAACACCCGTGTCCGGTAAGCACCTGCGTCAGCCGTAAGCTGAGGGCGCCGTGGCTCCTATTGAGCCACTCCTCTAGAACGGGCCTTACTGCCTCTATAGCGGCGTGCCCCGCCGTGGGTTGCGCTAAACGCGTCTGCCACTCCGCCATTAAGGTCTGGCGGAGTTCTGCCCTGCGTGCCTCAACCTGTCGAGGCACCAGGCGCTCGCCCCGCTCGACTGCCTCCGCGCGCCACGAATAGAGCGACGGGAGGAGTTTTGCGTCGAGGTCCCAGGGCGGGGATCCGGCTAGGAACATGAACATTATGTAAGGTTGCTTTCACTTTAGGCTATCCAACACTATCTGAGTGTAGTCATTCTTAATATGAAGAATAATACTCTTTTAGTTGTTCATAGTTGAATATGTTTACACGATATTAAAATAAGTACATCTTTATTCCACAGTACCTAGTACCTACTACACCAAGTGTACCCATTATATTACTTTACTCTTTGACCAAGTGAATTGCAAAACCAGCCAGCCAGAAAAACCAGAGAAAATATGCAATGTTGCCAATATACATGTACCACTATATTACACATTAGTAAAATAATTATACCTAAATGCTGACGAAGTGACGTCTGCACATATACGTATTAAACTGCAAACGTACCTACTTTAGAATAGAGAATAGAGTCTAACGGATCAACATTATCACAACAAGCTCTGCGACCACTGCCAGTGGTAGCCGCGTAGTGTAATGCGTTGTGTGTGCAGTGCCGCGGCAGTGCACGGTGTGCGGGTCGCTGGCGCGCTGGGAGTGCGCGGCGTGCGGCGGCGCCGCGCTCGAGGCCGGCGCGCTCTGCGACCACTGCCAGTGGTAGCCGCGTAGTGTAATGCGTTGTGTGTGCAGTGCCGCGGCAGTGCACGGTGTGCGGGTCGCTGGCGCGCTGGGAGTGCGCGGCGTGCGGCGGCGCCGCGCTCGAGGCCGGCGCGCTCTGCGACCACTGCCAGTGGTAGCCGCGTAGTGTAATGCGTTGTGTGTGCAGTGCCGCGGCAGTGCACGGTGTGCGGGTCGCTGGCGCGCTGGGAGTGCGCGGCGTGCGGCGGCGCCGCGCTCGAGGCCGGCGCGCTCTGCGACCACTGCCAGTGGTAGCCGCGTAGTGTAATGCGTTGTGTGTGCAGTGCCGCGGCAGTGCACGGTGTGCGGGTCGCTGGCGCGCTGGGAGTGCGCGGCGTGCGGCGGCGCCGCGCTCGAGGCCGGCGCGCTCTGCGACCACTGCCGCCGACTCGCGCACCACGCTCGCCCCCACCACAAGGTACGTACGTAGGAACTCCGCACATGCTTCTTCTTTTTTGTCCGTACTTTTTTGCCACCAACTGCGTGGTGCAGACCCATCCGCTTCAGCCACGTCGCGGGTTCGATCTCCGCACGCAACTACTCTGTGTGATCTGATATGAATCTAAGTGTCATGTGTATGCGAAATTGTATGTTTGTAAACGCATCCAATACACAGAGAGAACAACTTATAGTGGGGCGACATTAAAAATAATATAATAGGCGAAGACCAAGGACAGTCAAGTATAAGTTGCTATTTTCTTTCAGGCTGTACCACTGACAGTAAATGAAGAGTATGTTAATATACTGGAATCATGTCCAGTTCCACGGGTATATATGGAACTGTTTGCTGTTCTATGCATTGAGACCAGTCACTATGTTGCATTTGTAAAGGCAGGAGTGGGCCATGATGCCCCATGGTGCTTTTTTGATTCAATGGCGGATAGAAAAGGTAAGAAATGAGTACCTGCAGTGGATAAATACTTAAAGGTAGTGCTGTGAAATGAAAATTATACTTGATATAAAAATATTCGATTATTTTATTCATTTCAGTAACATAGGCATGTAATACAATATAGATTTGGTCCAAAATGTCTTGAAATTAAATTTACTAGTCACTAGACGTGATGTATACCTACATGATTGTTAACAATTGTGGTACTGCGACAGGAGAGCGCAACGGCTACAACATCCCGGAGATCGTGTGTATCTCGGAGCTGGGCGCGTGGCTGGGCGAGGACGCGCGCGCCGCGCCGCCCCCCGACCGCCAACTGCCGGCGCACGCGCGCCGTCTGCTGGCCGACGCCTACATGTGCTTCTACCGCAGCCCCGATGTCGCCATGTACCGGTAGTCGCGCGTCGCCCGACAACTTTTTTTTATTCACTATAGGTATCTACATTGTTAACTACATTTATAAAAAAAGACATATGTATACAAATGTAAACAACATTATAATTTGTTTAGGTGAAACACGGGCCTAGTACCTATTGTACAAAATTTTAGACTACGACGTAATCACAGATTTTTAAGCTTGATTGATATGATACTTCACTGTACAAAAACACGACCCAAACCAAATCACTGTCTTCATTTCATAATGGTCTTTAAAAATGTTGATTATCAGATTTTACAATAACTTACGGTTTGATGTGAAACGTGTACTGCTTTGTACCTAATTCACTACCTTATTATTTTTTATATATATTTATTACCTAAAACTAGTCGTAGTAAGCGGCTCGCTCCTCAACACTTGGGGGTTGAAACCTTACCATAGTCTCTACATATTGTATGGGCGGCGAGCATACAGGTCCGCGACATACTTGAATATCGAACTGTTCCTCATACCGCAACACTGCGTGCCAACGATATATTGTAATAAGTATTGTCTATGCAAGCGTTTAATTTTGCCACAATTAGGTAGCTACTGGTGCATCATTGAGCGAAAGGTGGTGCTTGCGCGCCTGACCTTTGATAAGTAAGATTAGAAGAAGAGAAGTTTGTTATCATTTGATATCGAATAGGTATACTGGGCGTGCTAATATCAAGTTTTGTATAGAATTCCACTAAATTCAGGTTTCACTCAAACAAAGTATAAGGTTTTATATTATTTAGTTCTTTTATAAAACATGGATAAAATGTGTATATTAATATAAAATTAATTATATCAAAAGTAATGTAACTGGAATTATTAACTTATTATACATTTCACTAGCTAATGTTAAATAAATCAGTATTATAGAAAATAATAGACTTTGTTTTAAACCACAGTAATGAATGGACGCTTCGAATATTATATTATTAAAAAGATTACTATTTTTTATAATAATGCGCTGCAATATCACTACTAAAGCACTATAAAAACATGGTTTTGTGGCAACATTGATGAGGTGAGATTTTCTAGAAAGTAAATTTCGAACAAAATAGTTTTTTCATTGAAAATAACGACTTAGTCACCACATGAATTATCTGAGGGAAACTCTACTAGTTCCAAGTAATAAGTTGTGTACTAAGTAGTAAGTCGTTATTTGCAATATTCTTTTTGTCTCACGATAGTTATGTTCACGATTGTTATTTATTATTAAACATATATATGTATGTATGTATTAAAGTTGTACATATTCTCAACATAAATTACTGTTCTTAAATCTAGATTCTGACTGAGATTAGATATGTTTTGATCAGTTTTACAAAACTAATTTTATGAATTAGAGATCTTCATGAGTATTTGGTTTCTTGGGTTTACAATCACAATTAGTAGCAGTAGGCTGGGGCACGTGAGTCATATTTGCTTCAATGTTCACTTCATTGTTTATAATTTTACTCCATTCCTGAAAAAAGCCATCATTACTTAGGAGCATTTTTGTAGTATATCTATAGAAGTACTAAGGAATACTAAGGTAAATTTAGAATAATCTCTAATAAATTATCAGGTATAATATTATACCATTACAAAGACATTATCATGTTGTACATACTCACCCAAAATAAAGCCGCATGGTAGCAAATTACATTTTGCGGCAATAAATTATTATTTGCAAAATTCCTTGCATTCCCAGCAATTTGTTTTGCCTTGTCATCATTATCGCGCGCCCATTTCACGCGGTCAACTAAATCGGACAAATCTCTTTTTACTGGTACAAAATGTTCCCAAGGTACAAGTTGCGGGTAGAAATGTTCATAATAAGGAGATTGTTGCTTTAGAACCAAACCTCCGCCTGCTAATAGGTATGGCATACGATATGCAGCTACAGTGCCATCAACATTAATTTGATATTTAAACTGAAAGAAAACACATTATGTACATAACAAAATGTTTAAATGAACCTTTACTGGTAAGTGAAAAATAATAGCAAAAAATCTTACATCGAAAAATTTAAAGAATGAAATATGAGGTTGTTTCGGTCCATATTGAGACTCTTTATCTCTAAAAAAGAAGAAATTTGTAAGTGAAGCATTAAAAAGGTCTGGGTTGGCTCGAGCAATGTCAATAAGTTTCAAACGCTCGGCGCGTGAGTCACGACCACGCCAAACTGCTCGCGGCTCTCGCTCATCCCATGCAATTTCTGCGCCACTTTGAACAGACAAGGTATCCAAAGTCACTCTGCAAAAAAATTTGTTAATTTATTTTATGCTTAAATAAGGATTAGCATTTGTAAAGATTGGTTTAAATGAAGATAGTAAAAATGAGTACTTAAAATTTCACCTTCCCATGTTTTCTAATGCAGATTCAGTTAAATCATATGTTGGCATTACTATGTCATAAGTATCATCACTCCCACACCATGAAAAAACTGGCAAAGGCTTATCTTTCTTGTGGACTAGAGGCCAATCACCTAGGTTTATTACCAGGTCCATGTCAGGCAATTTGACTTTTCTCATCAAAGATAATAAGATGTTATCAGAAAACATATTAAATCCGACATGCTTTCCATAGCAATTTCGGTAAAGTTCATTTTGTTTTATTGCATAGTGACAAAAACTAGTACTTTCTGGTTGATGATATTTGTTTATAATCTTTTGTAACTCCTCTCTCATGTTGAGGCCATTGAATGGCTTCAGATCTTTCTTAATTTGTTCATATGTTTTCTCACAGCCATAATTTTTAAACCATTCCTCAAACTGGGGTTCTGGACAGTTACATTGATCTGCGTAAGTAGGTCCTGAAATAATATAATAGGTAATGTTTAATAATTTGTTTATTTCACCCATTTATTAACACTGTAGAAGTAATATGTTATGCAATAATTATGCTGAATAATATAAAATCTCTGAATGAACATCTACATAGTCATGCGATGATTCAATTTTAAAAGGCATGATTTACAGCAATTTATTTACCTTTAAACTTATAAGGCGACTTTGCTACATCTTTTTTGCCATACAAAACATGAATGGACAATTCCAAACATGTTTCATACACTTTATAACGTACAATAAATGTCCCATCTTTTCTGTCTAACTTGTTAACCCAAACACGGCAATGTTTGCCATCACTTGATTTGCCATTTATTTCTACTACCAAATTTTTATTTATTTCTGGTGTATATCTGGAACAAATTTCAATAAAATATCAGAACTACCTCATAGTTACTCATACCTGAAAAATATTATGAAGACAAACTGGACTCTAGTCCATCTCAAATTAGTACTTATTTTATCTTTGTTCTGTAAATTACAATACTTGCACCTTTATTGCAGAGTAAAATCATCAATAATAACAAGATTATACACAATTGGATAAGATATAATAACACGTAATATGGCCAGAATATTCCCTAAAGGAAGGAAGATATACAGGTATTTCATTACTTGTGGTTGTGACAGGTTTTGACTTAAACTCTATTGATAGTATAGAATGTACAATTTTTTAGTTACAACAATATTTTTTACAGATAGATATTAAAAAATACTCACGATCGAGCATTGATATGTGTAAAATTGATGAAAAAGTATCTTGCCGGCATTACAATTGCTTGTGGATTAAGGCCTGGGCCTGTTAGAATTATATCATTGTTTTGTGTATATGATGAAACATATAAAAACATAAAAGAGAAAATAGTCTCCAATTTCATGTTGTTATTTTTGTTACACTAATTTTATTATACTGCAAATGTAGTCACAAGTAAACAAAACGAAAACAAACATAAAAATAACCTATAAAATAAATATTTATAGATTATAGATAACTATATAAAAAGTAGTCTATGACATAGACAACCAAAGAACCATAGGAACTAGGTTCAGTGCCCTTAGTGCGAGCTTTGCTTTGACAGCAAACCACTTCAAACCATTAAATAGTAAATAAACGTTACGTTCTTTCGAAACGTTGATTTTCTACCCTTTCTTTAAAAATAGGCAACACTCTAGCGAAAACGTAAAGGAACTAAATGCAGGACGAGTTGGTTTATCTTAAACCTGGGACCTGGGTTTTGTACTCAGACAAACTCAGGGGTTCACCAACATCTCGACGCTCAGGGTATTGTATGACACTTTAGTACGGAGTCACCTCGAGCACAGTGCAGTTATATGGGCGCCTCACGAGGCGAAATACAGTGTCATGTTGGAACGTGTCCAAAATAAGTTTACAAGACACTTGTATTCCAAACTTTATGGAGTTTATCCATTTTACCCTCCCATGTACCCTACTCTCTTTGTTTTGTGTATTAGGGTACAACGAGTTAAGGGTGCGGAGGGACTTTATACTGGTAGCGTATGTGGTGAAGCTGTTGCGTGGCGTAGCGCATAACCCGGGAGTGTTGAGACACCTGCAGCTATGTGTGGAGGCGGAGACGCCCGCCTCTCCTCGCTGTGCCGGCGGCCAGAACCAACTTACTGGCAAGGGCTCCTCTCACTAGAGCCATAAATGTAGTGAACAAAGTCCATGAAAGGATTGATGTATTGTGTTGCAAAGTGGGTGAATTCGTAAAAGTCACGTTGTATATATTATGTTTTTCAAATGTTAATTAAGATTACTATATTATTATTTTTTTTTTATTATTATTGTTATTTAGTAAGTAGTTGCACTGCTGATCTCGTGACTATAGTGTCGACAGTATTATATCATTTACTTTTATAAAGTTAGGATTTTTAATGATTAAGTAATTACATACTCTTTGACTAAGTTAATTATATTATAGGTGGGTATGTACATTTTTAGTTTAAGAAGACAGGTAATGTTTTTTCTTATTTTTTTTCCTTTGTATGTTTTTAATCCTAAAGTTTAGGTCATAATTAAGGTGTTGTATGATTTCTTTTTGATTGTGTTATGTTGGTTTAAATTAGTCAATAATTACTTAGATTCGGATATAGGCCTAAGCTATCGTATTGGAGAAATCTGTAATGGTAGTATAAGGTAAGATTTTTAAATAAATAAATAAATTAAAATGTTAAAACTTGATCAATGTTACAGTTGAACGTCTATATACAATAAAAAATACAATCAGACCAGCTAATACCTAGAGATTTCTGCTTCACACCTCTAGCTTTTTGACTTTGACAGTGAAAGTGGAAATACATTCCGTGATATCAGCCTAGCGCAACTTAGAAGAAAAATAAAAATGTATGGGCTTGGCACGGCAAATAATGGCACACGGAAGTAGCCGGATATTGCCATCCCACTCCCTCAGTACAGTTCTCTTTCTTTCACTAATCCGTCGGCCATTTTGTTTGAAGTTTTGAACTTTGAATGTCGTTGCTTTTGTAAGTTTATGTTGTTATTTTCATAATTTCATAAATTTACGTATAATTTGTTTAGTTAATTAGTGGTTAGTGATACGGCTGTGACTAGTTACGTGTTCAAGTAAAATGCCACCAAAAAAACGGTTTCTAACTTGTGAAATCTGCGGAGGACGATCCGGTCGTAAAAATGGCGAGAAAAGGATGTTTATGGCGAAATTTCCTTTGGATGAGGACCGGTAAGCATTAAATGATATAATTTTATTTAATTCTAAGTATAAAAGGCTACAAATACAGGTAAATTGATTTTCATGTACTTATTGTGTACTAGTGATGTACCTCAAGTATCGATAGTCGCAGACTTATGTGTGGGCTAAACTCCAAAGATCCCTTGAGTTATTTATTCTTTCGTGATTTACTTTCCAGACCACACCAAAGAAGTAATGATGTTATTAGATGTTGTTGAACAAAGTTGTGACACGACAAACCCAGTAGATTTTAAGAAATTAATGATTAAACCTCAGAATACAGAACAAACCAGAAGGCGTCATCGCGCTTCAAACTAAAGCAAATAAAACCATTCTCAACTAGAGTAGTATGAAATTTCTACGATTAGTCAATTTTGGCACGTGGCATGTCGTGACGTATTTACGAGTATCAATTTTAATTTCATTATGCCGTCTTGTGTTATTACTACGAGTAAAAATGCGACTGGAATGACGAAAAAAGTGGATAAGATTACATTTCATCTGCAAGCATCGACTGCAATAGTATATTTAATTAATTATTGAATTTTTTTTATCGATTTATTTTTCTATGAAAATGATGCGGCCATTTTGTGAGTGTTGTCATTTTTGGTGAAAATTTTATCCACTAATTTATTTGTTGTGGGTTATATTTTTGTCCATTATGGAGCCTATGTCATACTAGTTTCCCTGACGACTAACAAAAAAGAAATCATACAAAGGGCACGGTTACATTAATTTCGGAAACCATCTAGCCGGAGCATAGTTTGCTCAATTCACCTTGAAGACATATATTTATGACAAATAATATATGACAATATTAATTTCAATTATGACCATACATATTATAACAACTAAACCATCAAAAAACGCAATAAAACCATTGTACTTATTGAAGCTTTGTTTTATTTGTTGTGTATAGTAGGTGTAACTAAAATTAAAACAGTCAGAAATCGTTAACTTTAATGATACCTCTATGAAATGTGTGAACAACTAGTCTGTTGCATTTTTCGTAAGTTTACCTATTTTGTTGGGTTTACCCATATCTTACCCTCCTGTTGTAAAATTACCCCAAACCAAGGGAATTGTTCCACTGTCGGCAACACTACGCGGGTGGGAAGTGCGGCTGGCGGGGGGATTGACGTATTGTGTTTGGACACATTTGACGACATGTAATTATGAGTGAACGCGGATTCTGGTTTGTTCTGTATTCTGAGGATTAAACGTAGATAAAAATTTATGTATACTGTATTCGTAAAATTTATGCATTTATTATATAAGGAACGCCAGCTGTTTACACAATTTAGAGTTATTCATGTCAGGGACTGTCCATTTTGATTTTTTCCATTTTTCAGGTGCCGGCAGTGGGTGAAAGTTGTTGGCAAAGAAGATTTAGTGTATGTGCCCATAGAACCAATTTACTGAACCAATATATGTATTAAGTATTAGAGTCCACTTAATTTAAATAATTTTAGTTAGGTCCTTAACACACCGTCCGTTTATAACATGAATTTGAATATTATTACAAAAATATATTTTTTAGTTTTTAATATAACACAATGTTTTATTTCAAATCCGAACTTTATCTTAGAGATCGAAACTAAAAATTAAAAAAGTAATATGACCTCGATTTCTACCCTATAAATATTATCGATATCGATACTACAACTAGTATACAGCTACCACAGAACTATTTGGTCTTTTAGGTTGGTACTATTGATTTTGACGGCTGACATCTTTTATTTATTGCAATGTAGGTATTAGAGTGCCGTGTAAATTGATTCCACTGGCTTGTATGGGAGTCCCGTCCATAGATTATAGTAATATACTAGAGATAGATGGGCAACTCAGCTTTACAATGATTTTTTTACGCGTGCTCACTATCAGAGGGCGCTGAAAAGAATGGCGCGAAAATTTAAATATCAACCTACTTCTCTATACCCATACATACGCATTATATGTATGTAGATATACTACTACTTCTTTGTGTGTTTGATGTTTCTTACTTCTTCAAGCGCAAACACTTGAACATAATAATATTTGGATGAAAGTTGGCAATAATTTAGTATGTACATCAGAATAGCAAATAAGCTACTTTAATACTAAATTGTTAACATAAAATTGAGTTGATTAAAAATTTAGTTCAAGATCCACATTGCCATTCTATTGTTTTAATAAATTATTTAAAACGAGGATTTATAAACATTAATAAAACATAAATATATTTTTTAATATTTATTAAGTACTAAAAGTAAAAGGGTTTTTGGAAACCAATCAAAGAAACACCTTATCTAGAAAAAATGCACACTATAAAAATGAAAATACATCCCACTACAACTGCCATGGCCATTAAATCTTTCAATGCTTAAAATAATATTTGGTTTGATTAATTAAACTACATTAATTTCGTAAAACTTGTTTAAACAGAGTCCAGTTTCTGAATGCTTCTAGAATGAGGCTTCATACAGTTTTTGAAATAGATGTTCATGCCAGAAATAAGGAAGATCCAATATAAAAAATTAAGTTTTTATTTGAATGGATTTGAAAGTGCAGAAAATGTCGAAAAAGTTAATATTGATGTTAATATATCTGCATCTTCCATATTGTTTTAATTTTAATCTTATATATCGTCTGCTTACAACGAAAGTGTGATAAATGCACTTTTTTAAGAAATTGAGTTAAAAATGCAGTTATATGTATTTTTTACACTCTATCTACTGGTAAAACCGAATTAATGATATGACCAATGGTTGCTGAGATATTGAGTTTGTAAAAGTGATATCATTTACATTTTGAAAAAAAAAGTATAAAAGAATAAATAATCTTATGACATAAACACGTTTCAGTTTATACACATAAGAAACAATAAATATGGTTAAAACATTTTACTACTTAAAAACATCTACTCCGTTAGTTAATTTATACACAGCAATAATGAAATAAATGCCACTTATGCTTTTTTACCAGTAAGAACGAGAGCGATCGAACGCAGTTTTGTGTTTCAGGCGCTTCCTCACCCGGGCCTGGTCTTCCGATTATACTCTACTACAAATCTATACTTCAAATCACCCAGGTGATCAAAGTAGACTAATTCTTCTTATTATTCTTTTACTGGTTACTTTTGTGTTTGGTGTGAGTTTTATAATATTTTAAAGCTTGAATTTTTACTTTATCATCTACATGCCTTACATGTTTGCCTTTTAATATTCTATTTACATTATTGCACCAACTATAAATAATACATTTAATCAAAAAATTTGTGACAAAAATCTCAATTTTTTCTTTGTGTATATCACAAGATAAAAAATCAAATTGCACAATATTCCGCACCAATATTTTAATTTTTCTAATTATCCCGCTTTTGTGTGGACAGTTTTTTAAAAAATGTTTTATTATTTTTATAATATTATTAACACAAATAGTAAAGTTTTGTGAAGGATATTGTAATGATTTTCTGGTAATATCTATTGAAAGAATATAGTTATCTACTTTGGGCGGGGTAGTGTCGTATAAATCTAGATTGCATGTGTTGCAAGATTTGCATATCAATGTCTTTGTTTTCTTTATAACATACCCCGCCACATACTTTTTTGTTTCAGAAACAAGTTCGTTATCTGAGCCACCTGCCAAAATATCATTACTACATATTTCTTCTATTTTATCATCGTCATTATGCCTTGGAGGCTCAGGAGGATTATTCATCAATAAAACATCTAAATTGTGGAGCATTTTGTTTGTATCCTCCTCACAATTTGCCCCCAAGGAATGATTTGAACATAAATTATTGACAAGTAATGTTTTATAAATATTTTCAAATTGAAGGCAGGTGGGATTTATATTTCTAACCCCGTGGCTTCTTACTGAAGAGAAAAAGTTTTCCACAGGGTCTTGATTTAAATTTCTCATTAACAAACTTGTTATATTATATTCTTTTGTCAAATATTGCCAGAAATCCTTCACTGTTCGGATATTGTGAATCCAATTTTTTATCGAAGGAACCTTTTCATATGATACTGTCATAGTACCATCCCTTTTTTTTGCCTCAGTTTTGAACGCCATGGAACACAGAACTGGTAAAATTTTATTCCAAAGAGTAAAATGTTCGGAATTATTTTTCACACAAGTTTTATAAATTTTATGGGTTATTTTATATGATCCTCCATTAAATGAATCAAAAAGTTGATCAAATAACAAAAGAAGATCAGCTGTGTCTGTACATTCTTGAGGTAGAAGATGTTTCCCTGAAAAGAAAAAATAAGGTTTAAATGAACATGCAATTTCAGTTTTCATACGTAGATATCGATGAGAATACCAAATGACATACAGGATATACAGCAAAGTGAATGGAGCCAATTAATTTCAATGCTAGTGAATCTAATATTTCTCCTGCTAATATTATAAATGCGAAAGTTTTTACAAGCAAGACCATAGGTCAAATGCATAAGTCAATAGGTAGGTAGTCAAAAGAATATCGCCGCCCGGCAAGTGTTATAAAAATGCCTAATTCGACATATCGAGACTTAATTTTTTACTATTTTCTATATGATAATTATCAATGTCCTATAATTTTATTTAAACAAATGAAAAAAATAGATGTCAAAACGTAACTTTTATGTGTTACGACACTTTTTTGCCGGGCGGCGATATATTCCATGAAATCAAATGAAAAAAATAGATGTCAAAACGTAACTTTTTTGTGTTACGACACTTTTTTGCCGGGCGGCGATATATTCCATGAAATCAAATCAATAATTATTTGGACAAGGATCTCATGGGCTACTCTTTCTTTATAAAATGATACATTACTTTTCTCATCAATTTAAAATCAGTAATTAGTAAACTGAAGAATATTCTGAGTACTTACTAGCACAAAATCTAAGAGCACCTGACACTCGTTGACTGAATACTTGCGCAGCATGTTTCACCTTCATTTTGGGTATCTTCTCAGGCAGCACATGAGCTTCAGTGAGCTTATTGCACATTCTTAGCTCATCTTCACCATCGTCAAGGTCCAATAACAATTTAAGATGTTCCCACTTAGCAGTTTTTTGTTTGCCATCCTGTGTGAATCTTAGGTCTTTTTTTAATAAATTATTTCTTATACATTTTAATAAATGTGGGGCATCAAATAATGGGAATATTTTCTGGTCATTAATTTCAAATGCATTATATTTAAATTCTGTATTTTTCTTTAAATATTCCCCTCTTGTCTCTGAAAGTAACTCATGGACTACTTTTGAATTTATTGTTGACTGGTCACAAACTGTTGCCACAACTGTCAGTCCAGCCTCAAATATTTTTTTTATGACATTTTTAATTATATTTTTTAAAATTACTGCCTTTGTAGCACTTTTACAAAAGCCATAAAATATAGGCTGTTTATAGCAATGATGTATAAATCTATAGATACGTTGTCCGCGCTCTAAAATGACAACATGAAATGAAGGCAATTGACAACATCGCGCTTAGTTACGCACCAACCTGCCGCGCGACGCTACGTTTGTTTTTAATTTATATCGTGTGTGTAAACCTGTGCGTAACATAAGTAAAGCATGCCGTCGTGTGTGTTCAGACGATGTACAAATTATACTCCAAAAGTTAAAGACAAAAATGTGTCATTTCATGCGTAAGTTCACCAAACAACCATTTTTATTTTATTTTTTTCGACGCCGGCGCCCGCCATCTTATGGCGGCCATCTTATGAAAATGTAGTTTTACTATTACTTATCCTGTGATGTAACTGAAGATGTATATTTATCTCCCTCTAGCAAAAGCATTCCACTATACGATGTCATATTTTCTTACCCTTTCTTTACTAGTAGAAGTAGTTATCTAGTATTTTCGCCGTTTTTAAGCGCCGCGATGTTGGTTCATGACGTGTCTATATATAATACGTCATTGGTTTATAGTGCATTTTTATGCCTTTGATCATGAGTACTAACACATGATCTGCAATGTTTTCTGTTTGATTTGAATTAACATCTTTCCCAAAGTCTTCAAATCCGATTATTTGGTCTGCTGGTATGTTTAAATTCATTGCTGGTGAGAGAGCCATCTCATCAAACATTAATATACACAACCTTTGTTCCGTGTTAAACTTTTCAGTAGCATTTTTAATTTGTTCAAAAATTACAGGATTTAAACCAGGTTTAAGGGTTATTTGTTTAAGGACATTTTGCAATGTCCTCTTCGATGGAATTACAAAAATTTTTCTTAAAAAATTATACCCTTTGGGACTTTTTTTATATATTGCAAGGGCCAACAATTTGTACTTAATGCTAAACCGTCTGCCACGGTTCTTTTTTTTATACTGCGTCAACTGCATATTAACAAATGTTTGAGTGGGAACAGACAAAGATTTGACGATCTTTTTAAATAATTTAGTTTTTGACATTTTTTGTGCTGCCTTAATTTGATCCTTTTGCACATTCAGTTTCTTTTTCAAATAATCAATTTTCTTTATCATTATCTCCATTTGTTTGGTCTGTTTTACTTTACTGATTTTACCTGAAAAAACAATTACATACAGTATTCAATAACAATAGTACCTTCTTAAATTGAACTTTAAACACAAGTAGATGAATACATAATAATATATTAGAGAACATCCAGGATGCGGGTGAAGCAAATACTAGCTAGTAAATACTAGCTGTTTTACGATAATTTATTTATTTAATTTGATGATTTATTTTACAAAATGAAGTAAATTAGGTTATTTCACAATCTAACTAATAGTAATAACTATGTATAATTTAAGTGTAAGTGCGACACTGTTTGCTCCAGTCAGTAAATATTAACATTATTTTATTAAGACAGAATAACTCTGATAAAAAAAAAATTAAGACACCAAGTTTTGTTTCAAAGTTGCATAAAATGTTATTATTTAATAAGAGTTTAAACCCAATAAAAATATCTTACCAGTTTTGGTCACTAATTCGGGATTAGGAACCTGGGAAGAACATCCAGGGAGAATTTGTGGCACCATATCAATATCCATTGATTCAGACAGAACTTCTGGTACTGATTGAATTTCAATGGATTCATCTTGATTAGAGGAAATAAACCCTGTAATGAATTAAATGTTATACATATACTGATTTAAAGAATTTGTTACTGAGATCTTCTGATTGATCAGCGAGGGGTGCTTTTATATACCTATATACATTATATGTATTTATTTATTACTAGCTTTCGTTTCCGTTTGGGTGTGAAGAGGTAAGAAACATCTATATATAATAGTAGTAGAAGTAACACACATCCAATTACAGGTTCTCACGGGTAAAAACAGAGAAAGCTGTAGAAATCTTAGGATTATAGTTATTAATTAGATTATTAATGCTAGAAAGGTTTTGTAGAAGTATCTCATGTGACATATTCAATATTATTTGTTGCCATTTTTACATAGAGAAGTTAGTCGGGTTATTTTCTTATCCAACAGGTATGTTAAAGAAATACTTTCATGCATAATTTCACTATGGATGATCAACTGCGTATGTAATAAAATATGTTTTAATAAAAACTTAATATGTTTTAATAAAAACTTACCCAAGTTAAGAGTAGGAAAAGAAGTCTTAGCTAGACGCTTAGATTGGGGGTAAAAAAAGCGTTCTTCAAAATGATTATTACAAATACGACAATTTGTGTATATATCATCATTTGTCTTGTCCTCCAACTTTGATCCAACTATTTTTTTCCATTCCAAAAACCGTTCTAAAGATGTTTCTGGTTTTGGAAATCGATGTAAAACATCTGAAATAAAATGTGGTGCAAAGATTATCTCATTGTTCATTTCAGATATGTCTTGCAATCTATACTAATACTCATATTATAAAGAGGAAAGATTTGATTATTTTTTGGATTAAAGAGGCTCCAAAAAGACTTGACCGATTTGAAAAATTATTTCACTGTTGGGAAGCTACACTATCCCCGGTCAACAAGTAATCCGGTTAAGTGAAGAACGCCTATACATATATAAATATACTTGATATCAAATAAGTCAAGCCACCCAGACTTAGCAAAGAATAATAAGTTCTAAGTTAAATTATAATTAAATGCAAGTAGCAGTAAACATACCAAACTGATGACAACCGAAAACACAGCACTCTCTTCGTGGCATTTTTTCAAGGCAAATCTATTCACAAAGCGAAAACAAATCCGTATTCAGCAGCCGAGGTTTATCATTCACAAGGAAGATATCAGTCCAGGTAGCGAGCCGTAATTATCGTGTGGTAGAAGATATCGGTAGGGTCAGTATGTGTCACAATGAGAAAATATCAACAGGAATCAGAAACGAGAAATTGCGAGAAATGAAAAAGTTAATAAAAGTTTTGAACAGTTTTGAAAATTTTCAAAAATGACATAACCTAGTATATTACTATAATCTATGGACATAACTGCCTATCTATGGCTCAGCCCATAGATGATAGACTGATTGTTAGTTTTTGTGTAAGGACTCATTTAAAATTACTTTAATTAAAATATGATTGCAAAATGTTTAAATTAATAAATACGTTAGTGTGTATAATATCATATATAAAAATTGCTGAAATTATTATTGTTACATCAATGCGTACGCCATCTAGTGTTGTTGAGTGTAATTACCATACAATTTATTCCCGTACTCACGTTTAGATGGCGTTACGTGCTTATGAATATTTTGTATTCATTTTTCCTTCTAAGTTGCACGCCTATGGTCCCGTCTCTTAAACGTAGTGGTTACATACTCTTTGCGTGATATGACAGTGACAGTAAATAAACGTAGTGGTTACATACTCTTTCACAGTAACAATAATGTGCATTGATCACTCAGTCGGTGTATTTGTTTCAATGTTATATTAATCAGATTTTATTCACTGCGTAACTTTTTGCTAGTTTATGATTACTAAAACAAACTTCAATATTTTTATATGGACAAGAAATAATAATGGCTACTGGAAATTTGAATCTTTTACGCAATGCCTTAAGTAAACTAAGGTTATAAATGAAACTTATAACTTATTTATTTGTTCTGTTACATCAAATATCATGTAAAATAAATTTGCCTATGTGTTTTATTACAGAATTGATCATGTGTTCACTAGATCTCTTCAACGTCCAAGGTACCGACCCCCGTATTGGTATGCACCTAAGGAAAGCGCGGTATGTGTTAAGAATAATAATTGTAGATTTTTCAGATAATGACATGTTTGTTTGTAAATCTTTTAATTTAATTAATATTTTAGACCCCAGATGAATTTCTCACTCAAGAAAACAAACAGTTCATTGAAGAAGTAATGCAGGATAAAATGCAGCTACAGAATTCGTTACAATCACCTCTAGTAAATATTGACCAAAATCAAACATCTGCATGGAATCCAAGAACGCGTAGAGTAGGACTTATAGCTCGTAAAATTGGCAATTATCCTCTTTGGACTAAAGATGGGAAAAAAGTCCTTACAACTCTGTTGCAGGTAACTTATTATATCAAACTAGCCCTTACCCGCGGCGTCGCTCCCGTCATTTGACTACCTACCCTACTCTACCTACCGTACTCTACCTAATCAACACTACCTATTTTTTTCCTATCCTTTGTCCTTCTCTCAGTTCTTTGCTTCCTCCCTACAAATTTTCAACCAAATCGGTTCAGACGTTACTGAGTTAGAAATCTAACACGACTTTCTTTTATATATATATATATATATATATATATATATATAGCGAGATATATATATATATATAGAGAGCGGACAATATATATATATATATATATATATATATATATATATATATATATATTAAATTAAATCCTTTATTTCAAGTAGACCACTACAAGCACATTTGTTTGTCAAGCAAAAAAAACTTTTAACTTTATGAGTGTCAGTCTGTCCGCCTTTTCTCTAGTAGGATCTCTAAGGGATATAATGGATATCTATTTAAAACCAAACTGAAGAGTAAATCTGACCAAGGTCCTGTTGACATGACCTTTGAATTTTAGTCTCTGAAGATCCAGGACTAACTAATAAACGAAAGTATTCGGCCAAAAGTGGTGAGGGACGCCATGGCCTCCTCATCCTTCGCCTTCCACAGGGGTTTACTGACTTAGGCTGATCGGCGCCGAGTCCTCAGGAAAGTTATCGGCAGCGGTGACTTTCGTGTCTGGCCTTGGTTGAAGGCAATGGAGCGTGTGTTGTTGAAACTAATGTACACTTTTATTTTAAGGTTGTAGATAACCATGTTGTAAAGTATATCCCACCTGAGGAATTTAATCCCATGAAAACTTCATCTGTTCAATGGAAAGAAAAACGGAAATTGGGATGTATGTTAGTTGGATCTGAGACCATAGATCCCAGCACTGTCACAAGAGAATACTGTGGCTTATTTAATAACGCAGGCATGCTACCCAAGAGACATCTATTTAGGTTCATGGTATCACCAGAATCTTATATTTCACCAGGAACACCATTATTTGCAACACATTTTAGGGTAGGAGACTACATTGATGTAAGAGCTAAAACGTGAGTAAATTTAATATGTATTTGTTATTGGTTAAAATAAAATTTATCTTTTTACCATTTCACACAAGAAAATATATACCACAGACTTTCCGAATCAATTGTGGTGTAGGAAAACATGATCATGAGAAAACCTAGACTATAATTCATATTTAGAAGTTTAAAATGACTAATCTGCCTTGAGCATTTATCTCCTAGCATAGTGATTAATGCTTAATTCTTCTTTTGAGAAGAGGTTGTTTCTTACCTTGTCGAGAAAATGGACACATTCAAAATAGTAATGCATATGTCGCAGGGATATGATAAAAACAGGGATTTGGCCAAATTCCTAAGGGATTTGATCAAATCACGGAGGATGTTAAAATAACAACAAGTTTTTATCATTTCCCTAAGCAAATCTGGTGATTTGACAAATCCCTAAACTTATTTAGTGAAATGATAATAAAACATGTCCAGTTCTTGTTTACGAAGTGTGGGAGAGCCATGCTTCGGCACGAATGGGTCGGCCCGACCGGAGTGATACCACAGCCTCACAAAAAACCATGTTTGGAGAGAGGCCAGTTTCCGCTGTCGTGGAAGACGGGTAAACTGGTCCTCGTGAAGAAGCCGGGGCGTCCTGCGGACTCTCCGTCCGCGTACCGGCCCATTGTGCCCTGCTGCTCGACGAGGTGGGAAAACTGTTCGAGAGGATAATCTCAGACCGCCTCGTCGGGCACCTGTCTGGAAGGGGGCCGGATTTAGCGGACGGCCAGTTCGTCTTCCGCAGAGGGCGCTCCACGGTGGACGCCATCATGCGCGTGAGGGACCTCACGACGGGGACTGCGTTGGCCAGGAGGCGGGTCGTCGTGGCGGTGTCTCTGGACATCGCCAACGCCTTCAACTCGTTGCCCTAGAGCTGCATTCTGGAGGCACTCCGGTATCACCGGGTGCCTGCCTATCTCCGTCGTGTAGTCGAGGCTTACTTGACGGACAGATGCGTCATCTGCCCTGGTCACCGGCGCGTGTGGAATCGGCGAGAGGTGTCGCGCGGTGTTCCACAGGGATCGGTCCTGGGACCTCTCCTGTGGAACATCGGGTACGATTGGGTGCTCCGCACCGACCTCCCGAGCGGCGTCAGCATTGTTTGTTATGCTGACGACACGCTGGTGCTGGCGAATGGGAGGTCACATCAGGCGGCGGCCGACCTGATGTCGCAAGCGGTCGCGACAGTCGTTGCAAGGATCCGGCAGTTGGGACTCGAGGTGGCGCTTCACAAGTCCGAGGCCATGTGTTTTTATGGCCGTCGGAACGCGCCACCTCCTGATGGGTCCCAAATAACGGCAGGAGGAGTTACCATCGGCGTCGAGTCGGCGATGAAGTACCTGGGTCTCGTCCTCGACAGCCGATGGAACTTCACGGAGCATTTTCGTCGTTTGGCTCCTAAGTTGGAACGGTCTGGGGCCGCGCTCAAGCGGCTCCTTCCCAACCTCGGGGGGCCAAACGCCTCCTGCCGGAGGTTGTATATGGGGATTGTGCGATCCATGGCCCTCTACGGTGCCCCTGTGTGGGCGCCGGACTCGAAGCGGCGGCCGGCTCGTACGCTGGTCGCGTCCCAGAGGGTCATGGCTATCCGAGTAATCCGCGGGTATCGCACGCTCTCCGGGGAGGCGGCGAACCTCCTTGCCGGATCACCGCCGTGGGATCTAGAAGCGAACGCGCGAAACTGTAAACGCGCTCGCGCGCGTCTACAGTTTGCGCGTCGCCGGGGCGAAGATCCTCTGCCGCGCCAAATTAGTGCGTGGCGAAATGAGCTCCGGCGAGATCTCATGGCTGAATGGAAGCAGCGACTGTCGCAACCGAGGGCCGGGCACGCTACTATAGCAGCGGTAAGACCCCTCTTTGAGGAGTGGCTTGAGAGACGCCACGGCGTCCTCACCTTCCGCCTGACGCAGGTGCTTACCGGGCACGGCAGCTTCGGTAGGTTCCTGTTTCGGATCCAGCGGGAGGAAACGCCCGAGTGTCGTCATTGTGAGGACCACCTAGAGGATACGGTGGAGCATACTTTAGCGGTATGCCCTGCCTGGGCTGAGCACCGCCGTATCCTCAGGGAAGTGATCGGCGGCGGCGACCTCTCGCGCCCGGCCTTAGTCGAGGCCATGGTGCGGAGTGAGAGGAACTGGGACGCTGTCTCCTCCTTTTGTGAAGCAGTCATGCTCGCAAAGAGAGAGGCGGCCCGCGTTAGGGAGCAATCCTCCTCCTCACGCCCCAGCAGCCGCAACTGGCGACACTACGGGCGTCGGGGATCGAGGGACGATCTCCGGCCACCGTAAGCACGGGCCTGCGGTCGGCGAGTAAGGACAGCTCGCCGCCCGACCAGAACCAGGCCCGAGCGTACGGCGCGTAGCGTTCCGCGCGCGCCTCAAAGAGCCATTCGACCACCACAGACGGGACCCTAAAGGGCTGATGTTCAGCCGGGGTTGCGGGGTAAGCGCAATGAGGTACCGCGACCTCGGCACAGAGCAGGAGAAGGAACAGGGGGGTTTTTAGTCAGTAAGAGTCTGACACTCCCTCCTGCCCAGCCCTGAGCGGGAGAAGTCATTTGATGATTTTCCCCTCACAAAAAAACAAAAAAAAAAGCCTCACAAAAAACCGGCGTGAAACAACCACAGCGTTGTGTTTCGCCGTGTGAGTGAGGTTACCGGAGGCCCAATCCTTCCCCTCCCCCAATCCCTCCTTAATCCCTAAATCTCCAAATCCCTAATCCCTAAAAGGTCGGCAACGCACTCGTAACTCCATCGTTGCGGGTGTCCATGGGTGGCGGTGATTGCTTACCATCGGGTAATCCGTCTGCTCGTGCCGACCTATTAAAACGTCGCGCTCGCACTTGCTTGTCAGTGACCGCGCCTTAACTTAAGTTATTCTACGTATATTTTTTTTTAATTTTTGTTTCTCTTTTTTTAAATAATAATGTTCTAGTGGTGATTTTTGAGATTAATATTGCATTGTGATACACCTGATTTTTATAATTATGTAGGCAATCTTACAAAATAAACCTTAAAAATATCAAAAAAGTTATTTTTGTCATTTAACTGAACCAATTTATGGATTTGATCAAATCACTAGATTTCTTTAGTGAGATTTGTCAAATTACCAGATTTGCTTAGGGAAATGATAAAAACTTGTTGTTATTTTAACATCCTCCGTGATTTGATCAAATCCCTTAGGGATTTGGTCAAATCCCTGTTTTTATCATATCCCTGCGACACATACATTATTCAAAATTATTACAGAATGGACCGAGGATTTCAAGGAGTAATGAAGCGATGGGGATTTAAAGGTATGCCAGCATCCCATGGTGTCACAAAAACTCATAGAAGACCTGGAAATATTGGTTCTGGTGGTGAGAAAGCAAGAGTATGGCCCGGTACTAAGATGCCTGGACATATGGGAAATAGGTAAATTACTGGTGAATCAAAAAACAAATTTACATCAATCATCAGTCTTTTTTGCTTATTTCTTTTTCATTTCTAGATGGCGAATTCTACGTGGTGTCAAAATCCTGCGTATAAATACACAATATAATGTTATCTGGACTTTAGGTGTAGCAATACCGGGAGAAACAGGAGCAATGTGTTATTTATTTGATACAGTTCTTCCACTGAAAAAACATTCAACATCGCCTCCTTTTCCCACACAGCCATTAGTCGAAGATTTACCGTTAGAATATTTTGATGAGTCTGTCCAACCCTTTGATGAACGTTCTATAACTTTTGAAGAAGTTTAAGTAATATAAGTTAATATTATAGCATATATTATGTATTGCAATAGAAAACTTAATAGAATACAGTATCATATTGTTTTATTTCTTGACCAGCTTTTCCCAGCGGCTTCCTAGTGTTGACGAGCAAAAGTACCCCCTAAGTTACTCCATACTATGTCTAATCTATTTCTATGTCATATCCATTTAAATCTATTCAGGAGTTTTTACGTGAAAGAGTAATAAATAACAATCTGATCAATTGTTTTAACCCCCGACGCAAAAAGAGGAGTAAGTATTCAAGTTCTTTTTGTACCTATTACAGGATTTACAGGTGTTTTACGGGCGAGTGTTCTTAGACATGTTTGATGAAAATCGATTGAGCCTTTTAGTTTTTTTTTTTCTTTTTATGGCAACTGATCCTCCTATGCTGTCGACTATACTGCCAGTGTCGAGTTGTGACGGCAGTTTAAAGACCCGTCGAACATTGACTTAGCGGTAGTTTGTTGTTAGTAGCTAGAAAGACAACACACTTGGGTTAGTAAACATTTAACATGGATAAATATACAATTAATTAATTTATACGTAGTTTAACTAAACATAGACAGTCACAGGAAAAGGGTATACAGCAGACAAGGAGATAAGTATAATAAGTATATATGTCACCAGAAAATAACAATATCCGTAAGTTTATCATTTTACTAGGAAGTTTATAAACTTTCGTAAGATTCTAAACAGGAGATAAATTGTAATATTTTACGTCCACATTTTCGTAAATTGAAACTTACTGAACTCACTCGTAAAATAATAAGTAAGCAGTAACCAAAAGCTACGCGCGATCTGATTGGTTGGCAGTCTTGTGTCACTTCTCCTTCCTCGCGGCCGCCATTGCTGGCCACGGAACATAAACAAACCGGTATGCTATTGAAACTGATTATATAAAACTCAACTCACTAAATCCGTGCCAGAAAGGAATCAGGCATTGTTGCTTCCCACAGTTGCTTCCAGTTTATAGTTTTTCAAGTCTAATTATTCCAAAGTCTATGGACACAAGCATTGCCAATATGAACATTGACCAATCAGAGAGCAGTGTGTTATTTTAAGTATTTCAAAGATCGTTTAATTAAAAGAGTTTCTGTGATTGGTCGAACCATATAAAATCTTACGAATAGATATTCGTTGGTTTATAAATTTACCGTATGACTTCGGAAATTGATATATTTACAAAAATGTGGACGTAAAATATTACAATTTATCTCCCGTTTAGAATCTTACGAAAGTTTATAAACTTCCTAGTAAAATGATAAACTTACGGATCTTGCTATTTTCCGGTGACATATACATTATGATTTATATCACACACCATCATATTTTGATATTATTTTGGGAGACAAATTGGGACAGGCATTTTATCAAAAACGAAAACCTAGGGTATTTGCAAAACCAAGGCTGCCGCTGGATGCGATGGACTGGATATTTGCGTAATAGGTACCCTTCCGCTTGGAGGACTCTACCCACACTGCGTCCCACTCGCTGAACAACTTGTGTTTGGTGTCAGAACGTAAGTCATGTCATATCCATACACAAGGTAGTGATGTCGCTCGACATCGTTTGAAGCTGCAAACTTTGCCAATGTATCCGCGTATACCAGCATGGCCAGGAACCCAGGCGTTCTCAATGTTTAATCTGTCTATGTGGCAAGAAAAAAGCAAAGAATTGATTTCTATAACTAAACAGCTATTATTTGTTCGAGAATGAAGTTCGTCGTCGTATCTGAGAAAATTACAGAATTATAAAGATTATGAGCTTTAATAAATTTGTATCGTTTCTAAGATGCCAACACATTCCCCAGTAAACACAGAGGCCTGGGGACGACATTTAGAGAGCAGCGCCGTCGCGCCGTCGACATCGTTGTGGCGCTACGACCGCGCAGTTTTAACTAAAGAATACCGATAAGTTTTCATCAGATGTTTCAACGATGATTTCTCGGTTGTAAAGATGTTTTGCCTTAGTGAATCGCACTCCAGCGCGATTCTTGAATTTTGGTAATACGCCGCCACTCCCGTGCACTCGTTCCGGGACAATTTGGAAGCATCCGTAAAGAATACATTCCAGTTACTATTATTTCTGCTCTTTTCATCTACATATCATGAATTACTGTAATTTAGTGACTATTCTTATTACTTTTAATTTTAAACCCAAACAAACTACCTAATCTAAAATAAAAACAATTAAGTAGGTACCTTCACCTAGTATCTATACCCATCTAAACATCCATCCACACTAACCCAACTTTCGCATATATAACGTTAGTTTCGATTGGGATTGTCAAAAAAAGTTCTCATCACAAATTAAATTTTTATTTCAAACTTTCACCACATCAGACTTTTTGCCATACTACATCATGTAACCAAAGTCATATTTTATAATAATAATAGGTCATAGATTATGTTATTATTCAATTAATGCCTGCACACTATAACGCCGCACAGTCTTTAACACACAGTAATTGATTAACTGTACCTATCCTGAAATGTGACTAAAATGTGTAATGGCCCTGTTTCCAACCATTTACATAATGTGATAGTATATTTTAAATGTAGGTATGTTTTCATCATTTCTTGTGTATAATACGATCATCATATTTTCCTCATTAAATCTTAGCAAACGTGGGTAACGTAACGTGAGATGACTAGAAATGATGAGTTCTGTTAGTCCACTTTGTAGACGAACAGAACGCAACATTCCCAGCCGTCCACATTGTGGACGAACGCGAATGTTCCATCTATTTTAATTTTAGCCGTGTTCAATTCACTAGTGCAGAATTCTATTTTACGTGTGCGAGTCCGTAACATTTCACTCTGTGATTTGTAGTTTAAGTTGGAACAAGCCAATCAGAGTGCAAATGTGTCGGACGTCTCAACGTATAAAGCAAACATGCACTAAGCATACAGGTGCTCATCATGATTACAGTCAAATTTACCAAATGTATAAAATTCTGCACTTGTACATTGTCTTAGTGCATTCTTTATAATTGCGATCAATAAACTTTACTGCGGTTACTATGTACCAGCTTAATTATTTTATGAACAAATTCATGTATATCATACAAGTATAATTATATTGTTTTAATTAGATCACACCTCGAATTGATTTATGATGCAATGCATACAATAATTTCAATGTGCACAATAAAAATAAATATTGAATTTTAAAATAATTTCTATTTGCATTATTGTGTCAAAGCATTTTATTGTGTTTTAAATAATTAGAAATGTGACAAATACAATATTGTTATTACAGCTAACAGGCATTTGCTCATTTGATCCTGTGGATCACTGTTATTTCTTAATACTAACACTAATTACATATTATAGAAAAACATATTACATAGTAAATAGTGTATATATAGGTAATTATTTGAAAAAAAAATGTTCTCAAAGGCCAGGCTTTTAAATAAGTCTTGCTTGCTTATAAAATCGAGCCGATCACCATCAATGGATCTCTTTTCGAGGTTGTTCAAGAGTACGTCTACGTCGGACAAACAATCCAATTCGGTAGAAACAATTTCGAGAGGGAGTATTCTCGTCAGATACCGCAAAGCCTGAAGACATACGGAGCCGAGACGTGGACACTTACAGTGCGACTGATCCACTAATTTAAAGTTGCGATAGAAAGGGATATGCTTCGAGTCTCTCTGAAGGATCGTATGATCGTATTCGAAAAGAGGTGATCCGAAAGAGAACTAAAGTTAACGACATAGACCAAAGGATTAGCAAACTGAAGTGGCGGTGGGCAGGTCACATTTGTCGAAGAACCGACGACCGTTGGGTTAAACGTGTTCTAGAGTGAAGACCACGTCTAGGCAAACATGGTGTAGTGTAGTGTGGGCGCCCTACAGCTAGGCAGACTGACGACATCTGCAAGGGCGGCTGGAAGTGGTTGGATGAGAAGAACTGAACATCGAGTTCAGTAACGTGCAATTGAGGAGGCCTATGTCCAGCATTGGACGACATCAGGCTGATGATGATGATGCTTGTAATTAATTATCTTTCACTTATCACTTCTTATTATGGAGACCCAATATTGTTGCCGTATTATCTCTATCACTTAACAATTGAAATGTTTGTGGTAATCCAAAGAATAAAAGTGTATTTTGGAATAGTAACTGTCATGACTTCATGAGACATACTAAATTTATTGAAACAGCAACACACTCCATCGTAATTATATAAGAGTCCTGTTGTGACTCGAAACTAGGAAACTTCAATAAATTTAATAAAAATGTAGATATATTTATTATTATTAAATTATTGATACTTATTACTGTTGAGTTGGTGGTTGGAAACCATAACCAGGATAGGGTTGTGGACCACCAGGAGGCGGAGCACCAGGTGTGGGAGCACGGGCATAGGGGTATGGCGATGGAGGATATTGGGCAGGGGGATAACCTTGCTGATAAGCATGAGGTGGATATCCACCTCCAGCTGTAGGATAATTTTGAGGATTTTGTGGGTATGATCCTTGTGGAGGTGGCGCCGTAGAAACTGATGGCGCAGGGCTCCCTGGTTGCGACGATGGATTTGAATAAGGTGGCTGAGTAGCTGGCGGGTAAGGAGAAGCTTGCCCAGGAGGGGGATACTGTTGACCTGGTGGGCCACCGGATGTCGGCGCCCCAGACGCTACGGATGTTGGAGGGGCATTATTACCAAGTGAACTTGAATTGTAAGTAGGAGATTGAGCTGATGGAGATCCATAACCAGAAGTGGGTGGATTTTGTGTTGAATAACCAGTGGGTGGTGGCTGCGGAGAACGATTTGGCTGTGAAGTAGGAGTAGTACTATAAGCTGATGTTGGTGTAGTATTTGGAAAAGGTTGAGATTGATAGGGTTGGGGCTGAGACCCAGTAGAATTGTTATAAGTGCTTACACCCACATTAGGATAATTTGAGCCTGTTTGTGATGGTGGATAAGCTGAATTGCCAGTATAAGCAGGTTGTGTGGCACCACGGACTGGATAGGGTGTTCCAGCAGCAGCTGGACTACCAGGAGGTGGAGCATAAGGTTGCTGTGCTGATGATGGTGGATATCCTGGGCCTGGGTGTGTAGATGGGGGATAGTTACTTGGAGTAGTTGTTATAGGAGGACCATAGTTTGTGTTGGGAGGATAACCTTGTGGCTGTTGAGGGGGATTAGGAGATCCATAACCTTGACTGGGAGGTCCATAACCAGGTTGTGGAGGGTATCCTCCAGGAGCACCTTGATATTGTCCTTGGTACTGATTCTGCGGATATGGCCGTTGACCATAAGATTGTGTTGGTCTTGTTGGTGTAGTAGAAACTCCAGGAGGCCTGTATGATGATTGAGGTCCACCTGACACATCACCACCACTAGGAGACGGGGAATGATTTGGAGGTGCCTGTGAGTTGCCAGCTGCTAGTTGATGAGGAGGCTGTAAAATAATTTTGGTAGTTAAAAAAGAAACTGGTTCAACAATTTAAAAAGTCAAAATGTTCAATCAGTGAAAATGATTCTTGAAGCACTTTTTTATATTATGATACAAAACGTGCAAAATAAACAAAATCTTTACAGGAATAAATTTCGACAAGGTGAAACACACTCCACATTTTTTTACAATTTTAGTATGTACCCAACAACAATACAACTATTCCATGATCTCGTCTCATATTTAAACATGGGAAATTGGGTTGCTGTTTTTCTTATAAAATGAAGCTTTTATTTTATGTTTATGAAAATATTCAGAGGACTATTGCATTTATTGAAGATCTCTTTGTCAATTTGATGTTGATCTTATTTATATCGTTTTTCACTCTACAAGCAATATTAAATAGAAATAAATATTTATATTTACCGGAAGTATACTTTGAATGTTTTGGTTGACGTCTGCAACCGACGCCAAATAAACTAAATTCCTGTGTAAAACTTGTTGATATTGATGACACTCCATAAGTTGACCCTTTGATTGATATTCTTGGATAGTTTGTATTAGATGCGCATTTTCATCTAACATTTTTTGAATTTGCGCCGGGCTCAAAGGAGGTCGATTGCCGCGTGCTGCAAATGCTACAGACATGTCTAATAATTCAATATAGAATATTTTCCGAAACTAAAATGCATCCCATAAATATCGCAAAATTTGTATGAGCAGTGAACTCTATAATTCAAAAACCGTCAAGCTCTTTCTTATAATACACTTCTGTCCATCAGAATCAGCACTCAATAGTAAACATCTCACAATTATTACAAGAAAACAGACATTACACAGAAACAGCAATAAGTCAGAGCAGATCACAGACAAACACCAAAACCAAAGAGTACCTATAGATATCATAAAGGAAAAGAAAATAAAGTTGCCATGCCAAAATTTTCATACCAACTTCAAATGGTATCTGATTTTTGCACCTTCATTCATTACACAAAATTTTTAGCTTGTTTTGGCTGCTTTTGCTGAGTTCTGCGTGTCTTGGGCGTCTTGCGTGTCTTGCTGAGTTCTGCGTGTCGTGTCTTGGGCGGTTTCTCTATTGGCAGGATTATAACACTTTCTTAGAGTTTATATAAAGGTCTTTGAACACCATCTATAGTTTCTTTTTATGAATATCTATTATTTTGTTATGCTTTTCTCCTCGATATGTTTTTTTCAAATAATGTTAGGTTACCGGTCTTTATACATTATTATAAAAATATAAATTATTTTTATTTTTACTTTATATTTCACAGCAATCATTTGAATAGCAGTTTTCATACTTACTGCGGGTCTGGGTGATTGTATAAATCAGTTTCTGTGTTTTTAACGCATCCACAACACAAGAATTTCCAATGGTTAAAAGTAAATTACTATCAATACTTTTATTATTTATTGCATTTAATAAATGAAGAGTTTATGGTCCTTTACTAACGTCTCGCATGCAGTAAATCTCTTGAACACGAACATTTCCCTCGGTTGATTATTTGTTTTAAGAAAAATGAAATACAACCAATGACGTATTATACATCATTGAATACAACGGTATAATTTAACGTTTATTGTTTTCAAATAGTAAGCCATATTCTAGAAAAGTGTCAGTTACATAGGTATCCTACACTGGAAAAATCCTGGCTTGAGTTACGGTATATTTTTATCTTCAGAATTTTATTATCATCTTACCTTGATTATTATCTCTACTACTCTCGTGTCTGAGTTATAACTAATTGCTTAATTAAGCTACCTGAAAGAAAATATTTTTAAATTAATGGCATTGGCAGATTTACCTAAAATGTGGAAATTAATAAACAATGTATAATTTATTCCCATCTTTCAAGTATCTATAACATAGAGTTATTAGAGTTTTCGTCAACTCTACACGTACATTTACACAACATAACCTCAATTATTGTTAATTTGAAATTTAGACCACAAAAACGCAATAAACTTATATTACCGATGTATTATGGAATTAGAAAATAAATATAAAAACTTTATGGTCTGGACAATAAGTCGTAAAATAAGTCAAATAGGTACGTATATAAATATCAATTATATCAGCAGATTTTTATTAACATAGTCAATTGGAGGAAAAATTATTCCCGCTTCAGACGTGGCTACTTATTTTTATAAAACTACTACTTTTTTTATATAGTAATATTGATATATATAGGTATCACTGCTTCACTAGTAGTAAAGTACCTATTACGAAAAGTTTTAATCACTATTAATAAACAAGTAGGTAGGCATTAATCGTAATAGAGTAATTGACGTTTTAAAAATTGAATAGTGTTTGCACGGTGTTAGCGTTGTTGCAAACATTTTTTAACTCGGTTGCCATTGAAGAAAAGCAAAGAAAAACATTTATTAGTCACAGAGTGTCACCAAATGTAATGTCACCGAGTCACTCATTCTTGCCGAGCTGTGTACAAAGTCCGTTACACTAGCTGCGAACTAAGGAGTGTATAGGTAAACACTTGCTGTAATCAGAAGTGGAATTCAGTTGAATTTGGAACTTGCAATTGGTGCTTATCAATACCTTAGGTATGGTGGCAACTCAGTGTATAAATACAGGTCTTTGGTTGGGTTGTCATTTTGGATTAGGTACAATTTAAACATCTTGAATAAATAAGAGGTAGCTAGAATACACACATTAAACCAGATTTAATTATTACTAAGTAAAACAAATTTCAGAAGATTTGTACAATATTTTTTATGATTGGGTAGCCTAATTATTTTACCCACTTATCGGGTACTTAGAGTACTAACGCAGTTATTCACCTAATTATATTTTGAAACATTAAGGTAGTGCACAGTCACTTTGACTGTTTCAAATTATCATCAAAATAATAGCTTTTGTAACACACAATCTTATCCTTGGTATTACAATCTCACTCTGAGTGAGATTGTAACGATATGATTGTAACAAGAATATTATATAGAACACTGGATGTTGCCCCTACAAGAAATTATTGAATCCAAGTTTATTCACCTTTCGTATGTTTTTTATCTCGCTCACACTTGAATAAAATGTTGCCATAATAAAATGACTTTTTACCTTGGTAACTGATCATAAATATATGACCAAAAGAGAGGCACACATATTTTATGTTTATTTTGAAATCCAAATATCAGCCTTAAAAATTTAAACAATTTAAAAGTTATTCATAGTTTATTCAGGCTATTTTAAAGTTGTTTTTTTATTAAAATTACTTTTAAGTTTACCCACTTTTAAACTTTTAACGTGGAGTTCAAAACTTGTAACACTGTTGGGGTAGTATTATCCAAAATGGCTACTCTGTCAATTACTTTTCGACTACTCGAAGTGTTTGACTGAAGTATTTCGAGGATTTGTGAATTAATTTAAAGTGCCTTATTATGTATTGCGTAGTCAAAGATTGTACAAGTGTATGGAACACAACATGAAATGTCATCTTTCACAGGTAAGTCCAGAAATACCATATTTTAAGTTATACATTATCGTTACCTATTTTATGCCAATATTTAAAAAATCTGTAAATATTTACGTTCGAAACGGTGTCACAAACATTTATCTAGTAATCTTTGTCATCGTTTAGAAATTTATATGTGTAAATCGCATTTAATTATTAAAAAATAGGTACGTTTAGTCTTAGACGTCAAAATTGTATGTTTGTAAACAAAGAGCTAAAGAGTGACCATATTTTTTGTTAGGTAGATACTTTTTGGTTTGTGGAATGGTTGAATTTTATGTAGGCTTCGTTGCTCTTATAATGAGACTAACGTATTATATCTGAGGGTAAAACAGAAAGGTCTTCAAATTTTAATAATTAAAAGAGTGTTGAAACTAAGGTTAGAGAGGTCCTGCTATTTTGCTCTAATTACAGTAAATTAAATCAGTCAACTTGGTTAATATACAATTAATTTTATGTTTCAGTTTTCCCAAGGACTCGGAAAAAAGGCAGAAATGGTGGTCTGTTATACCATTAAAAGGGAAGTTTTATGAATCAGCAAAGATTTGTAGCTTACACTTTAAGCCGGAGAATTATGATCCATTAAGACCAAAAAGGCTTTTAAATAGTGCTGTTCCGGTTGATTCTGTACAATTATGCTCCTGTGGTAATAACGTTATGGTTAGCATTTTTTACATTTCACAATGTGCTGCTTACCCATCCAACAACCATGTTGAGAATAATATTTCAAATTACAGGCATGTAAAACGCCATTCAAATGCTTGGTTTCACCTAATGCAATGATACCGACAGAAACTGATACTTGTTCCAGTGTCAGGAAAAGAACACAGCTGTTGCGAAAAGGACATACACATCATACAAAATGAAAATATTGTAAGTATTTAACTTATTGTCTAGTATTTAGGTATGTTTTTATCCTTTTCAAAATTTGCTGCTTACATACCTAGCAATCATGTTAACAATAATATTTCAAATTACAGGCAAGTACAACGCCATGCAAGTGCTCGGCTTCATCAAATGAAACAATACCAACGCACAACACACAGTGAAAATATTGTAAGTATTTAATTTATTGTGTAGTATTAGCTTGTACTTATGGCATAGAAGTCAAACCAAACCTTCAACATCCAGGTTAGGTTTTTTTTGGTTTTTTCACGATGTAGTAAGCTCATGATAGACATTGAGACCTTTTGATCATCTTAGTTGTTACTGATTATAATCTTTGTTCCACAGGTAGTTGATGAAAATGAACCGCCAGCGAAACGACGCCGCTTAAAAGATTTTAATGTTCAATGTAAAATAAAGTCACTCGGGAAAAGTGTTTGGAAAAAACGAAAAAAAATTACAACAAAAAGTTGCGCGAAATGAACAAAAAATAAAAGATTTGAAGTCGTTAGTTTTAACATTGTTCGTAATTACAGAATATAACAGAATTCATAGTTCATAAAATTTTACAAAAAAACACTTGTAACTTTTGTCATCAATTATTAACTACCGAAAATGAAATAAAAAATATGATCATGATTATTTTGTTAATATTATTAGACATTCTGCGTTTACGACCTTTGTAAATAGGGGTAAATTATGTTTCGCATCTGATGCAGCGTTCGAGGTAGTGCGCTACTCAGATAGTTTGTTTAAGCACTCGGTATCCAAAGGTATAATGTACAATCGAAATTAGTGTTAGCGGTCCTGGAAAAATTTTATCCATTGTTGCAGGAATTATTTGTGCCTAAACATCCAATCACTGATACTTGTATGGATTTACACGAAACTTTATTTTTTTTATGTAATCGGTCGGCAAACGAGCAGACGGATTACCTGATGGTAAGCAATCAGCGCCGCCCAGGGACACCCGCAACGGAGGAGTTACGAGTGCGTTGCCGACCTTTTAGGGATTTGGGATTTGGAGATCTAGGGATTGAGGGAGGGGAAGGATTGGGCCTCCGGTAACCTCACTCACACGGCGAAACACAACGCTGTGGTTGTTTCACGCTGGTTTTCTGTGAGGCCGTGGTATCACTCCGGTCGAGCCGACCCATTCGTGCTGAAGCATGGCTCTCCCACACTTAAAAATAATAAAATATATTTCGAAACTGAAATAATAAAATATATTTCGAATAGTTTTTTTAAAATAAGAATTCATTCTTATCTGAAAACTTATACTCAAAAGCTTTTGCGTGACAAGGCAAAAATTGCATAAAACTGTTTTATTTTCACACGTGTGATATAAACTTGTGATTTTTATTAATAAAAATGATTTTGCACTGTAATGTTTTTTTTTAAATATCCCCGGTACGGTCTGACGGCAACCTACCAATTATTCACCATCCGCTAGCCCGTGCCTATGGTGGCTGAAAATCGAGATCGGGATCCTATCGTCAACACACATGATCTTACATTCGCCCTCTTTCAATATGTATAGACATTGTTATTATTTAAATAAAAAAGACTTGATACTAGGCTTTATGATTTGGAATAAAAACGAGGACTTGTAACTGTTTAAGGAAATTTATTGAATGGTTGATATCGTGTGAGAAGTGATATGGAAGACAGAGGAGTTAGCGATAGCGTGACGAGTGAAAGGACAGAATGGAAGAAAAAAACATATTGCACCGACCCCAAATAAAACGGGACAAGGGCAGGAAGATGATGATGGTTGATATCGTGGACTGGTAAGGACTTATGAAATCAAATAGGTATTGGCTTTTAGCTGCAAGTAATTTTTAAGCTTAAATGGGAACTTATCAGCTTGACTTGTTTTCAAGGGGTGTTTTTGAAAGAATACCTATCATTATAATTCTTATTGTTTACATACGTAGTATATCTTTTTAATTTGTGTTGCTTACCTGCTAAAATATTTGTGTCAAGTTTAATATCTAAAGAAATGATATCTAGATATAGCAGTATTACTGTTAAGTGTTAACGGTTGTGTGTATACGTAAGTACTCTTAAGGGTGTATTAAGATAACATGCGCTGAACACGCACAGCATCCGCGCACGCTTTGTGCTCGCCTTAGACCTAAAACATACGCAAGCGACGTAAAGCAAAGGCATGGGGCCGGCGCAGCGCAGGCGTTGGACAATTCACAAACATGCGGTAAACACTCATTAAAACATCTGTTATTCCAAAATCAAAATCGATCTTCAAGGCACCAACCGTTGTTTCCTTATCAGCACAAGAACACAGTTCAAAGCAAAACCCAACAGTATTTCTACATTTAAAAAATGTTTCTGGCCATGAAATGTTGACAAATATTTAAATATTTTTTATAATTTTTATGTAATGCCAATAAACGTCCTAAGGTACCCTCAACGCATACGGTATGTTGGTGGCATGACGTAGTTTTCTCGATCAACGCAAATGGTGCGTTGGTAGCAACGAATGGGATAAGGAACATACGACAGACAGACAAACATTTTAGCCATTGTATTTTTAGCATCAGTATCGAGTTATCGACTACCAACCCCTGATAGTTATTTTGAAAATATATTTAATGTACAGAATTGAGTTCTCTACAGATTTACAATTATATGTATGTATAGATTACTAAACCAAAACTAATACGATCGAAAACCACACTAAAATAGAAATGTTGAATTTAAACAATCATAAATATGTACAAAATATCCTAAAGCTAGTAAAAATAGTTGTCACCCTGATGAAAGAGATGCAAAACATAAATGACGTGTATCAAGGTCATTTTATTAGTCCTCAGTTCTTTTTTCTTGGTGCAACATCCAGTGTACTTTATAATATTCTTGGATTGTTGATGTTCATTCGAACATAGTTTGTCGACTTCGACTTTAACCCCGTCGGACAGGCTATCTACTTGTTGAGAAAAACTTCTTGTGTTGTGAACTTTTACTTTAAAGAAAGTTAAACTCTTTTTAAACAAATAGCAAGGTATGTTTGTATAAATTTTAATATTAATAAAACTTCAGCACTTACCACACCATATAATAATATTGTAGCCTTACTCTTTTTTGATACGCATTTTAAAAATATTAGGTACCTATTATAATAATAAACACCACCTTTTACGCTTCGGAGAAAAAGCTGCATTTTTGAATACCTAGATGTTTGAAGGACAAGGTTAAGTATGATTCGCCTATTGCATCTAAAGGAAGTTTTCCCTGTATAGTTGCGGTACTTTATGATGAAAAAAGTATACCGATTTTAATGTACCTACTTAGTCATTTGTATGATGACATATTTTTATACTCTTAGTCCTAACCAATTTTCTAAAAATATGAAAGCTAAAATTAAATAAGTAGGTAAGTAGTATCTGATTTGTAAGAGAGGAATATTTGGTAGAATAACAAAAAAAAAACCGACTTCAAAACGTAAACTAAAAAGCAAAAAATAAATTTACTTTGTTTAAAAAAATACATATTTTCATTTAGTTAAATATAAAATAATATTTAATAACTATTTTATAATCTTAAAGTCGGTGCCAAGTAAAAGAATAATAGTGTAAAGATATTACCTACATATGTACCTCTTGCTAGTTTGATGATTAGTAGTATTCAATATATTTTTCTAATACTCTTATTGTTTGGTATGTAGTATTTACTTCAGACAGTCGAGGGAGACTGTCTTCCGGCTTCATCATCAGGTCGGGTTCGAACATCGGCAAGTCGTAAATTTGTCAAAAGCCTACTGAAATCATATGCAAAAGCACCACTCGCCCCTACAATTTTTGAAAGTTCCTCTCGATTTCTCTGGTCTTCCGACTTCCATCATCAGATCCTGATTTCCTTTTCATGGGACTATCTCCATTCCAATAAAAAAAGAATTATCAAAATCGGTTCATAAATAACGGAGATATCGGCGAACAAACATAAAAAAAAAGCATATATACGGTCGAATTGAGAACCTCCTCCTTTTTTGGAAGTCGGTTAAAAAAGAACGTGCTAAGTGGCGCTCTATGTTTTCTGCCTACGCCCTTAGGGCCAAGGCGTGATCGAATATGCATTTAACTAGTTAGGTATCTATAGGTACCGAAAATTGTTTGGAATACCTAATACCTACACATAAATGTGACCCAATTTGTAGATATGTGCTAATTTAGCATAATTAATTATCTGGATCCCACAAAATAGAACTACGAATTCACGATAGATACCATAATCATACAGATTTTTTTTATAGGTACCTATACAATATTTAAGCATTAGCCAAACAATAAACATTTGTTATTATGAACCTAGCTTTGTGAAAGTAAATTGACCTAGGTAGGTTTATGTATACATGATTAGGCATTTAGATAGGTACCTAAATACGTACCTACCTAATGATGATTTTAAGTATTTTTAAGTCCTTACACGTCACGAAGATGGGCTGCAACTATCGCATTTTAACAAATAAACTTACCCCAACAGGAAAAAACTCGTAGTGATATTAGGAAATACGTCAAAATAAAGTACGTTCTTTTCTTATAGCAGAAACTTAGACAATGTGAGTACGGTTTTGTGCACCAAAAATTATATTGTGAGTCCAGGTCCAGGTTTCGAGATATTGCATTTCCTGCTGGGGTAACGCTATCTAATGTATTGCGAAGAATCGCACATCCAGAATCATCTTCATATAAAAAAATATGAAGGACCGCATATAAAAAAATATTTAATCTCTTATGCGCGTAAGTGAGTAGGTGGAGGCATATATACGGCACACGACCGACATCAATATTTTAACCTCATAGCGGACGTACTCATTACAGAAATTATTTTATTTAAGAATAAAATAGGCACCTACATAACTGAATATTGATTCTCTCAGTATCTATAGATGTGTCATGCGTGTACACAGTACATGGAGGATCGTATAAAACTAGCTTATCTATTCTAGTTTCGTTTTATTGTAGGTATATTATAGTACATTTTGCATGTTTTACACAATAGGTAGGTCACTGTTATACCTACCTCGAGTTTTTTCCGTGCAAATTGCAATTTCATGTAGGTAAGTACCGTAAAACGGGGTGAATAGAATTCGAGGAGTGAATAGATGTTGGCGAATTTTTTGAGTATCTATTCACCCCTTTTTACCGTAGTTACTTTATCTTCATGGTCATACATAAGAGTAGACAATGATTGATTACTTTAATAAATGGTGACTACTATTTTTCCAGAAAATGGCATTAAATGGCGTAAAAGTTGTAGAAATGATGGGGTTGGCCCCTGGTCCGCTATGTGGTAGCTTATTGGCGGACTTTGGAGCAAGTGTAACAGTGGTGCAAAAGGTCTGTATGTTAACGGGATACAGTTATTAATATATAATATCACTAATATCACTTGCAACTAACTTTAAACTAAATATCTATTCACTAAGAAGTTGAATATGGTACCCGTCAGCTAAGCCATTCTCTAATTATGAATCTTGATTACTTATTACCTATTTAGATTTAGATAAGGTATTTCTAATAACAATTATTTTCTAGATTAATCCAACTCCATTTGATGTAATGTCTAACGGAAAGAGAATGTTATCTGTAAATCTAAAAACCAAAGAAGGTGTCAATGTGGTAAAAAAGCTGTGCTCGACTTCAGACGTTCTTTTGGACACATTCCGACCAGGTGTTATGGAAAAGTTGGGATTGGGTCCTGAAGCCCTTATGAAAGAAAATCCTCGACTTGTCTATGCACGATTAACAGGATATGGTCAAAACGGATTCTACAAAAATAAAGCAGGTCATGATATAAATTATGTTGCCATGTCTGGTATACTCTCATTACTTAGTAAAAATAAACAACCCCCAACACCACCTCTCAATCTTCTGAGTGATTTTGCCGGAGGTGGGGTCCTTTGTGCTCTAGGTATAGTATTAGCCTTGTTTGAAAGAACAAAATCGAACAAGGGGCAGGTAATAGACACTAGTATGACAGAAGGAGCAGCATATGTAGGCAAGTGGTTATTTAAATCAAGGGAATTGCCAATTTGGTCAGGAGAACCAGGTACAAATGTTTTGGATGGGGGATTTGCATGTTACCAGACATACAAAACGAAAGATGGAAAGTTTATGGCTGTTGGAGCCCTTGAACCACAATTTTATTCAGAATTACTGAAAGGGTTACAATTATCTGAAGAAGAATATATTCAAGGTGACAATAATGAATACTGTAAGGAAAAATTCCAAGAAATATTTCTGAAGAAGACCCAAGAAGAATGGTGTAAGATATTTGAACAGTTGGATGCATGTGTCACTCCAGTATTAAATGTAGAAGAAGTAGATAAACATAAATTTCGGGCATCCGATACATCTTTTCATCGAGATGAAAATGAAAGGATTGTACCAGAACCAGTTCCCAAATTATCTCGTACTCCAGGGATATCTAGTGGTCGTAAACCTTTGCCGGTGCCCGGACAACATACTATTGATATTTTACATGAATTAGGATACACTAAAGCCCAAATCGATAAACTAATTGAAAGTGAACATGTTTATGCAATTAGAAAATCGAATTTATAATACTTACACATGATGCTATTACTTTCTATTATCAGCACTATTATTATAACAAAATGGATTTCAACTCCTCTCTGACTTGTTTAAATTCTTCTTCCTTTGATGATAATATATTACTCTCTAAAAATATTGGATGTTCAACAATTAAGTTCATTACTTTAAGTAAATTTTTTAAATCAAATTTGATTATGCTTGTATCTAGAGAGTATTTTTTAAAAACTTCACATGAATTCCCTTGTAATTGAGCTAGCCTTTTTTTAGCTATATATAGCAAAAATGTTGCAAAAGCCATGAAGTCCATGCCAAAATGGGATTTAAGAATTAATTGACAATCTGCAGGAAATTCTGGTGTGCCTTTGCATTCTTCTATTTGATTTTCTACTACCAACAATGAATGTGCTAAAGCTCTCCATACAATTTCTATATTACATGCATTTATCCAATTGTGGTTGACTGAAATTGTATGTGATTCATTGAATACTTGATGATGCCAACCAGAAGGAACAAATAAAGCATCTCCCTTTTCTTGTATGATTTCAAAATATGTTATATTCTGAAGCTTTTCTGGTTCAAATAGCAGCGGCAGATTACCCAATGAATCCTTCAATTTTTCTTCTTCGCCTGGAGGAAATAAAATCCACTTTTTTCTTCCAACAACATTCACTGACCAACTGTATGAACAATACACATCTTCATGTAATGGGGTCCTGAAACAGTTTAATTTTCACATGTATACTTACACATACATATCTAAAATAAAGTTTACAAAAATCTGTATTTATTAAGCATTTAGTATCAATTTAATTTCTTGGTTGTAAACATAAAATAACAAATGGGGTATGTGTCTATGTGTGGTATTAAAAAGGTGTATACAGTTTTTAAAACTATGTTTATTATGTTTCTGTTATTCTTATAGGAAGTTTGTATAAAAGTGTCTAACTGACAAAAAACTAACAGAAACTTATTCTGTATTGGTGGAAAAGGTCCTTATATTATGATATTGTTGTATTATTTTATAATTATAATTATTAAAAATAATATTATACCTGTCTTCTGTATTATTTAATACAACTGTATATATAATAGAGGTAAAAATAAATAAAGGTAAATTCAAGATGAGTGTCATGTTTATTTTAACATTATGTGAATCAAAATCATAATTATGATCTTTGATTATCACAGATAGTCATAAACATAGCATATACAAGAAGCAAGCAGCAGTGCATTGTATATAAAAACATAAATATTGTCACTTACCAAGATCCTTTAGGGCCAATGTATACAAACATAAAATCATCCTCATTATTGTCTATAGCAAATTCATTTAACCAATCTGATGCAAAATACTTTGGCACTTCATAAAAATAGTCATTTGGGGCACATCTTCTTAAGTGCCAGTCTTTTAAATATAATATTCTATCATCAGACAAGTTCTTTAAATAATTAATATATTCATACATTTTCATATCTGATTTACATTGAGAGTTAAACTGAATATTTTTACAATCAGCCACAGGAGCTACAAAATCAGCATATAATTCAGTCAGTCCTTCATAGTTTATTTGATCTCCTTGTACCCATTCTTGCGAACATTTCCAGTTGTCTGTCACATTTTTAATTACACAAGGTAAATTTTTTAACATGAAGTTGTTGAAAAAGTCAATGAATTCAAAATTTGCCTCTTGAAAAGTAGCTTTCTCAACACTCCAGTCACGGTAATCATACTCAGGAATTTCTGCATTCAATGGGCATTGTATTTCAAAATTTATATTTTCTGACATTATATTTCCCTGTATTTTTTAGAATTTATATCAGTAACCTTTTTCTCAGAACACAGTTTATAGCCATCTGCATTTTAATAATTTCATCATAAACTTGATTAGTGATAAGTTAATATTACTTTAGGTTTCTACATTTAAAATAATTCAGAATTCATTTAAATTTGATAAATCCTTTGGAGGTAACTACTTTCTATAATAATTTACTAATATGATACAACAATAATCTTTTATATACGTCCACTGAGAAACATATTACACTTATTATTATCATACATGTAAAGTTTGAATTATAATGTACTCTGTGATACTGTTTGATACATTCTATAAAATTATGTAAGTTCACAAGTACAATTTGTAGGTACAAAGAAAAACAAATAAAATTGAAAATAGCAAATGACATTTGACAAGTCTAGTCTGATGACAGTCATGACATATGAAGACCAACTTAACTACCTACCTATTTACGCAGCGAAGCTGCTGGAGCAAGGCCGGCAAACACGAAACACTGTATAGGTTCTGCACGCACTCACACGCAGTTTTAATATTTTCCAAATAATAACAGTAATTGTAATGCATACTGTAATGAAGTTTTGATACCTACGTTGTAGCCCATTTTAAACTTTACGCATTGCAATTTTGGTAATTTAAAATTTTTATTATCATTGGTTTTTAAATTGTCAGATGTATTTCTCATAGGTGCGAATGCTTAATTTAAACAATCCATCAGATTTTAAATTTGAAATTGTAATTTGGTATACAATAGGAATAGAATTGTAATCATATCTTACCCATATTTTTTATGCTTTATTGGTATATAAATTAAATGAAAAAATAAAAAATAGGAGCACTATAAGCACGTCCCTTATTCTACTCGTGATTTCAATCCTACTTTATTTAAACATTATAAAGATGTGTTGTGTATTGGTTCTATTATTTACACAAGTTTAGTTTTAGCTCATGTTTTGTCTGTTACCACTTTATACGTCTGTGCTCTGATCGAAACCTTTACAGTTTAATAAAGCTGACTGAAAATTCGAAAGTCCCGAAACTAACAAGCACATTTTACAAACGAAAAACATATATTTTCGATATAACAATAATAATATAATATTATTCTCGCTTTATTCTTATAAGAAAGATAGAAATCGTTTCTAATAAGTACAACCCTAGGAATCTGAACTGCAATTCCAACTCTAGCGACCAATTCAGTTTAGTTGTCATTTTGTGATGGCGGCGCTTGGGGAGTTACGCTACTGTTCTTTATCATAGGACGCGGTGTTTTCTTACTTCTGAACTTAAGATTTTTGTTTGTTTTGAATTATTTTTAGTGATATTTAAATATGTGTTATCGTGTGTACCATTTAAAACAAACGCAAATCTATGCGTTTATTGTCTGGTGGTATCAATATAATCAATGTTGTGTTTCTAAATAAAAATATACCTACATACTTATAAGAAGCTCATAAGTCGGATAAACAGTTTTATATGAATTAATACTTGTAAGAATTATACAGTTTAAAAAAGTGAATAACATCAGCAGTGTTCACTCGGTTCTTGTGTACCTAGTCGAACAGTCAACATGAATGATGTTCGTGATAAAGTTGTCCCCGGAACTTCAACCTGGGAGAGTAATGCAACCCAGAGTGACTCATCACCAGAGCTGCAGTCCTCTCCAAGTGCCAGTGGTGAGACACCTCAAACGCCAGGAGCACCTGTACCTCTGGCCCCACATCTAGCTGCTGAATTACATCCAGATCTTTTACAGCAAGGCTGGAGAAAATATTGGTCTAAAAGAGAGAATAGACCATATTTTTGGAACAAGCTGTCTGGTGAATCTATGTGGGAACTTCCTGCAGTAAAGAGAGATTTTGATCCTATCACTGATCCATTAGGCATCTGCCACACCGGTCCATCAAATGCTGGTAACATGACTCCCGGTGCCAACAAGCGTCGTCCATCTGAGGATAATGGACCACCACCAAAGAAATTTGTTCTGGCGGGGCCTTGGGATATTGAGGTGCCAACTAATGTGGTAATATATGAAAGACCCCCAACTATCTGTCCACATCCTCACCCCGAAATAGAAGGGTTTAGATTCACATTGGCTAATAAGTTAAGACAATGCTATCAAGAGCTATGCCATACAAGAGAAGGCATTGATGCTCCTAAAGATTCATTTAATAGATGGTTGATGGAAAGAAAGGTCAATGATCAAGGTGGTTCAGACCCCCTTCTACCAAGTCATTGTTTTCCAGAAATATCACATTCAATGTATGAGGAAATTATGAATGACATTCCAATTAAGCTTACACATCCAAAGTTTACTGGTGATGCAAGGAAGCAATTGTCAAGGTATGCAGAAGCAGCAAAGAAAATGATTGAATCACGAAATGCATCACCTGAAAGTCGTAAGGTGGTGAAATGGAATGCTGAAGACACATTTCAATGGTTGAGACGAACTGTTGGAGCAACATATGATGATTTTCAAGATAGACTAGCACATTTGCGAGTGAGTGATGCTACTTTTCTGGCAAATACCAGACCTTAATTACTTAATTTAAATGACAATAGGATTAATTGATAATAGTTTGGTCAGTGGGTCGTCTTAGGGGCAGACTGTGTATAACTTTATTTACCCATAATAAAGTAAATCATTATTTGGAAATAATTTGTCCACATTGTTTGAAGCTGTTGCAATAAAACAGTTTGTAATTAGCTAAGAAGGAAAACAATGTGCAATTTATTTAAAAAAGAAAACACAGTTCAAGCAGTTGATTTGCTAGATAATTTTAATTTTCGAAATGTTTAAAATTTAAGCTAAAGAAGGTTTTAAATAAATAACTGCTAAAGTAGCAGAACTGAAGTACAAAATTGCTAAAAAAATAGAAGTTATTTAAATTAAATTATGCACTGGAAAGAAATTATATGTCGCCTAAACTGTACTTAAATTATATTTTCTTTTTCCAGAGACAGTGTCAACCTCACTTGGCTGAAACTGTGAAGGCATCCGTTGAAGGCATTTGCTTGAAAATCTATCACTTATCTGCTGAATATGCGCGTAAAATAAGAGAAAAACATAGTGCATTACTTAAAGAAAATGGAATACAGGTACTAAAATACTTTTGATTTTAATTTAAAATATTAAAAACAGTACTATTGTTATTTTGAAGACTTCTTTAATAAAATATTCAATATAAAAGGTTACTCTGTAGCCTACTACAGTACAAGGTTAATAGCTGAGATTTTTCGGAAACTGACTAAAATGTCAAGTAGCTTACCATCCCATATCTTTAAGTATCTGATTCCATTACAATGTTAAAATATTTTAAGCCTAAATGTAAAAAACCTAATTATTATTCTGTATCCTATGTGACAAAATTTTCATTCTAATCTAACTCAGGCATTGAAAATTATTGTTTATGTAATTTGAACTTATCATTAGAGAATTTGTATTGTAACAGAAATACAAGTATAACTACAAAATACCTTATTAGTAAAAATGTCGAAAATGTCATTCTTTGAATACTTGCAAGTGCGACTGTCCAGCATGAGAGCAAGGTTTCCTTAATTCGAATTAAGTAATTTGTTATTTGTATTTTACTCAATTGTTTAATTTGTTTACATTAGGAACTTCAAGCTCCACTGCAACAAGCAGCTTTGCGTAAAGTTTGGTGTTATCCAGTGCAGTTCGCAGTGCCGGCGCCACGACCCCCCCTCGTGGAACATTTTCTCGACCGTGATCAGACGCTATTACGCTATCTAGGTGAAACTCAGGTCCTCAATGCTGTCTATTTACAGAAACTGGTAAGTAGTTGATTTCTTCTACTAAAAATAGATTTCTGCTGTATGACAGATTTCATTCCATAACTTGTTAAAATAAAAAAGATGAGAAATGAGAAGGATAATGAACTTAAGTAGATAGCATATGCTCACAAAAAAGTTTTTTGTTTGTCAGGAATGCCTGTACCGGTACAGTTGCTTCGACGACAAGAAGTTCGAGCAGTTCTTGTCCCGGGTGTGGTGCCTATTACGGCGCTACGCGGCGTGGGTAGGCGCGGGCGGGGAGGCGCAGCTGACGCAGATGTCGCTGCCCGTGCCGGTGCTCGAGTGTCTACATCGCTGCTTCGGCGTCACCTTCGAGTGCTTCGCCAGTCCGCTAGATTGCTACTTCAGGCAATATTGTTCTGCTTTTGCAGACACTGACTCATATTTTGGATCTCGGGGGTAATTATAAAGATATATAATATTTTTAATCGTAGACATCTTAACAAACCCCAACCAAGTTTGTCCCAAAACTGCAATCCCAATGCTTGGCAAGGGGCTTTGCATTGGAATTGCAAATAATTATAAGTGCCTAAACACGGCCTCTCAATCGCCAATCCATAAATCTCAAATAACCCACAAAAGTGCAGTAACTTTTTGGAATTATGACTACTCATGGACGGCACCGACTGCTTAGCATAAGGTAACATAAGGTTCGTTTGCCGACCTATCAAGCCTCCCGTTAACAGGAAATCGCCTGAGTCGATGAATAAATTTGGCGAGTTGTCGTTCGACAGACGCGCATAAATTAAGGGGAGGCCTTTGTTCAGCTTTAAATCAGTCAGTCTTCCGTCTGGTGATGGTACAGTCAAAAAAGAACCACCAATGCCACCCTATAAAGCACAATTTTACTGCTTTGCGATTTTGTTTCAACAGAAAAGCTTACCTAATTTTGAGAAACACATCAAATGATTGCCCCTGAAATTAGGAAATAGCAGAAGTGTTTATTTTACTGTTCTAAAAATATTTTTAGGCCCTTTTTAGAACTGCGTCCTGTATCCGGTTCAATGGTAGCACATCCACCTTACTGCGAGGAACTTTTAGAAGCGTCGTTGCGACATATGGAGAGGCTATTGCAAGACTCTGCAGAACCGCTTAGTTTCGTCGTCATCCTGCCAGAGTGGCCAGATAGGCAAACACACGCATTACACAAGCTTCAAGCCAGCCACTTCAAGAGGAAACAGGTATTCTATCTTATATCAATTGCTATTCAATGGAATGGTAAAAACTTTATTTGGGACTAGCTTCTCCCGCGCGGTTTCACTCGCTGCTCGGCTCCATTTGATTGTAGCGTGATGTTTTATAGCTTAGCCTATGGCACTCAGGAACATTGTAGCTATCAACAAGTGAAAGAATTTTGGGAATCCGACCAGAGGTTCCAAAGATTACCCCCTACATACAAACTTACAAACATACAAACCAACAAACTTATAAATTTTACCTATTTATAATTTTAGTATAGGTTTTATGACCTTAACTAAATGCAAACGTTTTTTACTAACACATCACGAAATAAAACAACGGAAAGTTTTAGTCATTTAAAGAATTTTTTACACTCTATCAACTTCCACGGCACTCTGTCTTTGATGCTTTCCTAATTATACGAGAGGAGGACCATTCAGCAGGAATAAAACGGTTGTCATATAAATCAAATGACCAAACTGTTTTCTTTTAATAATGCCAAGTAATATGCCTGTTTTTTTTTTAAATTGCCTCCCTTAATTCATTATAATCCGAAAATGTTCTCCTTACCATTTTTTATTTGTAAATAAATATACATCGCCTTACCTAAGCTAGAGCTGGACGTTATAGTAGGTAACCAGAAAGTTATTTTGTAAATGCAGCACCCTTAGAAAGCTTCGGTAGGTTCCTGTTTAGAAAATTTTTCTTCGGCAGTTTTTTTTTAATAATTTCTTTTAACTTTTGTTTTATTGTTTCATAACTATCCGCAGATCATGGACCTTTTGTTCGTAATAGATAAGTAAATATCCGTCGCAGTTCCACACACACATGCACGCGCGCGCGCGCTCCCACACACACTCTTTTGAGTGTCTTCTTTTCGTTTCTATTTTTTTTACAAAAATGTTGTCATTACGATTCACATACACATCAATTATTCATAGCATGATTGCTAAGTCTACCATTCATAATATAAATAAAATTAAAAAAAAAAAACCCCGACACGAAAACCATAAGCTACCTTTAAAAAGTATATAATACAAGAAAAAACTTACGTTTCATCCGTTAAGGAGCTATGATGCCACAGATACACAGACAGACACGTCAAACTTATTAAAGTTTTTGTTTTTTCTGACGTACAAGTTAACCTTTCATTTGATAGCCCACTTGAGTATATTTGCAGACATTCGGTTTTTCTTCCCCATTTTAACCCCCCTTAACTTTTAAAAGGCTCAATCGATTTTCATCAAACATGTCTAAGAACACTCGCCCGTAAAAAACCTATAATAAAAAAATAAATAAATTGAAATCGGTTCATTCGTTCCGGAGCTATGATGCCACAGACAGACAAACAGACTCGTCAAACTTATAACACCTCTCTTTTTGCGTCGGGGGTTAAAAATCATCTTCATCAGAAGATGGCTGAGCCGATCCGAATGGAACCTAATGCCCTTTACCTAAAAGTTGCGGTACCGATAATTTCAAAGAGATCGTAGTGAACTCCAAAATTATTGATGTGCAGTCCTTTTCTGTAATTTATTTAATAAGAGCATGTCTTCCATTTTAGCTCCCGTGCATTCAAATTCAATTTACAATCCAGATTAGATGCCCGTATCAAATTGTTTAACTGTTTTTTTTTCTGTATTTCAGGTGGTTATTCCAGCTTTTGAGCACGAGTATCGCCACGGTTTTCAACATGTTTTGACCAAGTAAGTTAAAATCGCACTACACAAAACTAATTCATTCATTTAAATGCAATTCATTGTTTTTAACGCTATAAATACAGGGTGTAAAAAGACGAGACTTAACGAAGCCGAAAGCCACGTATTCTACCCATTATTTGGATTTTTTTTTAAGACCATAGCTGGGACTCCACGGGTTCTCGAGATATTGAAGGTCAAAGATGCATTTTTTTTTTTGGACAATCAAATTCTAAGTATTATTACAAAACTTTTTTCCAAACAAACATTACCTGTATTTTCTATTTTTCTAAATAAATTATGCATGTGAAGTTACGAACAGTAATGTACGTAATAAATAAATGTAGACCCGCACAAAAAACATCGTGCATCTCAGTAGGATTTTTATTTTACAGAATTGTTTTGTTGTTGCGAAGTAAAACGTCGGCCTACGTACTTATCACAGCGTTTTAATGCTAAGCTGTGAACCTACGTTTTTTGTTCATGTTTGCTTTACATTGCGCGCAATAAAATTATTATTTTTTTGATACCTAAAAATAAAAGTCGTTTCCCAGTGATAATTTTAGCGTAAAGCTACTTAGTAAGAACTGCAGTATGCGTAGTTAACGGCTTCGTTAAGTGTCTTTTTACACCCTGTATATTGAATGGGAATTTTATGAGAGCAAAAATCGTAGCATTGAGGTAGTGGTAAATCTTTACTTTTTTATATATGAAGATTTTTAAAGTGATTACGGCTAAGGACATTTGATTTGACATTACATTTTAAAATATCTTTATCTACATAGGTATTACTGACTTACTTTGCTTGTACTCAAAACACGAAGAAAAAGTATCAGTAAGCAACAAGTTTGGACCACTGCAAAATAGTTCCAAATCAATGTTGGAGCTGTTTACTCAATACACTAATAAATATACTTATAATTACAGGTATTTACTTAGTTTTTGTTACTTACGTGGGAGAATTTCGTAGTTTGCATTTTTTACAGATTTAGATTTAACTTATATACGATACGTGATAACCGACAGTTAGTACATATTATTACATGATGTTTTTTTACGATTTTTAATCTTAGATAATGGCGATTGTCTGTACAACGTGTCATGGGTTCAAACCTAACTCGAAAAAAATTTTGTTGTTCCGGAAATGAGTGTAATGCGTAGTTTGTTTACACTCACCTTCTTTTCTGGAACAGCATTGGTTGGGCCAATGGTTATATATGTAAAAGTAGCCTCCGCCCTCGTATAGATGTAATGTATCCCGGGATTTTAAAAACTGTAACGTTTAAAGCGATAGCTCCACTAAATTACGCAAATTAGATGTACTTATGTAATTAGAGTTTATAGCCTATAAAACTAATTGTAGCTATCGATCAGTTAAAGTATTTTTGAAATCTGACTAGCGGTTTATAAATTATCCCCTACATTCAAATTTACTCATTTTTTCTACGTATAGGTAGATTTGCATTTTGCCATTTTCTTTCGAAACTTGTAAAACTGTACAGTTGAAACTTCGTAAATAGACATATTTTTGATAAAAAATTTCACCTAAGTGACTTTTGAGCATTTTTTTTCATTTCTTCTACAGTTGCATTTGAAAGATTTATGAATCAGTCGTCAAAGACGATATTGAAGATTCTAATTTAATAGTGGTAAAATCGCTGACTACTGGGTAATCACACATTAGTGGCACAAGCCTTCGTGGCCATTTGAGTTAGTAATGAATTTTTGTTGTAAATTTCTTTATTTTATGAATTAAAGACCCAATTCGTAAAAAAATATTTAAAATCTATTATTGCAATTGAAGCTATAACATATAAACCAGACATGAACTATATATTCCATTAACCGTTTCCGTGCGGATGATGCCGCACAGGCACCATGTAAATCTATTGCGTATGGCGTATGGTGCCCGAGAGGATACAAAACTAAATCATACAAAACTCGGCTTAAACGACATTCGTTAAAAGAGCCCTCTAAATAAAAGTGTCTTTATTTGTCACCCTTATCATGCCCACAGTGTTCGTTTTAAGTAATTTCGCAAATTAGCTGACATCAGGGGTTGTAAACCAAGTTGCCGACACATTTTATTATTGATTATAATTCTAACAGCCCACTTTCTGGAATGTTTCTCAAAAATCAAATGCTTTTGTCATAAGGTTCATTGTTGCCTAAAAACGTACAAAGATTGCGCTGTTCGCCGGCCCTTCGCCTACGAAGTACCGTATTTCCTTGCGTATAAAACTACGCCGTTCATAATTGTTTGCGCCGGCGCACAGTATACCTAATATTTTGATAAACTAGACGGACAAAAGTCAATTTAGGACATGTCTTAAATGATCCTTCTAACGCCAAAGAATCAAGACAAGCTGCTTTGCTCTGGTATTGGTACAAAATAATTTTGTCCTGCTAGTTTTTCATACCAACTGTGCGGTGCATAACTATTTCACCCCGGCCGGGGCGGCGGGGCCCCGCACTTCTGTCTTATATTTAGTTTAGTCAGGAATATATTTCATTTTTTTTCTGGGTAACTTTACAACAAAATAAAAAACTTGTCAATTAAACGCATAACAAAATCCAAGTTTTTAAATGGATAGACAGATATTTTTTATCAATAAAAACACATTTACATTCTTATCCAAATAAAACACTTCAAAATCATGTAAATGTTTATAGGTACCTACGAGTACAATATTTTTGATTCATTAGAATAGGACTTCCCATTCAGTTAAATGTTCTACAGTAATCCAGTATTTTGTAGAGAAACAATTTTATCATCAAAATAGTGAAGTTAAAATTGTTTCCCTACAAAACACTGTATTATAAATAATAATAAATAAATATCACCTCGCGACAAACTCAAGTGGTACGTGTATAAATTCTTTACAACACTTGAATAAATAAATCCATGAAATAATGCAAAAAGGTTTACGACCCCTAATATAAATTAGTCACTTACCTTCCATTTCCATAAAAACACACAGATCGTCACTTTTAAACGCACTGAACGAATTTACTGACTGCCTACGTTAGATACACAATGTCAAATGATTATTTTAGCAAGTAGAAACACGAAAACAAGCTAAAAGTGACAATTCATGGCGGATGATTCCCCAGGGGAATCATCAAACTTTCTGGCGCTTGGTGCCTCAGAGGCATCACAGAATTTTTGTTTGACGCCAGGCACTAAAGATTGCTAAAAAGACTTCCGCACGGAATCGGTTAATTACAGTCCAAAAAAACCCTTTTGCGCGCATTAGTCTTTGAATATTAAAATATATTGTGTTTTCTGAAATTCTTGAATTTTGTTTTGTGCCATTATTGAATTCAGTCAGCAAAATGTGCCTAATGCCTTGCCCCCCTATAATTTCTAAAACAAGAGATTAGGGTAGTTTCGACCAAATTTTTAGGCCTCACCACCTCTCTTCGTACAAATTAGTCTACGAATGTAAAATCAAAGCGGTAATTAATGAGGGGAGTGATCTGGACTAGCCTACGTAACACATGACATGTCACAGGAACGAGGTGTACTTCAGATGGGGCGGCGGCACGGTGGTGGTGTGGCTGCAGAACGCGGCGGGGTTCGCGCGCTGGGGGCCCACGGAGGAGCGCGTAGAGGCGCTGCTGGACGCGTGGCGGCCGCGTGCCAAGCTAAGGGACGCGCCGCCTGCCGCGCCGCAGTCCGAGCCCGAGCCTGCGCCGCCGCCCACACCAGACAAGCGTTAAATCTACTAGTAAATATTCACATGTACATATTTATACATACGCTGTTAGATGTATATTAATTAAAGATACAATTGGTATCATTTTATTTTAAATCACCCTTCTCTGTTGTATAGTTCGATAAAGTTTATTATGTTTTGATTGTTTATTATATTTTCTGAAAAAATAAGTATTTCATTTTTCCATATCTCGACGCCACCTTAATTTGAAAGAATAGGCTAAAAGTGTTGAAAACTTTTATTTTTAATAATTCCTAGATATTAAAATGTAGTCTATACCATTTTTTCGGTATTCTATGAAAATTCAGTAAAAGCACATTTTTTATTAGACTGTGTTGCGGGGTACGAATAATTTGTGATGCCACGACTAGGAAGTATATCATTTTCGGTCTTTTGTCAGAGATATTTATTGTGATTGATCTTAGATACATTACAATGTTAAGTCTATTACAGAACAGAATCCTGCTAATTTTAGAACATTAATTCAAGTTCTCTAACATTATTACTAATTACCCACGAAGTTACGGGTACTTAGATCGATAGTGTTATTTGTTTCAATGAAAATGTGAATACAAGATTTTCAGTAAGAACTTACGTCACTTTTAAGCTTTATCAAAATACCAGTAACGTTAAAATAAAGTGAGCAATTCGATTATTTTGTGTCGTAGTCCTAAATTAATATTGGGGCTACGATACAAGAATAAATAAAATGGTTCAATTAGAATTACGAGCGAGTACGAGAAGGGGCAGAGAGTGATGACTGCAATTCATATGTTAAAGTTTTGTAGTATACAGCAGAGATAATGGTTTAGTTTGTTATAAAATTCATGGGCGTCATGAAGTCAAGATCAGTTGGATCAGTCTCGCACCACCTCCCACCGCGATTCAAAAATAATTATACAGTATATGTTATATTTAGTAGTTATATTAGGTACTAATGTGCAAAAATATGGTTGCAGTGAACCCATAAAACTGAAATAATTGAGTAATACACACAATATCTGGCTAGTTTTCTCTCAATCTTTATTTTCACGTATATAAAATTATTATTTTTAAAGCAGACATAAATCATCGATTTTGCTGCTTGTGGTTAGTTACAACTATGTCATCTTGATTTGATTTTTATAAGCTAAAATCGACGATTTTTATGCCTAGAACACAAGACAACGTGTATATTACAAGAAGAGTGGATTTATAAGGTAAAGCCATAGAGGAATAGGTGTTATGAAAACTAGGCGGACATTGTATTTGTCAAATTAAAAGTATTTTTGATTGATTTAACCAAGATTAAGAAACTTTAAGATTCAAAATTTTAGTTACATGGCCTAATTCTGTGGGAAGGAAGGCAACTGTCTGAAATCACAGTAACACTGTGCCAAAATATTGAAATTCAAGGTGAATTTGAGCAGTCTACTTATTCTTCATACTAGTTTATGTAATACTAAAGCAGAACAAGCTTATATATTAAAATAAAATTAATTATGATTACATACATATCTTTACAAATTAAAGTAATGAAATAAATCATGTATGTGGCCTAAAATTTTTTAGTACTACTGCCAAGAGTGCCTTCAATATAAAATGAATAAAAGGTAACTCGATAATTGTAAGGATTCTTGCACTGTGCATTAGGTTGGATTAAAAAACTATTTTATTTTCAAAGCCCTAATTGTTTTTTTGCCGAAATTTTTATATAAAGACTTTAATCATTGCTGATTGTTTTTTAGTTTCAGAGAAGTCTTAATAGTCATTGATAATAATACAGATAAAAAGCCATGCTTGTACAAGAATAGAATACAGAAAGACAACTGTATTTCTCAAAGGGTGTTATAGCTTAGTATGGAGTGGAGTTCTAGGTTGCCTCTATGTATTCTTCTCCTCCTCCTTTTACCAAATACGGGAAAATAAGTTTATCATAGATAAAAATAATAATTGGAAAACTCATTCTTTGCTTAGCTATTATATCAATTATTACAAAACATATACTTGGCAGGTATGCTAGTGAACACTCAACCAGCTTCCAGGTCAGTCAAATACTTTGTTTTTAAATTATTACAACATCCAAAAGTTTGTATATTTCTTGAGAAGGAAGTTGATATAATATTTTAGTTATATTCATCATCTTCATCCATGGCAAAATCAACTCCTGAGTCAACAGCACACACAGGACTGAAAAGACCATAATAACGAAAATTAATTAAAATGTAACAAATTATATATATAGAACAAATATAACTATATTGGAAAGAAAGTTATTAATATGCAATTTCTTACCTCATAGCTCTACAAGTAAAAAATACAATCCGCTTCAATCTTCTGTTATAAAAGAAGTAGTTGAATGCCCATAGACAACCAGGCTCACCAAATGGATCACTGGCAAGGTCTGGGTTGTAGCTATATATGCGACACTCAGACAAAACCACCTCCTCATCTACGGCAGTCCACAATGAAGGCCGTAGTTGCCGCCAACGCACACCACCCACTGCAGACAACGACGCATCCACTGCTCCTTGTACCCAACTGAGGGATGGCTCTGCACTGAATTCACTGCTCTGTAACACAATCGAATTTTGTTTATTTAATTGTCACCTAAGTGTGATAAGTAAATTAATTAAAATTAAATATCAGCAAATAAAATAGTTACAAAATAATGTGGTTGCAGCACTATTTTTTAATCAAACCTAATGAGGATTACTTGATCTTACAAGAAGCATTAAGTGGAATTGTATTAATGCTATAAAGATATAATAACTAGAACCTCTAAAGAAACACATACTGTAATATTAGTGACAAAAACTGTGAAAAACAGGGTTATTGGCGAAAATTGATGATTGAAAGTAGATGTAGAAACAAAATAAAATAAAAAGAATGTTAAAATGGTTTGGTTATATTTAATGGTATGGATAATAGGAGGTTTAAGAAAAAGAATAAGTTGGTTTGATGATCAAATCAAAGAGATTGAAGGAAGCAAAAGGATTGTAAAAGATCCACTTTCTGCCATGTGGCTTAGCCCCCGTAGTAGATAAAAAGTAGCCCATGTGTTAATCTATAGTATCACCTATTTATATACCAAATTAGTCTAGCTTTTTTTATGAAATTATAACAGATGTATAGCTATACACTCTCACTAACTTTTACATTATAATCATGTCAATTAATATTTAGTCATTTGTGTCTATTCTATATATAATAAGAGCCTGGCATGACAAAAAGTTTGTTATTTGAAACTTTAAGTATGTTAAACTATTATATCACAATTGTTTGCAAATACACACAAGAAATTTTAACTTATAGCTGATGTAAAATAAAATATCAGACATATAGTTTTTATTTTAGAAATATCTAATCTATGCAACATCTTGTTAATGTTTTACTTGGATAAAAAATATTATTGAGACTCACCTTTGCCATTGAAAAATCATAATCTGGAAAGGCAGCATTCAGTGTAGCAATTAAGTAAAACAATGTTTTACGAGATATAGTGTCACAGAGAACACCATCTTCATCACCAGACAAGCTTCGGCTGAAAATTAAATTAAAGTAAGTCTTGTACTGCAGACAAAAACTGTTGTAGGCTAATCTTCTGCTAGAGTTGGAATTCATTGTCCCAAATGGCATTCAATGTGTTAATCAAGGAGAGGACAACAATTAACCAGTGGGAATTATAAAATTTGTAATTATATTTTCCTACCTGTACATAAAACTCTCTGGCGGTGACAATGCTTCCAGAGTAGTTTCTCCAGTTGCTGTAAACCGTTTATAAAACGACTTCTCACCACCAGCCATCTTGCAGCTATAGCTTTCCACACGGCCCTGTACGGCACTATCTCCATTCAAAATAGAGAGAGCTCTGCTCAATGCCTCCAAGCGGCCACTCTCCAAAAGTTTCATTTTCTCTACTTCTATTTCTTTCACTGATTACCCACTCAAATTTATTGTAATAAACGGTGCTTGTATAATACTGCAGCACGGAAGACTATTTCTGTACATAGCAGAGGGGTGTATGAATATTCCTTTTCTCTTAGAGTGTAGCAGATTTACACTCGGAATCAGTTTCGTCTTCTGTTCTTCTTCCGCTCTGGTGGAATGCGGGAACATCACAAATAAGAAGGAAAAATTGATTTACCAAATCGCTGAACCGTTTGTAGCAAATTATTTATAGCTTGTTTTGCCTTATACAAGGAGATCGCGTCACTTCACTTGTTGTCCCACAAAATGAATAGTAAACACCAACAAATCACAGATCAATATCCATAGAAGACATGGTCACAATTATACACAAAACTGGGATTCACAAATTTTATCAATAGTGATTTGTTTTGAAAAACGAATTAATCTCAAAGTATGTAAAAAGGTAATTTAGTAATCTTGAACATACACAACAAACTTCGATTATTCAATGGCGGAAGGCAAACTCAGATCACGTCATAGCACCCATAGACTATGTGCATAGTCTACCTATAGTCCAATAAAACTCTTATTGGAGTATTTAATGTGTATAACTAAAAATACAGTATTAATCCCGTCTCTGATTAAAACATGATCGGAGTAAACTATTTTTAATCATATTCATATTATTTGATAAATTGTAAGTTTGAAGTTTTTATTTTAATTGAAATATGAGAGGTAACAATATAATAGAAAAAATATTTCTAACAATAATCCGGTTAGGCTTGTATTCCGTTTCTATGGTTATAGGTAATCAGTGAGTGATTATTTATCACGAGCTCATACTCACGGATAAGTGTAAAAGAATAGCAGACACTTAGCTAAAACTTATGAAGGAATAATAAAGAGATTTATTTATTTCGACTTGCACATACATCTGTGTACAAGGTGGACTTAATGCCACAAGCATTTTCTCCCAGTCGAACCTTGGGGCGATGCAGAGATAACAGTAGGTGCAAGAAGCAAGAAAAGTCGAGATATTATTGATAAATAATATATTTTATACACTTACTTATAAATACTATTAAAATAAATAAAAATATATATGTAACAATTTTTGAGATCAAAAATTTATATCTCGCATACATTTTTATTAAATTATAATATAAATACAGTATGAAAAGCATCAGAAAGAGAAAAATGGACGTCTGGTGAAACCTCAGACCAATGAAACCTACATTGGTCTGAGGGTGAAACTATGTTGACAAGAGCCGCAGCTCACCACCTCCGGCCTCGTCGCTCAGCTCCGCCTCGCCGCCGCCGGGATCCAGCCTCACCGTGACTAATAGCAGATTTACATACGTCTGCTATTATTTTATATACTATGTTTGCTTCCGTCAAAAAAAGACAGATTGCCTAAGAGACTTGTATCCAGGCCAGAAACCCAAAAAAAAGACAGATCCTTTTGAAGTTTTAATTGACATGAAATCTAATTGACATTGACAATTGAAATCGATCTATAGTGTTTGCTATTCCAGTGCCTGCTGTGTCGATGCGAATTGCGATGTATAGAACTCTCAAGACTCACACTAGTATCTTTTATAAAGTTTAACTACATTAGCACATAAAATGCTACCTTTACCTGCTGCCTTTACAAGCTTATTGAGAACGCATTGCCCTAGGTTTTTGAGATATCAGAATTATGGTAAGTATTCAGTTTAAGTAAGATAAATATATATTTGAAACTATTCTATGATATAATGAACACCATGTTTATTAAATACGTTTATAATTACAGCAACACGAAAGAGATTTTATAGAGGTACTGGAGTAATTCAAAGTGAAAAGAAATGGGAAGTTACCTTAGATCACCGGCGACTGAAAACACCTAATGGCCAAGTTTTGACTGTAAATAGTGAACCTCTAGCTCGAGCTATTGCGGCAGAATGGGATGCTCAAACTGAAGTTATCACACAACCAACCATGCACTTGGTTTGTATATAAAAAAAATATAATACTTATTCTAAAGTTATATTAAATTTGTCAATCGTAACATAATATTAATTGAAAAAGTAATTGAACCCAAGTTACTTCAGCATCATGAACAATAACTGTGTAATTTGTGCTATTGTTAGCATGTCATGGTAGTGCTCTTGCTAATTCAAAAACTATCTTATGTCAAAGGTTTTAAAAAAATGACACTAAGCATTGTAATAATTTTAATCTTTTAACAGCCAGAGCAATAACACATGAACCGGTGCTCAAAGGCAAGTTCCGCGCAAATACCTATGAAAGAAATAGAGATACCAATTTTTATTTTCATTTCTGATTTCATAATATAATATTCTTTAAGTTTTTTAAGTTTTAAATTTAAGTCAAAAATACACAACCTATTAAGTGCTGTAGTAATAGTAATTATTTGCTGAGTTGTATAACATTGTAATGACAATTAATAAAATGGCACAAACTATGGGCACAACACTATTCTTTATCTGCTGTCTTTACTATTCTACCATGGCATGGGCGGCCTGCCATTTTTATTAATATTCCACTTCCGAAGTAATGACTTGGAACTTAATATCTTTCTTATCGATGTGTTCTTGTAATAAAATATAATTGTAAAAGAAATAAAAAAATTTTTTTCCTGTTAAGGTTCATTTATAGTCTTTATAATATAAATCTGAATGTTCAAACAGATAAGAGTCCATGCACACCACACTTATTAAAATGCTTTATAATATATAAATCTGAATGTTCTCACTGATTAGAGTCTATGCACACCACCCTTATTAAACGCGTCGTTGACGCGATGCATGCGCGTTTGCAGCCTTGTCGCGCCGCTATAATAAACGGCTCTCTATGCTCCAGTGGCATGAGAACATTATTTTTATACATTTTGATTTCTTACTTTTTAATGTCAAATTTCTCAATATCTATAATGCTATATGATATGCTAACAGAAATAAACAAGAATTAGAGTTTTTATTTTAAAGGTATATCAATAAACAGGCTTTTATGTAATGTTTAAATTGTTTACCACTTTTTTTGTCACATACTTGTGACGTCGGCATCCAATTGCTTGTCACATATATTATGTGAAAATGGCGCTTAAAAGGTTAAAGGACTTACATTATACTGACTAATTAGTAATAATTTTTTTGTAGACTTCACTATGCAACACTGCACTTGACAATCCTGGGAAATTAACACCACATGACATTGCAATTTACTTTTTAGAGTACTTTTCAACTGATACTCTTCTATTTCATTCTGAGGTAAGTTACACTTTAATATATAATTAATAACTAACCTCTCGTCTCCTGTTACATGACACACAATAGAAAATACATTGTGTCTCGCTTGTATAATATATAATATAATATAATGTTCATTATTAATTTGTGGAATGTATATTGTATGTTCCTTGAGTTAGTTACTTGTAGTAGTTATAGTTAATAATGAATGAATGAACATGTTAATCTTGTTACAATTGATTTGTATTTTGCCCTCAAGTTGAGGAACTTACCAGTCACAATTTATTGTGAGTTAATATTTCCTCATTATAACATGTTTTAGGAAGAAGAGGAGTTAAGAAAATTACAAGAAAGAAAATGGGGACCTATAATAGATTGGTTCCAGGAAAGATTTGATGTAGTCCAAGAGGTGTCTAAAGGTCTGGAGCCACCACCTGTAACTGCAAACACTAGAGCAGTTTTAGCAAAATATTTTTTGTCGTATGACTTCCCTGCTCTTACTGGTATGTAACCCTTTGTTAGGTTGTGCACTATTTATTAATAGTTGAGTATGTCACATTATGAACTTATTGCTGTATCTAGCTTTTGAATAGCTATTGAATATAAACTTCATGTAACAGATGTAGGTACTAGCCAGTTTTTTTTTTGTGAGGGGAAAATCATCAAATGACTTCTCCCGCCCAGGGTCAGGCGGGAGGGAGTGTCAGACTCTTACTGACTAAAAACCCCCCTGTTCCTACTCCTGCTCTAGGCCGAGGTCGCGGTGCCTCATTGCGCTTACCCCGCAACCCCGGCTGAACATCAGCCCTATAGGGCCCATCTGTGGTGGTCTATTGGCTCTTCGAGGCGCGCGCGGAAAGCTACGCGCCGTACGCTCGGGTCTGGTTCTGGTCGGGCGGCGAGCTAATCCCCGGCGCCCGTAATGTCGCCTTCTGCGGCGGCTGGGGCGCGAGGAGTATAACTCGCGCGCTCCGCCTCCTCCTTTGCGAGCATCACTGCTTCGCAGAAAGAGGTGATAGCTTCCCAGTTCCTCTCGCTATGAACCATGGCCTCGAAGGCCGGGCGCGTTGTGTAAGAGTAAGAGGCCAGTTACATGTTTGAGTGAATGTTTTTTATTATTTACTAGCGGCCCGCCCTCGCTTCGCACGGGTATCTCGCTATCAAAGGGTAACATTTTTCTAATATTCCCCTCTACTTTTCTAATATTTTCTTTGGTTAAACCTTCTCTTGACAATAACAAACACAACAAAAAAAGAATTGGCAAAATTGGTCCAGGCGTTGTTGAGTTATGCGCTTACCAACACATTTTGCGATTCAATTTTATATATATAGATTTACATCACTAACAACTGTCATTACAGATAAAATCCAATTCGATAGTGTAGCCATCAGTCTTACAAATACAAAAGTAAAAACTTATAATCAAATTATTTAATTTATACTAATTTAAACAATCAAAAAGAAGAAACAAGAACATATAAAATACTAAAAGGTGTTATATTAGGTATTGTTTTGTATGTTATATATAAGATCATGAGAGTTATCAAGAGTTTTTGTTGCTACCCTCTCATTCATCATCATCATCAGCCTATAAGTGCCCACTGCTGAGCAAAGGCCTCTTCTCATACGGAAAAGGTTAGAGCATTAATCACCACGCTTGCTCAATGCGGGTTGGCGATTTCAAACTTATAATTAGAAATTATAAGTCCAGGTTTCCTCACGATGTTTTACCTTCACCGTATGTCAGTGGTGTCTAAATAATCATAGAAAGTACATATAACTCGGAAAAAGTCACATTGGTACTTGCCAGGTTTCGAACCTACACCCTCATGCATGAGAAGCAGGCTCCGTAACCTCCGGGCCACCACGACAGTCATTCATGTCTATGTGTATATAGTGCTATCGCCGCGCGCGTTAAATCCCGGCAACAATATAGTATTAATATGCAACGCGAAAGTTTAAAGTATGAAAACTTTTATTGAAATTTGACAAATTAATGTGTTTAGATCAAATTGCTATTTGAAAAACGAAATTCAAAAATTTTTTGGAATTAAATTCAAAATTTATTATATTGTCAAATCAATCAATGAAAGATAAAAGTACCTATGGCTATATTTTTAAATATATCATACTATCTAGGTTACCCCAAAACTACCTAATTGCTGCAATGCTATTACTGTTTTTTTTTTATAAGTAAAATCCAATAATCTTGCTGGGACCGAGAAAAAGATCAGATATCCTATAAAAAATAAATGAAACCTTAGATCGCATAGCATGAGGATCACTCAGACGACGCGGTGGAGCATAAGGTCTGCTTGAATTGAGCGCCGCCTTATCCTTACGCGTTTGGCCTTAGTCGCGGCTATAGAACAGAGTTAGAGGAATTGAGAAGCCGTCTCCTTTTTCTGCGAAGCAGTGATTCACACAGAGAAGGAAGCAGATCACGTGAGGGAACTACACACCTCAAGCCCCAGCCCTTCAAAAAAAAAGACCTTAGGGTATCCGGCTAGCCACAATCACGATCGGGTGGTAAAATCCTTCTTTAAGGAGGGTAGAGTGATGTCACGGCGTTTGTGTCAATTGCCTTTTTCGAAAGCATTCGGAGTTGAATTTGGTCTGAGAAAACGACCCGATATTGCTTAACTTTAATTCAAGTTATCAGAGTACCATTATATCTTGTTCTCTCATTCTCTCTTATAATAGGTCATGATACGCCTTTTTTATAAAAAAAGGCGTGCATGATGTGATGTGTATCATTCGTATTTTTTTTATAAAAACATCGCTTTCGTAACATTAATTCACTATTTATAAGAGAATCATAGATTATTTATAAAAAAATCTCTCACAGCTATGTCATTTGGGGTGGAGGCTCTAAAATCGCCTTTATTGATGCTGGCTTGTGTGGAGCGACGTCTGAATCCAACGGAGGCAGTACTTTTAGCGCGTCTAGAAGAAGAATATCAGGTTTGTTGCTTTTATCTATTGAAAATAACTCTTTTCAGTTTTTCGTAAAAATCCTTGTTTATTTAGTACTAGCTTTTGCCCGCGACTTCCTGCAGATTTTTGGATTAAAAACTATCTATGTCTTTTCTCGAGTTCCAAAATATGTCAGTACCAAATTTCACACAAATAGGTTCAATAGTTTAGGCATGAAGAAAAGACAGACAGGCAGAGTTACTTTCGCATTTCTGATATTAGTTTGGATCATGTAAAGGGATAAGAACCGCTTGACAGTTGGCTCGTCACATCTATTGAGAACTGGCCGCCCACCCCCGTTTCGCACTATCTCTCTAACAATAAAAATATCACTTTCCTAATTTTCCCCTCATCTTTTTTTATATTTTCTAGATAAGAACCTTTTCCTGATAATAAAAAATACAACAAAAATGCAAATACAACATAATGGCAAAAATGGCCAAGGAATTGTTGAGTTATGCCCTTACCAACACATTTGCGATTCATTTTTATATAATGGATTTAAATGTCCATTATGGATAGGGTTGCCACCCGTACTTTATAATAAAGTATTGTACTCTATTTCATATAATTGTACTCTATACTTTATGAGAACAATAAAGTACACGAAAATACTTTATTTTGTATGTATTCATTTTTTTGGGATTTTGAAAAGTCTGTGATGAACAGCGAGATGAAGAGATGAAAGAAACAAAGCGTCTCTGAATTTAATAAAGACTGTAAAGATGTTTTAGTAGAGATACTTATTTAATGCAAACTGCAAAAAGCAATAAAAAATATGTTTTGAAATATAAAAATAAATTGTACTTTATCTTGATCCCATGTACTTTTTTTTCTTACCTATAATAACCAATGTACTTTATTAACTGCAAAAAAAGGTGGCAACCCTAATTATGGACTTCGCAGCCATTCACATTGAAAAAACAATTGTCTTCATTAAAACTTACTTAGGTACCTATTTTTATATACAACCATATAAAGATAGGTACCTAATATTTTCTATAGTCGCCTATAAACAAAATACCTATAACTCTATAAGTACCTACCTACATACGAAATGTCGTTTTTTTATTTTTGTTGCAGTTAATGCGGTGGGGGCGCGTTCCGTGGGCTCACGAGTTAAATCAAGCGGAGCTAACTGCGCGTGTGGCAGCTTCTTTGTTAGTCATCCACAGCTCTGTAGAACACCACTCGGCGAAAGCGAAGACAACGCCTCAACAAATAAGTCAATGAATGCCGTAGACAATTGTTGGTTATCGCGTTTATTTTTTAGATAAATAAATTTTTACTTAGTTCATTGTTTTCAAATATATTTCTCCGATTACCTAACGTCTCCCCTACTCAATATAATGTTCTAGGTCCTTTTTTATGGCAATAAAAGCTATTAGTTTCATTTTGACTGCAAAGCTGACGCGGTGGTTTAGGCAATCGGCTGCCGTACAACGTCCGGGTTGGATTCCCTCACGGAACAGTTCTTTGTGCAAATCAGCACCACAAATTATTTTTCCGGTGTAATATGTATGTTTGTAAACACACCCTCGACACAGACAAAAAATCATGTTGTAGGCAACAAATATAATGATCCTACATTTTTATTGAAACCAACACATAAAAAATACTTATACGGTCGTGTAAGTAGGTATATGAACTGAATACAGCGTGGGATGTGTAGGTACCTTCAGTACTTGTACAAGTGCATACCTTTATATATACCTACGAAGAAGATACAAAGTTTATAGTTTATTGCGGGTCATGACCTAAATTGATTTAACCTATTAACGAATGATAAAATGCTCCTAATTGTGCCTGTAGGCGCACTCAAATAATGGCAGGAAGTTTGAATTTAAAAGAAGTGAGGTCGGAGCACCTTCAGTGTAAGAATGAAATGAAAATAGCAAAAACGAAGTCGCGAAGTTCCTCTAAATATAGCTGGGCGGGCGGAGTGCGGCGCAGTCGCAACTAATCGCCAGTGCCCGAGCGCGACCTCGCTTTGTTCACACTCCACAAGTGAGCGCGATCACTGTTTATCCGCGTACTCTGTATACATTAACGATCGATTTACTTTCTTTAATAAATATCCTCATTGGTCTCATAGGTAATCCAGACACCTATGGGATATTTTTATAAAAAATGGGATCAAGTGACTTATAAATTTTTACGATAAAATGCTGAAATGAGGTTAATACGTTCTAGTTTCTAGATTCGAAGCTTGTTACCCCGATTTGAATCACCACGACGACGTAAGTACCCAGCTCCTGTAGCCAATTAGTGTTGACGGATGGTTAACCTATCTCATCGAGAGTGACCTAGCAGTGTCGCCGCCTTACACCAGTTTGATAGTGTCTACCTAAGTAAAATTAGATACTAGTGTGTCTATATACCTACTCGCTAAGTACCAAAATATACAACTTTTCAAAGTGATGTAATTATAAACAGTTTGGTGTGTGGTAAGTAAGTTAGTTAAATACCAGTATAAATTACTAGTGACAAGAATTCGTAGGTAGTCTTACTCTACCTACCTGTAGTTTAATTTTTTTTATCAATTTAGTGTTGAAAAAAAATGTACCTACTTAGGTTCTTACTGCAGCCTAGATGGATTAGGTTAGGGTATACTCTAAAATTCTAAATACTTAGTTATAAGATGATTCATCAGATGTCATTTAGTTCATACCTACTTTTTCTATGGTTAGTAGGAATAAACATATATTATAGGTACATATATATAATCCAAACAAAGGTTTGTACTTACATATTATTGTGATTGGAGTTGTAAAGTGTAGGCATCTACGTTGCTGGTGGTCCCACATATCTACACATAATGTGAAAGCTCATTATAATAAGTAAATAGCGTTAGGTATAGTAGGTACCTACCTGCTTACCTATCTACACAAATCAAGTTAATATTACTTAGTTTTTCGCGCAGATATATGACTACGCTGCTTAGTTAATTGAAATTAATTTCTTTTTTTTATTAAATTCCAGGGGTGATGAACAACGACGTGGAGGTAGAGGCTCGCCCTCGTCCCTTATCTACGGGCTTATGGACGTTGTTCTCCTGGCTGCGTCGTGACGATCGATCTGCTTCCAGCGAGAGCCTCTCTAGCGCTGGATCTGACAGAACGGTAGCAAGCTTTGCGTTCCTGACACCAGCGCGGTATCAACCAGCAAAAGGACCCCTCGTAGTACCGCCGCCCGGGCCTCCCACAGATTCATATAAAAAAAGAGTGCACGATAGAAACATTCGACGTCACTACGACCGTGATATAACACTACATCGCAAATACGGGCTATTTAAAAGTGAAGGAAGTTGCGGTTACGACGCTTTCAGCTTGCCACCAGCACGAAGAACGAACTCAGAGTCTGGTACTAGATGGGACCGCGAGAGAAGGGCTACAAGTGAGTGCTACCAACGTCGGCTAGCACACGTTCCTGGGAAGAGACGGGCACCTTTGCCTCCTGGAACAACTGCTGGTCCTTCTGCATCTTTACCACGCCGTCATAGTAGAAAACGTCCTGCTCCGCAACCACCTGTAAGGGTGTTAGAAAAAAACAAAGAAATTTTTAAAGAAGCACACGATAACCTCGATACTGTACAAATGCATTCTAACACTTATCAAGATAAATCCAAAGCAAAGAATAATGATGTTATGATGGGGTGCAAATCCGAAAAATATATTAAAAAAGAAGCAAGCAATAAAGATTCAAAAGTTAAAACTGATAAAAGTTTCCTAAAACACATTTTTGACGGTAAAAAGAGGAATTCGTATATAGATACGTCTGCTGTTAAATTACTTCCAAGTATTAGTGAGTTAGATAAACAGGCAGCTGAATTTATTGAAACATGTAAATTAAAGGCCAATGAACAAAATAATAACAGCACGTTTGGCGAGCTCAATGCCCACAGCTCTAACAAAGGTGATGCATGGATCTGTACACTTTGTTTCAAAAGGTATAACTCTTCAATCGTTACTTGTACCTATTGCGTCTCCAAACAAAAATCTCAACCTTCTGAAATAGTAGCAGATAACAAAACAACAGTAGCCAAGGCTTCGAACAGTTACACACAAACCGGAAATGACTTAATACCAGATAGAAAATATGATGCGGAGGATAAACAAAAACTTAAAGAAATGTTAAAAGAAATGAAAGACTCTCTTCCTAAACGACCGAAACATGACTTTAACAGTAAAACAGGAAACCAAATTACTGCGGAGCCACAAAACTTGGGAAAAAAGTCGTTCTCAACAGAAACTCCTACTCTCAGAGTCGGATCAACAATTCACGATGAAATTAAATCAATTTCTAAGCCATCTACGTCAAGTCAAGTCAAATTAAAACCTACATTAGAATCAACACATCCATCAAATAATCCAGTTTCAGCTCAAGCTGCGTTAGTAGCACAAGTGATATCTGCGTATAAAAAGAATGTCAACGATAATGTGAATTTGGCTGCTAAACTTACAACTAAAAATGATATTCCTTTAAACGTTAAACAATCTGAAAAATTGCCCCAAAATCAAGCACCCGAAAAGAATAATTTAAATACACCATTGAAAATATCTTCACTTTTAAACCCTATGTACATACCTAAGAATTCTGTTGTTAATAAACCAGATGTATCTAGTGAAGAACAAACAAACTTACAAAACGCAAATATAGTCGCTGATATAGTTAAAGATACAATCAAATGTTCTCAAAACACAGCCATTATGACGACGTCGACATCTGCACACGTTGGCCCTTCCACGTCACGAGCTACTCCAATACCTGGAGATATCGATATTGAACACAAAAACAAGGAAAAATCAAAAAAAGTGTCTGATCCTTTATTGAAAGCCCCATCCCCGAACATATCAACAGAAGTTGCAAAAATTCCGGAACCAGTAAATACCGAAGAAAATAAAAATAAACCAACGTCATTTGCCCTCCCAAAAGATCAAAATGCAATTAAAACTGTGGAAGCACTAGATCAGCATTCGAGACGTAGAGATTTAATTAATCAATTAGAGAAATCTATTGCCCAAGGAGATGAGCGTGCAGCAGCAGAGGCAGCTGCTAAATTGGCACAATTGCGTTTATCATGTTCAGTGCTGTCATTTTCATCACAAATATTATCTCGACCTTCTACATCAGCAATCAATAATAATGAATTGAAAAAGAGTGCAGATAAACCAAAAATAGCATTAGCGACTGCACCATCCACTTCATCCAACAAGGATTCTGATAAAAATGACAAAAAGGAGTCACAAGGATCGAAGATAAACAATGTCAAAGAGATATCTCCTCCAAAAGTTTCAATTACTAACAACATAACTACTGGCAATATGCAATCAGACGCCGCGACTACGTCACCGGTTCCTAGAACAGTACCCACGAAAGCTTTACTTTTACCTCAAAAGAATAGAGACGAGAAAGTGGTGCACAAGAAAGAAGAAGAGATAAATCCTGTTCCTAATACACATGAAGATAAAATAACGTAAGTCAAAAGTTAATAATAGACACAACCTACAAACGTTCTTTGGGCATTCTTAAAAAATACTGCTAATTTAGCAGTATTTTTTTAATACAGATTAGCAATCTTTAATTATATAAATGTGTGTAATAATCAAAAATAGTCGACATTATAAAACAGGAACAAAGTAGGTAAAAAAATACTAATTAAATTAGCAGTATTTTTTAAGAATGCCTAAAGAACGTTTTGTCGGTTGTGTAGGGCACCTAGGTTAGCTCCCGCGTGATCTGGCAACTAAAAATTATTTTATTTTAGAATAGCAGTGTTGGTAGAAGACCGAGAAGCAACGAGAGGACCTGTGCATCTTCGAGTAAGTCGACGAGCATGCACACGAGACCTTCGCTACGAAGCCGAGAGATTACTCGGGCTAGCACCAAATCTGCAGCGTTGGATTATTGGTCGTGCTCTGTGTGTTAATGATGACACACCTATAATATCGCTCGCGGGTCCTGATTTCAGTGCTCCCTTTTATTTGTGTGTAGTAGAATCAGGTATGTACTTAAGTTAACAAAAAAATCGAATTTGAATAACCTGAGCTGTGAAACCATTGTGTCTTTAGAGAGACCAGAACAAAGACTAGGGTTAATTTAGTCACTGACTCGTAACCAAGTGAAATGTACTTTCTTGCTTCCTTCCTACCATGTGAAATACTGTATTTATCTTTTGAGCGACGGTGGTACCATGTGGTACTGGTACGACCATGGTGTCGAATTAAATAAGTAGGTGCTAGGTAGAACTCTAGCTGTAATTAATCAATGACAGCAATGTAATTGATTTTAATTTGCTTGTTTTACAGAAACTAAATTGGAATCAAACTCCCAACAAAACAAAGATACCGCCACTGCTAAAACGAATAACCAGCAAACAAAATCAAGAGATGTTTATACGGAACTGATGCAACTGGAACAACAAGCTGTAGTTCCTAACGCAGAAAATTTCGAATGTGGGATTTGTATGGAAGAGTATCGTCCGGGTCAAGGAGTAGTGCTCCGTGATTGCGTGCACATTTTTTGCAAAGATTGTTTGTCTGATGTAGTACGCCATTGCGAAGAACCAGATGTTCCTTGTCCAGCTATGGGTTGTCGAGGAATGCTACAAGAACGAGAAATCCGCGCCCTTGTATCTACGGAGGACTACGAGCGCTGGCTAGCACGAGGTTTGGCTGCTGCAGAAAGTGGAACTCGTAACGCATTTCATTGTCGTACCCGAGATTGTACAGGTTGGGCCTTATGCGACCCAGGGGTTCAACGCTTTCCATGCCCCGTGTGTAAATGCATAAATTGTGTACCGTGTCAGGTAACGTACCCATCTTTTAATGCCTCGTTATTGGAGTAGGTACCTTCATGCATAATGGTATAGAATGAGTTTTTATTTCTTTCTGATTTAAGGCTATTCATCCAGGCGATACCTGCGAGCAGCATCGCGCTAGACTTAAGCAGGCAGCAAGTGAGAAAGTCAATGGCAATACAGTTGATGATGGAACGCGAACACTCCTCAATTCTCTTATCAGCAAAGGAGAAGCTCTTGAATGCCCCGAATGCAGTGCTATCATTACAAAAAAATGGGGCTGCGATTGGGTGAAATGCTCAGCGTGCAAAACGGAAATATGTTGGGTGACTCGAGGACGGCGCTGGGGACCGGGAGGCAAAGGTGACACCACTGGTGGTTGTCGCTGCGGCGTTGATGGCAAAAGATGCCATCCGTCCTGCGGTTATTGTCACTAATTTGTAATAATGCAATTCTGAGATCGATATGTTACCAACTTCATAATAGTACTAGCGGCTCGCTCCGGCTTCGCACGGGTCCAATGCTGACACTGGATTTTTCTATTATTTAATGGATGTTATTATGTATACATGGTTGTTATATCTAGGTATAAAACTACCTTTTTAATCACTCTATCGCATCAAAAACATAAGGATACAGGGACAGAGAAAACGACTTTGTTTTATAGGTACTATGTTGTGATACCTAAATAGGAAAGTACCTATATGAGAATGATGGTGTGTTTGAATGTTTTAAGTGCGCGTACGCTTTTCCCTTTTTGAACTTTCAAGTCCAATTCTGAGAACTACTGCGCTAATTTGAATGACACTTGGTAGGTACTCATATGCAATATATCAAGGTCTAAAACTGAATTGCACATTTTCGAAATATTGTTGTATCTAGAAGTTATACACTATTTTAATTTGCTCATACTTCATTTGCGACGGTGCAGACATTGGATCGAATCGATCTATTCCCTACGATATAGTTACACGGGACTGGTCAGCCATAAGCTCCCGAATTTGTCCCTGAATTATTTTCTTTGCCTCTTTAGCAATATATTTATGTTACACTGTTCAAATCGAATAATAGAACCAACTCACAGAGTTGGGAAACTCAATAAAAGATAACCATGGAGTTTCTTGCTCGTTCTTCTCATAGAAAATCTATACTTAGGTACTTTGGAACAAGCTTCAGTGGCACCTGAACGACAGAAATCTCGAAAGTAGAACTTTATAAATACTTTCTAAGAAAATTATTTTTAACTTCATATATTGAATAGTTTTTTAAATATTAAAGAAAAAAAACTATTTTTGGAATTTAACCGTATATGCCAGCATTTTTTTTTACTTTGGTTTATCATCATCATCAGCCTATATAAGTGCCCACTGCTTAGCAAAGTCCTCTTCTCATACGGAGAAGTTTAGAGCATTAGGTAATCACCGCGCTTGCTCTATGCGGGTTGGCGATTTCGAACTCATAATAAATTAGAAATTATAAGTCCAGGCTTCCTCACGATGTTTACCTTCACCGTATGTCAATTGTGTATAAACGAAAGTACATATAACTCGGAAAAAGTCACATTGGTACTGATTTGCCAGGTTTCGAACCCACACCCTCATGCATGAGAAGCGGGATCCTTAACCTCCGGGCCACCACGACATATAGCTATAACAACTACAACACCAACAACACGACATAGGTAGGTATAACTTTATTTTTATTCTGTACCTATCTTTTTTCAAATAAATATAAATCGGTTTTCGAAATCCAAAATTATCACCAAAAACTTAACAACGAACGTTACATCACCAGTCTAGTTTGTATAAATTAGTAACCAAAGTTCCCAAGAGATGGCGCTGTACCTACTTGTGCTACTTACGCTGAATTGCAGTTTTAAGATTTACAATAACTCTTCGGTTCTACTTCTTGTAACAAACAGGAAACTATGGAAGCCTACACGCTAGTCCGATACGCTCTTGGGCTGTTTTTTTTTATCTTTCTGAAGTGGATTCCGTTCCACATATTATGATGGCTCTCCAATTGCACGCCACTGCTCTCTCAGCTCTATGTTCAGCCCTTACCATCCAAACACTGCAAACCATCCTACGGATATCTTCCACGTAGATGGACGCCATTCACTGCGTTACTACCTTACTACCTACTAAAGTTCATTAGAAAAGGGTCTACTAATTGAAATAAATTATCTGTCCTGATAAAACTTAAAATTGAATCTGTTTTTCTTAATTTCACTCAAAAACGTGTCAATGAAGTTTTCAAACCGTAGTATACTTATAGAGTAATAGAACATACCTGTAATCAATCAATCATAGTCTTCTTGATATTGTCATAAATAATTTATTATGATCACAGTATCATATTAGTCTTTGTTGTTTTAGCTTTATATTTCATGTGCATTTGCATTAGATGTTATTACTTGGTATATTTCTGTCAAATAGGTTTGTTAATTAATCAATCAATCAATACCTTAAATATGTATATTAAGTCGATATTATTAAACTTAAAAAAAACTATATTTGACATATTTATCTTCAATGCCAACCCTGTTTTATAACATTGTACAAGGTTTATTGTAAAATAAATACAGCAGACAAAATCACATTATTATTTTTCATTCCTAGATTTTTGTATCTATACTATTACTAGCATTTTCCCGCAACTTTACTTGCGTGGAATAGTGACTTCCTGCAGATTTTTGGTTATACTTTAAAAGCTATCCTATACCTAGACTTCCAAACTATATATGCACACAAAAAGGTTCAGTTTTCAGTATATCATAGTGTACTCTGTGGGTTCAGTAGTTTAGTCAGGCATGTAGAAGACAGACAGACAGTTACTTTCGTATTTATAATATGCATTTGGATTTTATAGAGGTAATATTTTTAAGTTTGTATGTAGGATGTAATCTTTGGAACAGCTGGTTGCTATAGGCTCTAAATAATATGTGATTTGATTATTCAAGTCAAGCTGTTGCTTTGAACCCTGCTGTTTTTAAAATCCTGAGATACATTGCTTTTATTTGGTGCCGCATGTGAAGCCACAGTCTGAAGCTGGTGAATGTGTAATAGGAGATACTGGTAACTAATTTGGTGGATGTTTAAAACCAAAATATGGTAAGTATTTATGAAGATTGCATTCAATTTAAGTATTCAAAATGAAACATATCAATCCGTTTGTATTGTAAAAGTATTATTTTACTCTATTAAATCCAAAATTGCTTTTATCCCATTTAGGTAGTAAAATAAGTTATAGAATTTAAATTAAACCAAGCAATCAATTGAAATATAAATAATGTAGTATTGAACATTTCAAGTCTAGTCAAATAGTTTACTAAATTCACTAGTGCTTTCCTGTGTATTAGTAAATTAAAATGGCTACATCAATATTAATAATGTTGACGAAACACAAGTTTAGTGATGTAATCACAATTTATTGAGTGAGACTATAATACATTTATGGATGTCAGCTTACAACTTTTGTAATATTGCCTACATATTCCCATACACAAAGACAAGGTTTTTATAGTAAACTAACAGTAACACACATCTGATTTCAGAACACACATGAATGTTAATACTTTTAAAAATTATACATTGACTCATAGCTTACACAAAATTGTAAACACCACATTCATTTAAACTTAGGAGTATAGAACCATTTTCAACTTCTTTGAACATGTGATAGATATACTTTTAGAAACATCACTGTAATCAATTATAATATGTAATTATCACTAATTAGTAACACACATTGGTCAATTTTGAGTTTTTAAAGAGATGTATTCACATTGCAGGTATCACACATCCAAACTTTCTAATAACGTCGCATACCAGGGGGACCCCGTCCACCAGGGCCACCACGGCCCATTCCAGGAGGAGCTCCCATCATGCCTGGTGGTGGCCCACCCATCATGGGACCACCTCGCATTTGTGGGGGCGCTGATAGTTGTCCCCGAGAGCCTGGAGCCATATGCTGTTGTGATGGTCCACCTACACCTCTAGCGGGGCCTTGTAAGCCAGGTGGAGCGCCAGCCGGGCCAGCCCCACGACCTGCTGCACGGCCACCTCCAGGACCCCCAATTGCACCCGGTATTGGGACACGAGGTAATCCCTCTTCAGGTGGAGGTGGACCTTCAATAGTCAAGGACACTATATTTTCTCCGCGAAGTAAAACAAATCCTAAGGTTCTTTTTTCTTCTCTATCAGCGGTTTTGCTGTTTTTAGATTTAATTTTTCTGAATTCTTCACAGTCTCCCAAAATTAGATTCATGTGTTTATCGAATGCCTTAAAAGTCCCAATGAACGTCCGTGAGTCTTGTAATATGACCCTTACTCTATAATTTATATGCTGTTGCATCTTATTATTTTTCCCGATCGTCTGAAATTAAGAATAACAGTCATCAGGTTAATCATGATTGTTTGTACACTGACACTGACTAGCCCGCCGATTTTACCGGCATCAAACTCAAACAAACTCAATTGTGTTGTTTAATTCATTAAATAATAACATATTTTAGTCCTTAATAGGTAAAAGGTATAAAATCAAGGTTTACTTACCATTTTTAACGATTGATTTTTCAATTATTCTTTGATTAATAAGAGTTTAAATATTTCGTAAGATTCAATGGTTACATTGACAACCATAGATTACTTAGAAATGACAGCCAGCTGCCGATAGGGTTGTTTGACTTTGTAGTCAAGCCATGGCCATTTTGTAAACAAACTAACTAATCATAGACAACAAACTATCTTTTGTCTACCTGAATGTCTATGGTGTTTTGTTGTTACGTTTCCTTCCTATAATTGCTATAGGTCGAAAAATGCTTTTATTTCAATTGATGTTATATTTTGAATTGCCTAAAAATATTTCGTAACGTGTTCTGTCGTAAGCTTTCAAATAATGGGACCGTTCAGTTTCGAGACGATATGCCTAGCCACACAAGTGTGTCTATAACCTTTTTAACCGACTTCATTATTTGTAAATACAGTTGTACACAGCATTACCTCGTAGATAAAACATTAACAAAACAAATGAAAAATTTACTAAGCCGTTCTTTTATAATTACTGTATGTTGTTGCGGGAACAAAATACAAAAAAGTGAATTATTTCATGTGTACGATTTATTATTATAAAAGTTCTATGATATATTTATATTTATTAGAAAAGTCCATGTAAATAATGACCACAATGTTTAAAAATTTAATGTGTGAAACATTGACAGTTGTGACGTTCAGTCGATGCACGTTTGGCAGGGTCGCTGGGCAACTGGCTGCCGTACAACGTGTGGTGAGTTCGATTCCGACACGGAACAACTCTTTCAGTGATCCACAAATTGTTGATCCGGGTCTAGGTGTGATGTGTGTGTCAATTTGAATATTATGTTTGTAAACGTACCTACCGTAACACAGGAGAGTTCTTAGAGCAGTACAATGTTTTTACAAACCAAGTTCATTAAAGTTTTAAAATAAAATAAAATTATTAATTATTACAACACACATTATAAATAAACTTATTTTTACTTAACACGACATTCAGGATTGTTAACCCATTTAATGGTAATCGGTAAAAATAACCAATAATAAAACTTACTCAACAAAGATACATATTTATTTTTAAAATAACAACTTACGCCCATGTATTAACTAAGTCTACTAGTTTCAATACACTACGGGACTCTTATTCGTATTCATGCAGCAGCGTGCGCGTGCTCGCTTCTATATAACTGGGAGTTCATGTTTAGTCTGTTACTATTTTACACGTCTTTGTTACTAAAGCAGAATCTATAAACCATAGATAGGATTTTTGTATTCTATATCTAGAATTTTCCCTAGATTCTAGATCAAAGATATTTTAAATAGACACAAGATTGTGCACTTAAGCCAAAAAAACGAGCCGAGCGAGAGATACCTATATAGGATTGCGTCCTTCTCTACTACAGTGACTACACGATTTCGTCCTCTGCGGACAAAGGCTAACACACAAAATATTATTTATTATACTATTATTAAATAACTTTAATTACTGCGAGGTAAAATTAATTCATACATGTAAGATAGGAAAACAGGCGTAAGTATGTGTGTCTGTGCCAATGACGTATTATATATAGACACGTCATGAACCAACATCGCGGCGCTTAAAAACGGCGAAAATACTAGATAACTACTTCTACGAGTAAAGAAAGGGAAAGAAAATATGACATCGTATAGTGGAATGCCTTTGCTAGAGGGAGATAAATATACATCTTCAGTTATGCCGACGGCACGTGACTATAGCTTCATGCGCCGGCCGCCATAAGATGGCGGGCGCCGGCGTCGAAAAAAATAAAATAAAAATAGGTTGTTTGGTGAACTTACGCATGAAATGACACATTTTTGTCTTTAACTTTTGGAGTATAATTTGTACATCGTCTGAACACATACGACGAAATGCTTTCTTTATGTTTCGCACAGGTTTACACACTATATAAATTAAAAACAAACGTAGCGTCGCGCGGCAGGTTGGTGCGTAACTAAGCGCGATGTTGTCAATTGCCTTTATTTCATGTTGTCATTTTAGAGCGCGGACAACGTATCTATAGTTTTATACATCATTGGTCTGTGCGGCCACTTTGCGCGAATCGACGCAACTGTGTCGGCACTTTCTGCGTAGTCCGCGCAATATATCGGCGCGTGTACTTGTCTAAAATGACAATATCTGGGAGGTAATGTAAAGCTTTTGGTATCGTTATGAAACAAGGTCCCACTTAAAATACAAATTAGTCCAGTTTTATTTTGTAATATATAATTAATTATGCTTTGAAATCAGGTTTAACTATTATTTTCCCAGTTTATGGTACAAAAGTCGTTAAATACGATAAACAGTTACGGTAGGTAAGCGTGGCACAAATATTATAAAGAATAATTTAAAATTCGAGTGTAGAAAAATAACCAAAATATTTTTCATGGACACCCTACTTATAACATAAACAACACATCACCAGAACACATACCTATGGAAAAATACGTTGCATCCTTTGTATGAATTACTTTTGCATCATTTGACGCAACAAGTGAGAGCCATTTTTATCAAAAATATCACAGAAATCACCGGAATTAGACAAAAGTAAAAATAGAGCGTCTCAGCTGTTTCTCTACAGAATAATCGCCATATTGGTTGTACGCCTAACACCACTCATCAAATTACTACCACAATGCCGAGCTTCAAGCAAATACCAGTAATTCACTAGGTTTAAAACAACACAACGTTGAACAAAATATGTGTAAAAATAATCTTTCAAAGTACATTCGATGATTTTATTTTTAGATAACCACTGAATCAAGAGTAAAAGAATATTAAATTTTTCTGCACCAAAAAATATTTTACGGTTGCAACCCATTAGACAAGGACGCATTCCTATTTCCGAGCATCTCGCTCAGACCGTTTTTCCGTTTAACAAGGTGGTTAAAGATTTTATTGAAATGGTAGTAAAATTCATTTCACGTTGACAATGAATTTGGGCAAAGTGTAAAGATGTTAATGTGGATACACACTTTTTTGGTCACATATGTATATGGGGTTAATCACTAGTGTGTTTAATAAGTAATAATAAGTATACCTAGGTGTATTCACCACATACCCTCAACATATTGGTGATTGCCCTTTCCGTCACTTTTTTGTACCTAGGGATAATAATTTCAAAATGCGCTGAATGCGCAACAACTGTTTAAAAAGCGCTTTAAAATAATTTTAAATTTGCAAATATGGTTTTTAGCGTAGCCGCGTAATTCATAGCCTAAGTATGTGCTTTTTTATGTCATACGTCGGCAAACGAGCAGACGGATCACCTAATGTTAAGCAATCAGCACCGCCCATAGACACTCGTAGCACTAAAGGAGTCACTACAAGTGCGTTGTGGATTATTCGGGTTGGAGTGGTAGGAAATTTAAGAATTGAAGACGGGCAAGGGGAGGAAATTGAGCCACAGGTAACCTCACTTGAGGAGTGGCTTGAGAGACGCCACGGCGTCCTCACCTTCACGGCTTACCGGGCACGGCAGCTTCGGTAGGTTCCTGTTTCGGATCCAACGGAAGGAAACGCCCGAGTGTCGTCGTTGTGAGGACCACCCAGAGGATTCGGTGGAGCATACGGTGGCGGTATGCCCTGCTTGGGCTGAGTACCGCCGTGTCCTCAGGGAAGTGATCGGCGGCGGCGACCTCTCGCGCCCGGTTTTAATCGAGGCCATGGTTCATAGCGAGAGGAACTGGGAAGTTATCTCCTCCTTCTGCGAAGATGGTCTCCGGCCACCGTAAGCGCGGGTCTGCGGACTACGAGTAAGGGTAGCTCGCCGCCCGACCAGAACCAGACCCGAGCGTACGGCGCGTCGCATAGATATAAGAAAAGAGTTTTTTATATTTCTGAGGCGCGTAGTGTTCCGCGCGCGCCTCAAACAGCCAATAGACCACCACAGACGGGGCCCCATAGGGAGTTAATAATAAAAAATAAAATTATTTTAGAAAATTTAAAAGAAAAAAATTCTAATAAAGATACGATACGTTACTCTATTTGTAATAAGAATCGCCTAACCAAATGCACCTATTAGGAACAGAATACTGAAGTCTCTGCTAGAGAAAAATGATAACAGGAGTTTGCATAGAAAAATATGTACTTACTGTAAGTTTTCATAAAATATTATGTCGTCGGGCCTATCAATTTCAATTCTGTATCTGGCGGTGTTATTACGTATTTAGATTTAAGTATTTGCTAAGAAATATTCACAAAATAATCGAATGAAAATGAAACGAGCAATAAGCCTCTTGATAATCAGACTAGACTAAGTAACTATTCTACCTTTTCCCCTTTTTCAATAATTTATAATATGTATAGCAGTTTATTAGCACAATCGACTGTTTGTAGGATTACCTATTTTATTTATAATTTTACCAACAGATAATGCAAATAAAAGTGAGTTTGGTCTAGGCAGGATATTTATTTCATAGTCACTATACCTACACTAATGATAAAAAATAATTTTATCTGTATGTATACTCGTCTTAAATCTAGCTAAGAGTGTGACTTGCACTGTGATGTAGATTAGTATGTAGTTTTAAGTAATTTTTATAATTGTTCAACTGTCTAGCAATCACAGTTCATGAGATATAGCCTAATGACATACCTACCATATAACGGGGTGAATAGATTCACAAAAGGGGTAAGCAGATGTTGGCAAATTTTCCTAGTATCTATTCACCCCTCTTCTGCGTCCTCTCGAATTCTATTCACTCCGTTTCTCAGTACAGCCCGGCGAACAGAAGCGCCTCAGTAATGGGGCTTCAGTTCTTACCTTTTCGCTGTGGAACTCTAAAAATAAGTGTTATTTCGCGTCTGCTTTGAATGGACGCGTTAAATTCTAAATTTATTGGACTCGATTTTTGTGAGACGAATAGAAAGTGCAATACTTAAAAATGTTTTATGTGTATTATATAATACATTAGTAGGTTTACAAAAATATTATTGTTAATTTACTAGAAGCCTGCCGATGCTTCGCACGATGTGTTAACCTAAGATTTTCTTTTATAGGAACCCTCTCCTGGTCTTAGTAAGGACAGCATAAAAAATATCGGCATGCCATGACCAAGAAAAATAAGATTCATTTTGATATACATAACTAAACTAAATATATGGATTATTATTTTGACCACGTGAGCAAAGTCGTGCGTAAAGCTAGTATGGTATTAAGTTTTTAATAAAACGAATGTATAAATACAATATTGTACTTTATTGTAACTTATTACTTATCATAAACATACCTACTAGATTAAATATAAAACTTATATTACTAACAATAACGGCACAAATGCACTATCTTATTAAGTAGCTTTAAGTCTTTTCCTCAACTCTTAAATATTACAACTTCTCATCTCATTAAATACAGATGTTCGCGTTCAGAATACACAACTGCTGTCTAGTCTACACCTACATACATAGTTACCATTGCAATTACCTACACAAGTCGACTCACACAGACCTAACGCTAGCACTACAATCTCATTCATTAACAACTTACAGCAAGTGAATCGAAAAAGCCTGGGAAAATTACTCTAAGAAATACTACATTCGGGATGTAATACGAACATTTTTGTTTATATTATTATATTATGATTACACTACAGTGCCTATTATGAGTCGGATGCGGCAGCTGGAGCAAACTGTATTACTGAAGTGTGCCGCACAGCGGGTATTTCAGTCTCTGTTTGAGGGATTAATTTTCTTTTTCGTGGCGGCAGTGAGGATGGGGCGAAGGTATATTGCACTGAGGTGGTGATTGCTGGTGAAAGCGGAACCGGAGGTGGAGATGCGGACGGTGATGGGATTGATGCCGTCGTAACATTGGAAGCAGAAGGAGCTGTGGGGCACTGAGGAGAAGGTGGAGAACTGGGTGGAGTTGGAGGTAGTTGCTGTAAAGCTGCTTCCACTAAGTCGCACACTACGTTACCGTTCACAACTAGTGAACCGGTGGCTGGAATCTGTTGGGTGCGCGGAGTATCTGCGCCATGTTCTTTATAAATATGGGCCTCCATTTGTTTTTTAGTGTTGAATGTACCATCGCACACTGTACAACGGTAACAACGCTCTCCGTAATGTTGAAACCGATGCAATTTTAACACATGGTTGTAACCGAAATCACGAAGACATATGTCACAAGTGTAAGGGCGTTCACCAGTGTGGGTACGCGAATGCACTTTTAATTGTTTCGAGCAGGTGAATCCTTTCCCGCAGCCGGGCGCCGGGCACCGGTACGGCTTTTCTCCCGTGTGGGTCCGCAGATGGATGACCAGTTGTCCCGACTGTATAAAAGTCTTGTGGCAATGGGGGCACGCGTGCGGCCGTTCTCCCGTATGTATGCGAGCGTGCCGGTGCAATTTTCCTGAGTGTTCAAAAGCAGCGTCGCACACACCGCACCTGTACGGTCGCTCTTTAGTATGGATTCGACGATGCACCTGAAGGTTCTCCTTCACACTGAACATCTTGTGGCAATATTCACATTCAAAGGGTCGTTCACCAGTATGGGTCCGGTAATGACGCACTAGTCTTGCTGGCACAGCGAAAGTCTTGTGGCATACGTCGCAACGATGAGCATCGGCAGTGGCACGATGAGAACGCGCGTGGGCTGTCAGGGCACTGCGGGTGGAAAGCGTCAGCCCACACTCGCCACATTGATGGACCCGTTCCTCTTCGCCTGTCGAAAATTGTTTTACTTTAATAGGTAACAAAGACTCCATTATAATTTGTAAGTTGACTGTCGACCGCAATTCGTTAGCGCCCCGATTTAAACGCGACGACCGTTCTCAGTACGGTGTTTGTTGTGTATGGCATGCAGCGATCAGGAATATCAGGATGCACCAACATAATACGGCCACGCAGGGGTGCGAGCGGTAAGAGGGGAGCGGGGCATAAGCCGAGTGAATGTCCTCTGACAGCACGTGGAGGCCTGCACCGCGGCACTATCGCGTCGAAACCGCGGTGCAGGCCTCCACGTGTTTGGGCCGCCGACCCCGGAGTTCGCACTCACTCAAGTAGATATTCCTCTCTCGCTCACCCCACCCCGCCCCATTTACCGGCGCAAGATAATAAAACTTGTATTTATACTTGTTTTTAAATTCAGAATTTTTATATTACACAAAAAAAAAGCAGTCACTTAAAGAGGTTTTTGCAAATATTTACTTTAGATGTAAATAAAAAAATACATATTCTATTAACATTAAGTAGGTAATAGGTATCTGTAGGTATTTATTACGTTTTTTTAAAGTCATTATTAAAATAAAGAAAATGTAACTAGGTAAATACAGATTCATATTTTTATTTTGCATCGTAACCATGCTGCAAAAATGAGAACATTCGTTGTCTAGTTGCCATTTACAACCCATCTAACGTGTGAAGCGTACTTTACTAGCCCTCTTTTGTTTTTAATAAACCTTCAAAATAAATTAATGTTCATATTTAGTATTAAGTAGGTTCTATTATATCTAGCTAGATCTTACGTTGCAAATAATAGATTAATACAGTTCAATGGATTGCTTTATTTTTAATAGATAATTATGACAAAAAACAAAACAAAATTAGTGTTATATTTCAGTAAAAAGTATCCGATTAAGATATTAAATTCAAATGACAATGTAGGTGAAAAAACTGCTGATACGTACAGGTACCTATTAGCGAACAAAATGTAACACCATACTATAAATAATGTTATTAATAAAAATCCTTACCTATCATGTTATACAATGATGATGATTTTTCTAGCCAAGGTTCAATGTTGTTAATGTTGGCGTAGGTTGTGTACAAAGGTCTGACAGCGAGAACTATAACGACACACTCACTCGACCGACAGCAGCCGAATGCCGCGCTGCGGAGCAAGTCGGAGCGGGCTGGGTAGCGGTACAAATCATAAGACTCAGCGGGGACTACTAAATCGCTCACGCCTTCAACCAGTGCACACTATTACAGAAATGTTCATTAATCTACTTTTCATTATTTGTTAGACACATTTAAGTACCTTAATAAATCCAGACTTAGGTGGTGATGAACATAAAAGTAGTAAATACTACAAAACTCGCAGTCAGTATCACTTTAGAATTAAATGAACCTTTCATCAACGTTAAAAACGGCTTTTTTCATTTCGTACAATCCGCTTTTTAGTTTTATCTTGGGACAGGATACCTGCCTACAGAACTGAGGCTGAGGTCTCCAATTCACGAGCCGTTTTTAAAGGTTATGAACCTTTGCTTGCTGGGTTAGGTACCTACTTTAGCGGGGAAGGGACATAACGCAAAAAAAATAAAATAAAAGACCGACGAAAAAGTAAGTATTCAGCGGTTCCAAACTAACAAAGTATTAAGGAGTAGGTATGTATGTCAATTTGATGGGTAGTTTATTTTTTAAATACATATAAGTAGGTTCATTAGTTTATAATGGATTTCAGTTTGCCAATATTTTCAGAAAATAAATAGTGTTCAGTACACTCATTAAATGTATGGGTATTTGTAATTGTTACACAAGCATAACGCTATTATATCGTATATATATACCTACCACGCGATAGACGGTGCGCGTTTGTTGAAGGTTGGTTGGAATGTCCGAACGAAACGCGCGCGGGGCGCGGTGAGCGGGAGGAGAGCAACGCTAGCGTACACGTGGAGGCCCACCGCGGTTTCGAAGCGCGCGTGTGAACTCTCGACAACAGTGCGCGTGCGTAACTCCCTTACCCCCCTATCCTCTTTCCTTTCCGCACTCTCCCTCTCGCCGATATCTGTCTGTCTAGCTAGGACAACAACATAACGCGATCTATGTTAGGTGGGTCTGGTGACCCGTGAACTAATTACTTCAAGAAATTGCTTGCTGAAATTATTTGGTATAATTAAATTAATAATTAGGTACTTATGACTAAATTAATTTACCAGTAACTTCCTCTTTTCAACATTTACATATTATTTATACATAATTAGTATTTATTCTTTTTTAACTTCAGTTTATGTAGACAAGTAAGTATACAAGTAGGTAATGTAGTTTTTAGAATCCAGTTAATACTGGATTCTGCTAAATTTAAATTGTTTCCCATTAAATGGTGACACAAATGTTAAATAGATAGGTAGGTAGGTATATATAATATCGGCACAGGCAGGTAGCTTATTACGTTGCATTATATGGTCGGTGCATGAATATTGCATAGCTAGGCAAGCACGATTACAGAAATATTTACGTAATTAGATGAGACTATGTTGCATGTATTTTGCACGGTAGACCTGCCTACTCTTTGCGATAAATAATAATAATAATATGTTGTTTTACCTACATTGATAATTTTCATCAGTAGGTAATAGGTATACAAAGGGCCCATCCGGGGTTACAGGGCAAGCGCAATAAGCGACTATGGCTTCGGCCTGGGGCAGGAGAAGGAACGAGGCTGTTTTAAGTCAGGAAGAGTCTGACATTCACCCTGGGCGAGGGAAGTCACATCCAGTCAAACCCTTAGCTGTGCTTGACGATGACGACTAAACAATAGATAAGTCTTTACTTTTGGATACCTAAATCACAGTATAAAAATGTACCTTAATATGCCTTTTGGGTAAGTAAATGATTCTCGAAAATCGAATGAATATTGGAAATCAGTACCTCCCAGATTGGTGCAGGCTGTATTGTATTTTTTTAAACGTAAACACAACACATGACAACACTAACACGTGTACAGTGATTACTCTAAATAGAAAGGTTCTATGCACGTAGGTACCTACATTATTTGCTTTACTTACATAATACATCTATGGCCTTGTTCACCTTGCCATTGAAAATAAATGTCACCGTATTATTTAACCGTCGTTTTAAAAATAAAACATTAATAAAATAATCCTGACCAAACCTACGCCATTATTTTCAGTACCGTAGTTTTAGCTGTTGTGTATTTTGTAAGAATTTATACTTAGGTACGTAGGTATCTGCCTATTAAGCACAAAATACTGTTTTTTTTAAGTTGGAAAATTTTAATTGATTCCATCTGCCCTGGGTGACCTAGGTGGGGCGGGAGAATGCTTATAGTATAGTAAGTATAGGTACACCAGTGATCAGCCCCGGTTTCGCACGGGTACAATCCTGATACTAAAATAATGTCCAGTTTACTGTTTAATGGATGTTATTATATGAAACAATGAATTTAATTTTGCAAATATACGCCATGAAACGGCACTCTTACTCGTCAAATTATATTTAAAAAACTAGATGAAGCCGGCCATTTATATCTGTCGTGTACCTATATATAGGTATAAACCATAAATATATAAACCATACTCTTCAATCACTTTATCCATTAAAAATCGTATATCTAAATTCGTTGCGTTGTTTTAAGATATAAGAACAGGGAAAGCAACTTTATTTTATATTAGCTACTCTCGCGCCGTTTCACCCGCTGCTCAGCTCCATTTGATTGTAGCGTGATGTTTTATAGCCCATAGCACTCAAAAACATTGTAGCTATCTATCGGTCAAAGAATTTTGGCAATCCGACCAGCGGTTCCAAATATTACCTACCCGCTACATACAAAGACAAACATACAAATTTTACCTCTTTAAAATTTTAGTACGGTATAGATTAAGTAGTGATATAATAATGTAGTGATAATTGATACTTGATTATTACTCTTGTATATGAGTAGCTTTTAAAAAACAGTTAGGTACTTTCGTCATCGTTTCCACCCTGAATAAATATTATGTTCACTGAATCAAAGACTATTGACTAGGTACTCGTAGTATACTGTCTACACTGAATAAATTCCCAGCTGGCTCATTTCTCCATTATTATTTATACGTTTCGCAGGTAGTGAAGGAACCGTACGTGGTTTTAAGTCACCGAAGCCTTAGCCCAAAAATTCAATTCTACAGTTAGACTTTGTTAAACATCAAAGATCGATCAGCTCTTGGCTCTAGAGAATATTGCTGGCTGTTCCTCAGTTGCTAGGCCATAATTTGAGTCATTTTTGGGGCACTTTCTTCCGTTTTTTGCAGCTGTTATTTTTGTTAGCAAGGAATTTACTGTTTAGTCCATCATCCTAATTTTCCCAAACAAAGCAATTAGGCGTTATTTTTAATATTGATTTAGGGAACAAGCATTTGATTACAATATCAATCAATAATAAACTAGTATGAATATGATTATGTTTTGGTTCATAATATTACCATAGTGTCGTTATTGTAGGTAGTTTCCAGGTCCTAATAGATTCTTAGTAAGGGTGTTTAAAACAAAAAATATGTAAGTAGGTACGTAGGTAATTATTATTTCACGGAATTCCCCACGCACCAATCTGATACCGGGCACGCTTCTATAGCAGCGGTAAGACTCCTCTTTGAGGAGTGGCTTGAGAGACGCCATGGCGTGCTCACCTTCCGCCTGACGCAGGTGCTTACCGGGCAGCTTCGGTTGGTTCCTGTTTCGGATCCAGCTGGAGGAAACGCCCGAGTGTCGTCATTGTGAGGACCACCTAGAGGATACGGTGGAGCATACGGTACCGGTATGCCCTGTCTGGGCTGAGCACCGCCGTGTCCTTAGGGAAGTGATCGGCGGCGGCGACCTCTCGCGCCCGGCCTTAGTCGAGGCCATGGTGCGGAGTGAGAGGAACTGGGACGCCCGTCTCCTCCTTCTGTGAAGCAGTCATGCTCGGAAAGGAAGAGGCGGCCCGCGTGAGAGAGCAATCCTCCTCCTCACGCCCAGACGCCGCAACAGGCGACAGACACTACGGGCGTTGGGGATCAAGGGACGATTTCCGGCCACCGTAAGCACGGGTCTGCGGTCGACGAGTAAGGGTAGCTCGTCGCCCGACCAGAACCAGGCCCGAGCGTACGGCGCGTAGCGTTCCGCGCGCGCTTCAAAGAGCCAATAGACCACCACAGACGGGGCCCTAAAGGGCTGATGTCCAGCCGGGGTTGCGGGGTAAGCGCAATGAGGCACCGCGACCTCGCCCTGGGCGGAAGAAGTCATTTGATGATTTTCCCCTAACAAAAAAAAAACAATTTACTACATTATTAAAAATGTTGTTTCTTGTAGGTATGTCTACCCCGTATCGCATAGGAATCTTTTTATTGATTGTATAAATGTATCTATTATAGCAATAGCTATCTATCGTACGCTGCTCTCTATTTATAAATAAAACTCATCCACGTGTAAACGGAAAGAATATTGTTTTAATAAACGTAACGTAGGTAAAGTCGCAAGGTGACCCATTTGAGAGGTAGGTAGTACTTTAGTTACATTTCTAACCGGTTAGTAAGTACACATCAAAGACTACCTATACGTATATTATGTATAAATCGTACTGTGTCAGATCAGAAGAAAGATTCGTAGTTCACAAAGTGAACAGTGAGGCGGGCGCAAGCAAGAGGCGAGTGAGGCGGGAGGCGCGGGGCGGAGTACCGACACGCGCTGCACGGTCACCGAACGGTCGAAACCGCGGTGCTGAGGCCACACGGCTCGTGCGCCCGATTCAACCTTCCTCAACGCGACCGCAACTGACCCGCGCCACGGGCCGCGTCGCGTCTCCCTCACTCCGCCACAACCCCCGCCGGCGTCCGCCGCCCGCCCGTGTAACCGCGGTAAAGACGCCTGATTCTTTCGTTTCTATTATTATTGTTTTGTTTCAGTATTGTAAGTATGTGATGTATGCCTCTAAGAATAAGAAGTATAACTATTATATGTATTTAACCACATACATACATATGCAGTTTAACAGACAGATAGTGCTGGAATTCCTGTCAGAGATAAAAAAAAAACTGCCAATAAGAGTAAATCGAAGGAATTAGCTAATTAATACTAAGTTTCATACAACGGTACCTAGTACCTACCTACCTACTTACTTATTGTGTTATAATTAGAAATCTTGATTAAATAATGAAGTAAGTACCGTACTACATATTTGTATTTGAATAAGTTGTTCTGATCATTATAAATAGGTAGTTATTTAGTTATAGATACTAAATAGGTAGGCACAAGTCACCTATCAAAAGGTTCATTACATACTTAGATTTTCAGGTTTTTTTATAGATCCGCCAAAGTTGTTACATACACATAACTAGCTACTCTAGCGCGGTTTCACCCGCTGCTAGGCTCATTGTTATTAGCGTGATGTTTTATAGCTTATAGCACTCAGGAACATTGTAGCTATCTATAAGTGAAATAATTTTGGCAATCCGACCAGCGGTTCCAAAGATTACCCCCTACATACAAATACTTACAAATGAGGTAGGTATTTGTAAGTTTGGTGTTTATAATATTAGTATAGGTAGAATACTAATATAATATGTAGGTATACATCTGTATACCTTTTAAGGTTGTCTTAAATTATTTTAAAGGCAAACACAACATGCATTATTCTTTGAGCTTTTCAGGTTAAATTGTATCTATTGTAGGTTCGTGTTTTTCCAGGTTTGCGATACCTACCTGTTTAGGTAGGTGCCAATTAACATAATTACAGCTTGTGATGACGGATTTTTTAGTAGGTACTGTGAAATAACAGAACTGACGTCCTGTTACTGCAAGCAATTGAAACTTTTCAGAAAAATAGAGGTATAGTATAGGGCCAATTTTCAGGTACCTATGTGCAATTATGCATAACTAATGACTTGGGTACATTAGCGTGCCCCAGGTATTTGTATATACCTAAGTACTTAAGTATCTTAAGTAGAAAGCTAGACTTGGAATAAGAGGATATAAGTAAACTGTTATCTACAATTTTCCGCACCAAAAGTGAGCAACCATGTACCTACCTATATGTATGTAACTGATATCGAACCGATTTAAGTATATTAATTAATAATTAGTGCCTACCTATACCTATGTAATGATTTCTGTTTAGTCCCGAACTATAGGGGACTATACCGTCGTAGCTAAATTAAGTAGGAATTAAACAGGTAGGCGATCATTGTACATTCAAAATTTCAAACGTCAAAACGAAAATTGAACCGAATTATAAATTGCATTTTTTTTAAATAGATACCTAAAGACATTACCCTACACTTCCTGTGTCGTGGGTGCGTTTAAAAACGTATAATTGCATATACATACACCTGATACCCAAACCCGAAACAACGCATAATGAGTTCCTGTAGCCGCATGAAGGGAAAATCCCAGTTTTTTGCTTCATGTAACCAGCCGGTTGCTCATCAAATGTGCCAAACGTGTACAGTCAAAAAAATTAAGGTAGGTATGTTGAAAATAAACAAAACTATAATTTATTATTGTTACTCGTAATTTAATCTTCTTAATTTATTATAGCATATTAATCAATTTAAATAGCTGTACACAGCACAACAAACTTCTTTCGGGGCCAATCATTAAATGAAAATCAGAGAGTGTCAGACTCTTACTGACTAAAAACCCCCCTGTTCCTTCTCCCGCTCTGGGCCGAGGTCGCGGTGCCTCATTGCGCTTACCCCGCAACCCCGGCTGAACATTAGCTCTATAGGGCCCCGTCTGTGATGGTCTGTTGGCTATAGGTAACATAAAGTTAAGTTTATTATAAGCTAAGCCCTACAAAACCGTTGCAATGGCGGTCTAGGGTGGGGTCAATACGAGTCTCTAAACAATACAGTAGGGACATATAATTAAATGAAATTATATTTAATTGTAATCTATAGATGTTGTAACTTGAAATATAAAACTTAGTTAAAATGTATTTCTCTCTGTCTGGCGACACTATTTAATTGATAAGGTATTCTCTTTTTTATACGACTGCTGACTGTTTTAAGTATCACCAAAATAGTTGGCGAATCTGTGTAGGTAAATCTACCAGCAGCCGTTGATCGTGTATTATGGTTGTTTTTTACGTAACTTAATGTTATTCTCTTGGATACGGTAGCGAATTACTAATAAAAGATAGATATTTGTGTTTGAAAGTAATCGGTGGAATTTTGCTTATAATCATTATGTGTATTTTAAATATTTTTTATAGTCTCCTTTACATCTGATTTTTTTATAACCAGTCGTTTTAAATGTTTATTGTAAAGATCTAATTTGAAGAGTTCCCAATTTATCTAAGTTCGTTTTAAATGTTAATGATGTATCTACTACTCGACGTTATTGAATAAATCTAAATAAAGAATGCCTAATTTTGCTACCTACTCAGTAACATAACAACATAAAATCAATTGTTTACTTCGGGCCTAGGCTGATATCTACTCGACTTAACATGCAAATCCTCTTGCAAGTAAAATGTTATAATAACTTATGTAGTATTTTAAGCATAATTATGCTTTACAGGAACCTACCGTCACTATGTAGGTACTATACCAAGGTAATAATATCTACATCGGCGCCACCCACGGACACCGGCAACACCAAAGAAGTTACGTGTAGTGCATTGCCGGCCTTTAAGGATAAGGGTTTCGGATATTTAGACATTGAAAATCTGCAGGAAGTCACTATTCTACGCGAACGCAGTTGCGGGGAGAAACTTGTTATTCTATAATTTAATAATCTAGGGAATTAGAGAGAAGAAGATGGTGAAGTTTCTACTCGGTTCATTTTTTTTAAATTTATATTTATTACCTGCACATTCAACTTTCTTAGGTACCTACTGTTCCTGTCCAATGAACGGTGATACTGCGCTCACCAAATATAGGCTAAGAGGCGGGTTGTTTGCGTCATGCTTTAGACCCATGTTTATTGAATTCCAGTACCTAGTAATATGTAAGTACTTAGATACGCCTATGTACTCAGTTTTTGTAAATGTATAGTCCTGTGTCCTGTATATTTGTATGTATATACTTAAAGAAATAAATAAATGTGCTGTATAAGCATAACCTACGGCAAAGACAGAGAAATACATGCTTTATCGGTGTGCGCAACTCGTGGACGCGTCGAGCATTTTCCTTCTATGCTCTATTGATTGTAGGAAAGTAAAAGTGAGTGAACTTTCGCAAGTTGCATGGCCTTGAAAATCTCATCAGTGCTGCTACAGAATGCTGACATTGTCACCACAAAACGACACTTAGGAAGAGTGAAAATTATACCTTAATTATATTTTTTTAATGAACAAGGTTTTTTAACAGTTGAAAGAGTACCTAAATTTACCCTGGTCGAGTTTAAAGACGACGACTCAACGCAGTGATTTCTTACTTTTGACAGCACGCGGCAGGACACGACACACCATAGTAATACAATATTTATATTCTGGACTTGAGATGTAAGAGGCTAATGATATTATATACCTAAGTAAAATGGTAGGAGGGATAGGTTGCATAAACAACATTCGATTTTTAAAAACGGCACACTTATATACACATGAATAAATCGTATGATACAGATTAAAATGGGATGGCATGATTATTGAATCAGCTCGACTAACCAACGGTTGGTTAGTCAGTTTTCACGGATACGATCCTCTGCGAATACGGTATCTTTTTTAAATTTATTTAATAAGAGTTAGCACAATATGATTCACGTATAAAAATACCAAGTATCTTTCTTATCGCTCCTCCTTCGAAGGGTTGAAAGGTTTTGCTCTTGATGGTAGTTTTTTTAAAAACCACACATGGATTTTTTCATGTGTCGTGTGTACAAACATACGATTGTACATACACATCACAACGAGACCCGGAACAACAATTTGTGGATCACACAAAGAGTAGTTCCGTCAATTCCGTGCGGGAATCGAACCCGCGACAGCCCAGTCACCACGCATACTGTGCAGTCAAGTTCTTCAGTTATCTGTACTTAATTTGCATATCTAATAATTTAAAATGACATAGAAGCGTTTGATTGCAAAATATAGTTTAGTTTTTATAATTCTTACATATTTTGCTGTACAATGCAACCAATCAAAGACGTGTAAAGAGTAGCAGACCAAACATGACATATAATAAAAAAGTATGCTGAACCAGACTCAGGTGTTGTTTATTATGCGTTGCTATTTTCTGGGTCTCCTATTTACAAATAACTCAATTTTTGGGTTTATATTGTGATATAAAAAAATATTTTACGACAGACCAAACACAATATGAATGATTAATTTATTTTAGATTGTATCTGTAATTCTGTATGATTTTTGTTCGATTTATTCTAAATAAATGTATAGTTAAACAGCTCTAATTTTTGTAATGAAGACGCCTTGTTGAGCAGGAAGTGTTCCTTGTGATTAAAAACCTGTAGCCTGAAATGATGTGTGCATATTTGCATAAGTATTGCAGTTACAATTGGTCTTTAATAACGCAATATAGCGTCAATAAGTATTAATCCGTTCCTAAGGCTACCCACTGACCGAAAACCGGCGTGAAACAATCACAGCGTTGTGTTGTGTTGAGGTTACCGGGGGCCCAATCCTGCCCCTCCCCCAATCCCTCTTCATTCCTAAAATCTCCAAATCCCTAACTCCTAACTCGTAGCTCCTTCGTCGTTGCGTGTGTCCATGGGCGGCGCTGATTGCTTAACATCGGGTAATCCGTAAGCTGGTTTGCCGACATATCACATAAAAAAAAAATACTCGTGAACGAGTTCCAAAGAGTATGTACCTAACCTCTACGTTTACGAGTTCCTTCTGCTGGGGCAGGTCGGTCAGGTAAAACCGTGAGACGAAGCTTTTCCTGAACAGAAAAAGGTTAGAGAATTATTGGATTGAAGTTTGGGAATTAACGCATGTTGTGCTATATCTATTTTAGTCATTGCGTTTAAAAATTATTGCGTGTTATGACAGAAAACGACATCTATTATCGCAATGACGAACTATACTTTTAGTGCGGCTACTTCAAAATTATTATTTTTCTTGCATGGCAACCAAGATAAAGTCAATGTCCAAAAAAATATTTTGACAGTGATTGGAGCTTTCTTTCATAGGTTTGACAGGTAGCTTCTTGCTTCTTGTCAAGTCAATCGATGGATCAGTTTTGTAGGCCAGGAATTTTGTATTTTAATAATTAAAACATAAACGGCACTGTCTTCAATGTTTAAATAACTGAAAATTATACTTATATACGGGCCACAAAGACTGTTTTAGTTTTAGTGAGAAATTGAGATTCAATTACAATGATTAGAGCACTTCGTAGGTGGACTTAATCTTTACCTCGATCCAAAATATAAATTGAATCTAATAATTATTTTACAATGGGTGGTGGAGATTTGGTAAGTTTTAAACTCCGCCCCTAAGACGACCCACTGACCTTTACTTTAGTTATAACACGTTTCTGATATGGTGAAAGAATAATAGTCAATGAATTTTTGTTCATGCTATATTGCATTCAGAATATTAACTAAAGATCTGAATCAAGCAGTTTAATTTTGCAGGTTGACAGGCCGTTGCCTCTATTAAGTTACATACAAATTTGTGTTTTTTAGAATTCGAAAAAGTCATGGCACCCAAATACAATGAAAAATCAAGAACGTGTTTGGAAAGCAGAACAGGCTGCGGCTGAAGAGAAAAAGCGTATGGTGGAGTTACAACGCGAGCGTGCAGAGGAGCGAGATAGAGCTGAACTGAAAGGCCTCTTGAAAAATAACAGCACTGCACCTAATAATGACGACCGCTTATCATGGATGTATGATGTACGAACTCTTGTATTATTATTCTGCTGGTTGTGAGTAGTTTTGACTGAATGATTTTGATTGAGTCAATATGTAGTGAGGAACAATAGCAAAATATTACTCCAATACTAAATATTTTTTTTGATTTACAGTTTACTTAAAACTAATTGCCATACTTGTGTAAACTGCTTAATTATATCTGCCTTAGAAAAATAGAAGACTCAATTGCTGTAAACCTGGGCCTTGTTAATACTTTATGTTAGAAAGCAACCAGCTGGTGCTATGCAGTCATCTTGTAACTCTTATACAATTTGTTTTCCTGTTCCAGAAACCTGATAAGAAAGTTGATGAGGAAGCATATTTGCTTGGAAAGTCAATTGATAAGAATGCTGAGCACTCAGATAAGTTAGAACAAGATGTGATACCAGCAGTGTCTCGCCGAGTTGTTGGTTCTAGCATGATGACAACTGCTGGAGATGCACAAGTAGATATGTCGCGGAAGATTCGTGAAGATCCCTTGCTCTTGATAAAAGAACGTGAGCGAGCGGCTCGTGCAGCACTACTAAATAATCCTTTGCAGCGTCGCCGTTTAACTGAGTTACTCAGAAAGGAACAGGTATGATTAGAGTCATAATTTTATCTTGATATTTCTGCAATTTCAGCATTTTGCCATGGATTTATTATGTACAGTAAGCCAAACTCTCTGTTTCAGTACAGAGACAGTGACTTTAACACTAACAAAATAAATGTCAAATCTCATAAAACCTTAGAATTTGTATTTGCTCAATAGGTATCTGTTCAACGGGTACTGTTTTTGAATTGAGACATCAATGCAAATCATTTAGTGTAAATAAAAGTATAAGGCAAACTAAATTATTTGGTTGATTATATACATATGCAGACAGTCTATCACAAGCATATTATTTGTTTTACAGGAATCAAGAAAAGAAAGCAAATCTAAAAAAACACATAAAAAGAAAGACAAGAGCCTTGATGATCTTTTGGCTGCCAAACTTAATGCATTGGGTGGAAAAAAGGGAATAGATTTGGCAACTCTTTTAGATTCTGATGATTCTTCTGATTCATCATCATCTTCATCTTCATCTTCAGAACATAAGAAAAAGAATAAAAAGAAGAAAAAGAAGGCAAAACAAAAAAAGAAGAAGAAGAAGAGAGAACGTAAATATTCTTCTGATAGTGAGGACAGTGAGGAAGATAAATTGTCAAGGAAAAAGTCAAAGAAAGATGCTCATAGTAGTAAGAAGTCGTCTGAACGCCAAAGTGGAGGTGAGAAGGAATACAGAAAAAGAAAGAGTTCTGAGCACTCAGATAGTGAGCTTGTCTCTAAGAAAAGGAAAAAGGAGTATTCAGGAAGGCGCGAACAGGATGATGACGATAAGAAATCACGCCACTACGATACTAAAAGTTCCAGTCGATCTGAAAGACGTCCAGATTCCGTAGATAGAGACAAACGTAGTAAAGAAGTTAGTCATAGAGATCATAAGAAACGTGGTGGCATGACAGAAGAAGAAAGAGCTGCAAGATTAGCAGAAATGGCGGCAGCAGGTGCAGAGCGGGAGATCCAGCGCGGACGACGCGTGGCAGAGCAGCGTGCGGCCGACGTGGCGGACGAGCAGGCCACGCGGGGCCCGCGCTCCTCGCAGCGGGAGGCGCGCGCCCTGCCCACGTCGCTCGAGAGCCGTATCCATTCCAACAGGCATTATATACAGCGTGACAAACGTCACATGAATGAACATTTCGCGCGACGATGACCTCTGTTTTGTATATTAAGGAAAATAAACGTAATAATCACTTTAAAATTGTATTAATTTTAATGTAATGTTAATAATAATATTATAATAATAAATTAATATGGGCTCAGCAACATTGATCCATTTCGTCTGAAGCAACCGACGCAATTAATTGTTTCATGTTCTGTCAATCCAGTGGAATCTTCTCCTTTACAATCTGCAACAAATTTATTTATTAATTTTATTGTAACAAACTGTCACATTTGTAAAGCTATTGGGATAGAAATGGTTTTTTGCTGCAGTAGAAAAATCTTATCTAACATATTCAAGCCCAGATGATTTTGGTGGCCGGTTGAGGTCGACTGCAATGACAAACATGAGAAGAGCGTGAGGGTCCAGGAGGTGGACCCTCACGTTCTTCTGCAATTCTGCAACATCTAGCTAGCTGGTTTAGTTTTTTGATGATTTTGCCCGCCAAAGTGCATACAACACAAAAAGGTACTTTCTTTCAGTTTGCTAAAAGCAAGATACATATTGTAGATGATAAATACACATGGTGACTTTGTGAACAGTAGTTAGTCATTTTTTAAACAGATATATATTTAATGCATTAGTTGTAGAGTTAAGTAACTGTTCATTTAGGAACGTCTAGATAGGGTCAGTACCTAAAATGTTTTTACTTAAATTCTAAAAAAGAAATTAATATTTTTTTCGACAAATGTTAACATTTCCTTTTGATTGTGTTTTGGCACAGAATAATTTATTATGTAGAAGTATGAAGGTGGTACGTTGTTGTAAGTAATTAGACAGTCTTGTATGTCCATGTTTACACGAGGCACGCCGTGCCTGTACCTCGGCACACATCCCGGCATAGATGGGGTCAGTGTCCCATGGACCGCGCTCGGGCAGCGGCAGCGCGCGGCGGCGCAGTTCGGCCACGAGCTCGCTCACGTCCATGATGGGGATCGGGTCGAGGCCGCGCGCCAGCCCGGCCAGGTACTCCACGTAGTGCGCCCTGTAAGTATAGCGTGTGTCAACACACCTCGACGAGGGCGCGCTTGTAGAGGCCGTCTAGAGAGCCGTAGGGGCGCGGCGGTAGCCGGAACGCGGCCCGCCGCACCAACGTCTCCAGGTCATCTATTCCCAGGATCGGTAGCGGGTCGATGTTGCAACGGCGAACCGACCGACTCAGGTATTCCAGGTAATGGTTCCTGCAAGCACATGCCTCACTCACCGCTTCGCTCGCCACGACCGACATCGTCACATGTTGGAGTTGTTATTTAAGGGGGTCACACTTCCTAATTAAACATTTTAGCACAATTTTTTATGCTTCCCTAATACGCAATACCCAATTGGTAAGTTGGTGGGTACTTCAAACTATTCTGTGCTGCTATTATGAGCGTAGTACCTAATTTGAATGTGTAGTAGGTATCTACCTCGTAACTTGAACAGCTACAGTTGTTTACAGCTATCAAATTTAGTTTGACTTTTTTTAAAGCTGCCTAGCAATTTTTATATAAATAAATTTATTTACTACCTACAGGTGTTTGCAATACTTGGTTCTTGCGTAGCATTCTATCATCATTATCTTGATCGAGGGCGTGAGCGTGTGTAGGTAACATGGAATTTGTTAAAAACCCACTTATGGTACTATTCCTAGATCTAGGATAATTCCTAATGATTTGACACTCACTTGCAGAGTCCCGCATAATTGGCGGGTGCTTCACTGCCACATGTCCCGTCTACGAGCCCCGTCGGTGTCTCTCGTTGTAGCTGCACGGGGCACCGCCCAGTACTGCCCTCTGAGGCATTAGTCTCGTATGTCACGTTGTTCATCTGAAACATTTCAATGTCATTAAAGTCAAAAGTCAGTATAAGGCAATTTTGATTGTCAAATACAGCGATGAAGTTATTTATAAAGGTCTGCCCTTTAGTGGAGCTATTTCACTGTTTGCTGTCCTTAATGTATAGATTCTTATGGAGAAGAACGAGACATGGTTACCCTTTTACAATCAGTTTCACAATTAAATTGTTACATTATTAAGTTGGGCAAAACATCATTCTAATAAACGTACCTTGTCGTGATCACTCCTGAGTAAAGGTCTATTCTCTCACAGAAGATATTAGCATTTATTACCAGTCACCGCAACTGCTTAAGGCGGATTCGCGTCAAACTTAATTACCTAAATAAATATTAACTTCACAATGTCTAAGACATTGTGAAGTAAATATTTCTCCAGGTTATCTCAGAATAATTATATAAAGCCGGTAACAGCTCGGAAAATGCACATCTTTTCCGAGTTTTGCTAATTTAGATTGTGCGTGTGTACGCACTATCCAATTTTCTATCCGTACTTTCATAGGTACAAATAGTATCCGTACTTAAACTTCGAGTCACTACGGCATTACGGGTATAAGAATAAACTGACTTCTAGTTGACTGTGGTGACTGCTGTTAGATTCCAACACCAACATTACGCCAAAGCGGAAGCGGCGTTTAGAGCTGACCAGTCCTAGTTAAAGGCGCTTGTTTAAGAAATTGATATGAACACCAGCACAGTTCAATTCAAACATATTATAGGGAATCGAGCGATCCAATGCCTGCGCCCCCGCCAATCAGGCCTTTGTTTGAGCGCAAAAACTCCAAGCTGACACAAGTACTTTACGGTCTTCTACGCCACAATAATAATATTGGTATCTTTAAGGCCTTCGTGAAAGAATTCGCGAAGACGTAAGTTATACCTAAAGAACAATGACGCCATGCCTTTGACAGCTATTACAATGTTAATAGAAATTACCTGAAGTAAGGTTTGTAATTCATGTGGCTCTTTATCTCTTAAATAAAACAAACAGTTTCTAGGATGATGTGCGTGAAGGCCTAACTTGGCGCAGTAGTCGCTCAGGCCGCATCGTGCACCCATGGTGAAGGGCTTCCCGCAACCGTAGCAGAATTCATATTTGCATTGTGTACACGTGAAGTGCATACAACCTCCCCTGAAAAAGTGAAATTACATATATGTACCTACCTACTTACATCATAAGTAAATTACAGATTCATAGCAGAATATATAAACTAAAAAGTACCTTCTTATACAGACGCTTACCTAGATAAGGAGTACTTAAAGTGACACCGTGGACATTCGAGACCATTGTCTCGCAAATGTTGCTGTATCGCTGTCATCGAACGTTCTGGATCATTGTCCTCCAACCACGCAGTGTATTGCTCGCAACTTAATCCTTCGTGATTAGAATTCCACTAAATAAAAAATAAGACATGATTAGTATTACTTTTTTACTGCGTCGCTTGAACCAAGTTTAGCAAAAACTTTATTTTACTATATTCTTACCGGTTTTCTACAACCAGCGCAACTTATTGATCTACATTCTGGACAACGTATTTTCTTTTGTTTTGGATGTACGAAAAACCCTGAAGAACATTCCATACACCACCTGAAGTTCGGATCACGAGCTAAGGTGCGGTCTCGTAACTGTAACCAAGCACGTGGGTAAAGGTACAAAGTTTGCTTAAATATGTATAATAACATAACTTTAAAACATATTTCATTAAAATCTTCGTATTATAAAACATTAAAGTAAAATATAAGTACTTAATATACCGAAAATAATTCATGCTTACCTTTCTTTGAAATAACTCGTGCACATCTACGTCAAGCAGGGTTTTTAAAAGTATATCCAAATGTGCAAAATATTCGAGCCAAGCATCTTCAGGTAGACTTTCCAGCTCTGGGAGTTTACAGTACGGGCAGACACAGTCTGCTATACTTCGTTCCGTTATTTGTACGGTGAAATAGTGATGTGCGCATTCACGACAGCAGCGGTGCGTACAACGCAACATTGAAACCATCTGAAAATGTAAACGTAACGTATATTTGAAAATATGAATTACTGATTGTAACTAGCAGTTAAATAAGTATGTAAAACTTACTTCATGTTCCGGAAGTCGAGATGCACAAAGTTCGCAGTCTTGGTATAAATAAGCGAGAGCAGACGACAAATCAACACATTCAAGTGCAGCTAACAGGGCCGCCGGTGGTTCGGCTCCTCGGGATATGAGTTCTACAGCGAGCTGCGCCTGCTCCCAAGTTTCTGTAGCGCCTTCTGCTAATAGCATTCGTGCTTGTCTCTGAAAGTTACTTACATATTAAATTTGGTACAAACGGTCCAGCTTGACACATTCGATATTTTTTAAGGTGTGATATTACTAACCTCAGGTGAGCCTTCTGGAAGTCTTACTTTAGCTAAATCTATGATTTGGCCTGATACTCGCCGCACTGTAATTGGCGGAGGTGGTGACGGCGGTGACTGCTTAGGTTCTTCAACGGGCCTTATGATTTGCATCTGTGAGTCGTCCGAATCGCTGTCAGTCCATTCGTCTTCTGTTCGACAAGTTTCGCGGAAAAAGGGTTTCTTTTCTTTTGGCGTTGTCAATATCTTAGATGGCGAAGGCTGTTTCTCTTGTTTCACTTGTATAGGCGGAGGCGGAGCTGGTTTCTTTTTACTCATTGTTGAAGTGGATGGTTTTACGTCTATTGTCTCAGATGATGTAGGATTTTGTGGTTTGACAGATACTGTTTTGTTGTTAAACAGTCTAGTTTGCAATTGTTTTACATGACCACTTTGAATATTACCAAAATGAGATTTAGGCGGAGCAGGTGCAGGATATTGTTTAATTGATGTTCGACGCACTGGGACTTTCGAAACGATTAATTTAGGGGAAATTTTATCATTCTTTATCTTGTTATTAGGTATGACTCTAACTAGCTTAGGTATGTTAGACTTACTGGCTATGGTGTTTTTATTAATACTGTTATCATTTGATGAATTTTCTGGAATTTGTACAATATTTTGGCCATTAATAGCTTCTTCTGAATTTGTGTGTGTATCTCCTATGGAGTTTACGCTGTTGTTATTATTTTCACTAATATTTAATAGTTTCGGTTCTGTTTGCTCATTCGCATCTGGAAGTGATGACTGAGGCTCCTCTACATTTAATGTTTCAGGAGCAGGAAAGTTATCAGGAAGTTCGTTTTCGGCTTCTGTAGTTACGGCCTGTTTTAAAATAGGTTGTATTTCTTTTTCGGGTGATTCTGGTTTAACTTGTAGTTCATTTGAGTTGGTTGTAAGTTCTTGACTTGTCTGTTGTTGCGTAGTAACCTTGACAGAGCTAGATTCTGGAACAGTTTCTAATTTAGCATTTAAGATAGGAAGCACATTTTCAGAAATAACTAATTTAGTTGGAGTGATTGTTTGCATTACAGAGAAGATAAGTGCCTCTCTTGCAAATAGTTCAATGTTTTTGGGTATTACAACCTCTTCCACGTTGGTATTAATTTCACTTTTATTGCTGACGCTTTTATCAACATTGTTTTGTGTACTTAGTTCTTCATAAATTTCCTCGAAACTATTAACGGCGACAAAGACGTTGTTATTCATATCCTCTTTCTTTAAGGGCACTGGAACGTTATTTTTTATAGTTTCATCTACTTCTACGGTAAAAGTATGTTCTTCTTGTAAAGTACGAGCGATAGAATCTAGCATTTCTATATTAGCATGTTTAAAGTCTTCTAACTGATTTTCTACATGATCTAAAGCTTCTTCAAAATTGTCATTTTCTTCAGAGCTTGTCATATTACCCTGCATAGCCTGTTGCTTTTCAGAAGGACTTTCATCTTCAGAACTTGTCATTTCTTTTTCATCCGATGTCATATTTTCCGTTCTTTCTTCAGTGTCGCTATAGCTGGATTCTTGTTCATCGTTTGTTTCATCAGTGCTGGATTCTCCTTCACTTTGTGACATGGTTCTATCGTCAATGGAATTTATATCTGAATTAATTTCTTCTTTCATTTGTTGAATCAGCCTTTGTGTGGTATCAACAATATCATTAAGATTAGATTTTTCTTCGATTTGTCTTTGATTATTTCGGTCAGAAATATTTTCTTCAGATTTAGTGCTTTTTTCAAAATGACTAGTGTTACTGTCAATGGCACTTTTGTTTTTATTTACATTTTGAGCATTTAAATTAAGGCTACTAGCGTTTATTAAATGTTCATTGCTGGAGATTTTGGTGTTACTTTTATCTACAATATTTTTTTCATTTTGGTCGCTTTTTGTTGGTGACTTTCTATTTTGGTGAACTTTTGATGATTGTTTGTTATCTATGATTGGTTTTGAATTTGTTTGGGATTGGGTGTTTTGAATAGTAATTTCATTTACAAATTCTGTTCTACCATTTGTTGTTCCAACAATTATTTCTTCGTTTCTTAGGTCTTCATTTGTGACTATTTTGTTACCATTAAACGTTTCAGTACTATTTATGTTACTATTAGTTTTGTTTATATTAGGTAATGGACTTAACCTCGTTAGGGCATTATAGGCATCTATGAAATCATTTTCAGATAGATCTAGATCTATTGATTGTGGCTTTGGACTAGCACTTACATTAGCTTGGGGTTCAAACAGAGGTTTTCCTGCTAACAGTCCCTGTAAAAGCAGTTTTTCATCAATAGCAGGAACTCCGGCTTCTTGAAGGAGCATTTTTAATTTTTTTGCCACATCCTCCTTGTTTTCAGTAGTGGATTGGTCCTGGTTCTCATTATTTTCTAAATAATTTGCCTCTCTTTCGTAATCATTTATATTAACGTTTAGTGGTAAGTACATCCAGTCGTCATCTTGAAATCTAGGCGGTGTCGGTGCTTCAAACTCATCTGAACTATCTTCTGCTGAAATGTAAAGTGAAGGTTATGACGTGGTACGATGATGGTGTGATCTTGTAATGCAACGATAATTTATTGGTTTGTGGTTCGTTTGAGATTACCGCGCATGCGGTGAGAGTGGCGTGATGAGGAGCGAGGAGGAGCTGCGTCGTCATCTACGCCAACAGGGGACCCCCAAACGTGTCCACGTAACCTGCCTTCCTCTCCGACGCCCATAATCTCCGTCTGTAAGAACATCTCTATTTAAAACGATAAATATCCCAACGCTGCCCTCTCAATTCACATAATATGCACGTGAAAATTGAGAAAATACAATTATTGGAAAAAGAAGCAAACAATGTAATTATTATGGTACGAGAGATATAAATAAGGTACTGAAATCCTTCATAAGCTTATGTGTAGAATGATATAAAATAAAATACTAAATTATATAATAAAAAGAAATTTAAAACTTGTATCAAGCGCGAACTTTGCAAACAAGCGTACTAAATATAGAGTTCAAGCGATATCATTTTAGTTATTCAAATTACTTTTGAACACATTTTAAAATTTAAGTTTTTTAATATCGTCCTTTACTGCTTATGCTACAGCTCCAGCACCTATTGTTCTCGCGCGCGTCTACAGTTTGCGCGCAGACGCGCGTCGCCGGGGCGAAGATCCTCTGCCGCGCCAAATTAGTTCGTGGCGGAATGAGCTCCGGCGAGATCTCATGGCAGATCGCAACCGAGGGCCGGGCATGCTACTATAGCAGCGGTAAGACCCCTCTTTGAGGAGTGGTTTGAGAGACGCCACGGCGTCCTCACCTTCCGCCTGATGCAGGTGCTTACCGGGCACGGCAGCTTCGGTAGGTTCCTGTTTCGGATCCAGCGGGAGGAAACGCCCGAGTGTCGTCATTGCGAGGACCACCTAGAGGATACGGTGGAGCATACGGTGGCGGTATGCCCTGCCTGGGCTGAGCACCGCCGTGTCCTCAGGGAAGTGATCGGCGGCGGCGACCTCTTGCGCCCGGCCTTAGTCAAGGCCATGGTGCGGAGTGAGAGGAACTGGGACGCCGTCTCCTCTTTTTGTGAAGCAGTCATGCTCGCAAAGAGAGAAGCGGCCCGCGTGAGGGAGCAATCCTCCTCCTCACGCCCCAGCCGCCGCAACAGGCGACACTACGGGCGTCGGGGATCAAGGGACGATCTCCGGCCACCGTAAGCACGGGTCTGTGGTCAGCGAGTAAGGGCAGCACGCCGCCCGACCACAACCAGGCCCGAGCGTACGGCGCGTAGCGTTCCGCGCGCGCCTCAAAGAGCCAATAGACCATCACAGACGGGGACCTAAAGGGCTGATGTTCAGCCGGGGTTGCGGGGTAAGCGCAATGAGGCACCGCGACCTCGGCACAGAGCAGGAGAAGGAACAGAGGGGTTTTTAGTCAGTAAGAGTCTGACACTCCCTCCTGCCCGGCCCTGGGCGGGAGAAGTCATTCGATGATTTTCCCCTCACAAAAAAAGCCCCTATTGTTACGGCGGACAATAATGTCGAGAACATTCTATCTAGTACGATCAGCTATATATGTAGCTGGCTCAAGAACTGACTGACTTTTTACGTCATAGTACCTATGTTTTTTAATTTCATCTACCTCGTAATCTTATATCAACTCCCGGGCGAAGCCGGGTATCATAGCTAGTATAAAAGATAAGAATGCTTGACAACATGTTGGTCGGGTTTCTACGAAACAATGCAGTCATCAGTTGCTCGAACTCCAAGAACAAATATTTTTTTAATTTTATGGCAGTGTAAAAATGTTATGGCATATATTTTTATAAGTAAGTATAAAAATAAATATTCGTGTGTACCTGTCGTTTGTGTCTTTCCACACACTCTGTCACGGCTGGCCACATAGCTCCTCGATGCCTAGCGAGAGCGGCTCTCGCTTCGAGTTCTGAGATAGCAGCGTTTGGTGCTAGACGTGCCGCGGCAGCACGCACGCCCGCACATAGACTCGGCCAACGTTCCCGCAACCAAGATAATGGCGATGCTGGACTTTGTGTTAGCGCTGCTTGCACTTCTGCAGCACTAAAACCTAGCCTTTCTGCTTCAGCCATCATTTGAGCTAACTCTATTCCTCTTTCTGCTTCTCGTTTGGCGCCAGTTCCTGCCAGCGCTTCAAGTGAAATTGCTCTGCTCGACTGACGTTCTGGAGATGCTGCCTGAGAAGGAATTTAAATATTTATTATTAAGTCTGTTAATTTTAATTTGTACATATTTAACATTTTCTAAGAGATATAAGGAGAGTACTTAATACCGATTTACCTACCTCGGAACCATAATAAGTCGATCGTCGGTTAGGGCGACTACGACGAAGGTCTAGATGTGATGCACGACGAGATAGTCGATTGTAACTATCTCCCCATTCACCCCCAGGGCTACTGTCACGTTCGCGCCAGTCCCATCTGTTGCCTGGACCAGCGGTGCGGATGCTACGGTCGCTTTCCTGCATAGAATATAAACATTTTTGCTGTGCTTAACGTACCTAATATAAAACATATTATAAAGTAATTAATCTACTTTACTTACACGTGTATCACTAGACATGGAATGTCTACTTTGAGATCGCTCTCTTCTGGCTTCGTCACGAAACCGCCTGCGTGGTCGCGACCGGGACACAGATGATGCTCGTTCCCATGCGTTTGTATTCGGTACTTCATATGTCTGTGAGTGAAGTAGAATAGATGAATAAAGCCTTAAATAAATAGAGTCCAAAATGCCGTATCAATTTGATGAATGAGGTATTAGTTAACGAGGCACAATTAATTGATTTTACCTGCGTAGAGATACTTTGTGGAGGTGGTGATGTACCAGTGTTCGATACATTTGTCTTACGTCGTTCAATGGCGTCTCGCGGTGGAGACGTGCCAGTGGACTTTTTTTGGGTATTTGTTGAAGGTTGTTTGGACGGTGCGTTAACGTAAGTATTGTCTCGGGGCGGTGAAGGTCCCACAGATATACTGTGTCTCTTCGGGACTTCTGATCGTGGTGACTGTCTGCTGTCACGATATGGGGAAACTCTCATCGTTTTATTTGTGTCTCGTGGAGGTGATATCTCTGTGCTCATGTCCATATGCTTTGTACCATTCCGAACTTCCCGGGGTGGCGAGGGCCCAACTGCCATGTCATGCCTTCCTTGTAGCTTGTCATCGTGATTATTGGCACTTGATTCCCTAGTTGGTGTAACAAGTCGATTTATTTGGTTTCTTGAAGTGTTCCCTTCTCGAGGCGGTGATGGCCCACAGCCAGTCGAAGTTCGTTCTTTTTTCGATTTTGTTTTAGGTTTTTCTACCTCTGGAAATAAATGCAATAAAATTGTTATATTTTTAAAATCACATAAATTAATTTGTAAATATTTTAGAATGGGTAACATGAGACAAAAAAACGTATTTTTAAAGTAACCTAACCTAATCTAACCTAACACGGTCATTAAAGAACTAATTGTCATGATTGATGAAAGTTAAACAGTATGCATCACAGGATTCATATTTTTTTAATGCATACGATATCCTTTCCCCCCTTCCTCAATCCCCAAATTATCTATCCTTGAATTCCAAACAACCCACAAAAGCTCGGCAGCGCACTTGTAATAACTACATTGGTAGGCCTTATGAGTGTCTATCATCATCTGTATTTGATTGTATTTTGGAGACTTTCCTTGCAAATTTTAGGATTTAATGTATTTTTTTGAATTGCTACAAAGACAAAGATCAGTTAATTCACGTGAGTAAATTGTTATTTTTAATAAAATGAGTATGTCTTACGATAATTACTACTCAAAAAAAGATATAGTCTTAATAAGTCACTTTTTCATCTACAACGGTATAACAGTTAGCTATTATGTATACATCAGTTTCTTTTTTGTGACTGTATCTTATCTAAATGCAGGTTGTGTCAAACGTCCAAATTCTAGAAAAATTAAGAAATCCTGACGATTGTTTAAATAATACTAACCTCGATCATATCGGGGTTCCTCAGAAGTGCGAACTGGTGAGGGAGATTGTTTTTGTGCTATTTTCAGTCTTTCCACATTTTCGCTAAGCTCCTTCGTTATGGTTTTAGGCACTGAAACGGGAGTGCGGCAGCAGATGGCACACACTCGTACACCGGGCTCATTGACAAAAGTGCAGTGCTCACATTGCCATGAAGAGTTTGGTGGTGGAGGAGCAGGTCCAAGAGAATCTTCTTCTTTTTCTTGCGGTTTATTAGGCGGTTCGTGATCACTCTCACTCTCACTTTCTGAGTCGGCATCACTTGAAGGCAGTGGCGGCGGCGATGGTGTACGATGCTTCAATCTTCGAGACGTGCGAGACCTCACACTCATAGCCGGAGACGCTGCACGGGAGCCAGCACGCGATGCAGCGCGAGATACTGTACGGCTCTCAGCTGAAATATCAATATTTTAAAGTTTAACATTTTACTAAAATGGTGTTTTGGGGCAAGTGTCGCGTGTTTTCATTTGAGACTTTACGTACTATAATTACCTACCTCTACGATATGGTTGAGGTGTTTGTGGAGGTAAATGTGGATGCGGCTGTACTCCGTGCATGGGATGGCCAGGCGTGCAGCATGTTGGCGCCCATCCGGGGTTTGTGTTCGCCCAGGGGTGGTCAAGGCTGGCACAGCTGCCATACCGCCATGGAACTGGGGCGCAATGAGCGCAGCCGGTGCAGCCAGTGGCTGCACCACCGCCTAGTTCGAGTACAGAAGCGCCGCGGCGTAAAGGCCGACCCCAATTTTGCATTGTAGGAGCCATGTTGTCGGAATTATCCCACTGGTCAGCTGGCACGTGCTAAAATGTATTTATTATTGTCAATGTAGTTCAGGGTTGCTATTTTAACCTTTCAATAGTAGTTATTCGAGACACAATAGTAAGACAAGATTATAAAAAAACGGATATCAACATTTACCATATTCGGATGTCCGCCAAAACCTTGTAGTGATCCTCGAGGACGATTCCAAGCAGTATTCATATGGGATAGTGTGTTAGACTGCCCTGGCACTGCAGCGTGATGACCCGCGGCAATGTGCATGTTTGTCGGAAGAAACGGCATGCTCCCGAGGTGGTTCGGAGTGGGTGTTGTAGTCATTTTAGTTTGTAGATGTAGAGGCATCTGTTGATGATGTTGGGGTGCCTGGATGAGGTTGGCAGGCGGCACAGGGGATCCCGGGCTGTGCGCTCCCATCATCATAGCCGCATGGTGCGGAGAACTAAGGGTAGCTCTCCTTTGGTCTAATACTGGCGGGGGTTTAGGACTAGCGCTCATTCTATCACCGCTTATCTGTACATTCAGAGATGTAAGTAATTGATTAATAAATAAACTAATGAAAGCCAATTTTGGCTAATAATGTCAATTGTACCTTGTGTTTACGCGGCGGTGGTACTGGAGGCCCTGCCTTAGGCGGTAACGGTGGCCTTTCCTCGCGCAACTGTGTAGCCGATAGAGCCTGCAATATAAATATTTTTTTTTTATGAAATTGTTTAGAAATGGACGTAATGCAAATTCGGACTGTTTTATAACTTGCTCCTGACCTGTCGCTGATGATTTCTCCTTTTGGGGTGACGGTGATACATGTCATCGCAAGAGGCACACAGTGCGCGCCGTCCACATTCAGTGCAGCGCACGCGTGCACCACCACCTCCACAAAGACCACACGATGCGCCTGCATCGACCGGGTGACCTATAAACGGGAATTTTACCAGTATTTGAGAACACAAACAAATAAGCAATGATTTACCCATTGGATATTGTTTTTATAAAACGTTCATTTTTCAAACTTTCGATTTTTACATGTCAAATGGTGATAAATATTTAGTGGGATAACGTTGTTGATATTATTTATTCATTAATTATTTATTTATTTACCTTATAACTTTCAGGGAAATAATTAAAAAGAAATGATTTAGTGGATATAGAGACTGTCGACATTTCCATAAGGGGTTAGCACCTTATGAAAATACAATACAGTACAGATCGTAGGTTTTCAGTTTAATACTAGAGACGAAATATTTTAGATTGTTTGCTGTTTTTGTTAGCTCCACTGTATGTTTGACTGTCACGTATACTCCTTAACTGTGTCATGTATAAATTAAATCTGCACTAGATCTACGGGCGCATATTATTATAAACATTTCTATAAATTGATACAAAATATTTTAGTTTTTGCTGCCAATCTAAGTAAGTACGAATTACGAAGTAAAACAATCGTCAATGAAAAAACTGTTATGAATTATGAATTTATGAAAATAAACTGTGTTGCCGTACTTAGCGTACCTAAATAACAAGTAAACTGACAAATATTTTTGCATAGCTAATCAGACATTGTTAAACTAGCCATTAATAAATGATATTGTAGAAGATCTTTATAAACTCTTACTATCGTTAATTAATTTGAATTTGTACAAACCTGTGGGCGGTCGTGGCGGCGGCGGTGGCGGCGGCTGTATTTTCGCATTGACGTATTGGTCACTTGGAAATTCTACAACTTCGTAATCAGGTTCAGGCCTGGTCTGTGGTACCCGATGCATGGATGTTGGCGTAGTCGGGGGCATCGCCCCACGTGCTAATGCGGGTGGACGCATTATTTTCGCGAGGTGCGCCGGCGGTGGCGACGCCACGTTGCGTGGATCCCGTCCGCGACCCTTCAGCATTTCTGTACATACATAACACGAGTGGTACGATACAAAAATATGAGAGTATGACTGAACATTTTCGTTATGCACACAATAACTGCATGTTTGAGATTTCGAGAGACTGTAATATAAGATTTGTTTGTTCAGGCTACTAGCTTTATAAATGTTCTCAACAGTGCAACATACCTATCCACTTATGTAAACTTTCTTGGCTAGACACACCGTATGTTTATTCCAGATTGAACTGTGTTTTTTTTAACCGAAGTGCAGGTTTAGTTCTGTGTTTAAGATGTTATAATATAGATATTATTAACATTTGCAAACGGCAGCTGTGACCGGGATAGAGCGGGCGTTGCCGCGTCGTTGACGCCTTGCCGACCTATATTCCGCCACTCATATCCCAAAATATCGAAAGTGTGTTCATTCTATGTAAATAACAATTAGTAGATAAGTGTATATTCGGGAACGCTATCTGATTATTTGCTACTTCAGCCACACTTTTTTGTCTTTACAGCATCCGAGTTTAAATAACTTTTATATCTTACCTCACCGGGTAACACTTGATATAATAATGAAACGGATTTCTATGTCATGTCACTAAACGGAAGTGTTCACTGTATTTTTGCTCCAGAGGCCATTTTACATAAGCATGCAACTGCGCACTATGTCACTGCACTCGCGGCGCCAGGCCCGGCAGGGGCAGCTCGCTGCACGGCTCCGTGCTACACTTTCCTCGCAGCTCGAGTGGCCGGCGGCTGCTAATCGTGCTCCCTATGCGGACGAAATTGACAGCGGGAAGACGCGTGTGCCGCCGCCTCTATTTCTGTCCGCGGCCGCGTTGCCCCGATTCTACTAAAATTACGACGCGCTGCTATTTCCGCACTCATCCCAATGCCCCCTCTAGCCGGAGTCCAAATACCTTGCGAAATTGTTTCTCAATATTTATCTAGTAGCGATAAAAAAGTTTTTTAGATATCATCAAATCGCCCATTGAAATCATGTTAACAATAGTTGTATATATTATTTTTCGTCGTCGAGCTTTCTAATAGAACAAAATATTTTCTTTAAGGGGTCCAAATTATCAGTTCCTTATAGCATATTAGTTTGCTTCTAGTGCTTGATGTCTCTCCGAAGTTATTATCGCAAATAGGAATTTAAGACCTAAAAATCTTATCCAAATAAATTACAGTTAGCATTAGTTACTTGGAACTACTTTTTACCAAAGACTATTTTGGTTTAAATTGTAAACTTATTTGCTCCAATGTTCGAACTTATTTTAAAACAAATCAATCCGTTTCTATGTCAACAATGTTGTGTCATTTTGATCGCATTTCATTGTGAAGTTTTTATACTGCAGTATGGAAATATTGCATAAGTTCAAAGAAAATGGTTATTTTACTTCGGAGTTATACCATTTACTTGCTAATAAGAAGTTGGTCGATGGTTCGACTGAGGTAATTTCAATTTGTTACGATTGATGTGGTTTAGATTGAAATCTTTAGATTAATTTATTGAATCAGTCAGTTGTATCTACTTGTTAACATAAGTTTCAATCTTGTAGAACTTATAGTAATTCTTTTCTTGAATAGATTATACCTTCAGAATATGAGAGGGAAATGAAAATGTCTACACAACAGCGTCTGCAGACCTTACATAATATAGACATAGAAAATCTGATGACGCCGCCGGGCAGAACACCCAACAAGATCGTGTTATCATTTACCCCGAAACTGCTCGTGTTCCAAAACTTCAAGCCAAATGATAAAATTGTTGCTAAATTTTCTGTTAGAAATATAAGCAAGGTTGGGAATTTTGTTAGTTTTGTGCTATTTTTATTTTGGATAACTTTCTTCTGATGAAGCATTGTATCCCACAGGGACCAACTTTTATCAACTTAGTTTTCAAAGAGTCCTCGTATTTCTTTATCAAGCCTTGTGGTGGGCAGTTGCTGTCGAGGCTGGCGCCAGGGATCGGTGCGACTTTTGCCATTACCTTCATTCCCGTACAATATGAGGACTACATACATCGAGTAACTATTAGTACTGATGTGGACCAATACGTCTTACCTCTCATCGGTAAAATTAATACTTTACTTAAGTATGGAATAATTTAAAATATAAAAATAATGTGCGAGCTTATTCTTTTCAAGCAATGGGCCCTAGACCAATTTTTGATTTCCCTGATAGAATTGATATTCCAAAGATTCCCTTGAAAGTGGAGAATCATGTGTTGATGAGTGTCCATAATATTGGCATGGTGCCTGCTGGCTTTACTCTCAATTGCAAATGGTATGTCGGTTAACTGTTACTAAATTATACTGGGAAATTATTATAAATGGTCTGATAATGTATTTCGAGAACCTAAATGTCTATTTAATTCTTTTTCAGCCCATTCTCAGTGCATCCAAAGTCAGCTTATTTAAGCTCGAGTCAAAAGGTTGATATCGCTGTATCATTTAAAACAATGCACTTGGGTGAAGCTCATGGAATATTAAATGCACTTTTTGAAACTGGTAATGTAGTTATCGATGCGTTATTAGTTTCAGATGTCGATGATCACAAGAAGGTTGATTAGCGTAGTGTAGAAACGTGGTAAATATTGTGTGCTTTTTATCAGGAGAAAACTTTCGAATAATGTTATCGGGAACGACCCATACTGTGAGTGTCGAACTGGAGAAGCAAGTTGTGCGGTTCTTTGACACCTACAACACTATGATGCGGCAACAAACATACAAAGTGATCAACAAATCCGATCATATGCTTACGTATATGTGCATGAAGAACGATTGTGTATATTATGGCACGTATTTTTTATGATTTCTACTCTTTTCTACGTGAATTATTTGGGTCTATTTGTTGGTTTGCAGTAAGAAGTGTGTGTAAGTATGATGTATGTACGTAAAATCTATCTGTTGTTATTTCAAACTTCATACACACTTTAGCTGATAACATGTACCCAAATTACCCGGTCAAACCATGGCCAGATTTTCATGGGGTACCTAACTTCGTATGTGTATTGTTGTATATTTTTCCTTTTCCTGTTTTCCGTTTCTCAGTTTCTAGCAGAAACATTTGACTCGAACTAAATAAAAGCAAATAATAGTCATGAAATAATGAGAAAATACAAAACGCCCAACTTACTTCTACCACAAAAGACCTGGCCATACCTGGGTTGTGTGATTTTCACTTTAAAGTAATCAATATGTCTTCAGATTTCGAAGAAAAAGTAAAGTTAGCGACAATATTTTATAACATGAAAGAAAATGAATCTGCAAAGTACAGGAAGTTGGTGCATTATGACGTTTTGAGCAGCAACGAGCATGAAAGAGTGTACACTCGGATATTCCTCGATGAGATCCAGGCCCTGATAGCAGACGAATCGTTACTCTTTCAAAATACACACTTCTCCATAGAACCAATAGTGAGTAGATGGGTTTTGTGATACCTAAGTCCTATGTTACATGACGTCATATCGTAGCCATATCAGAAATCACAAAAAAGGAAACATTTTTAACGATAAGATTTCATTATAGAATATATTTTATATTAATTCGCAGAAAGGAAAGTTGTGGCCAAACAAAGCAACAGAATTGACTATAACATTTTGCCCGAAAGAAATCGGAGAGTTTCAAACAACAGCTTATTTAGATATAGACGGTTTCGTGGACCGCGTGCCGCTGAACTTGGTCGGCATCTCAATGCCTCCCTCCATACATCTCAACGTTGAAACTTTGGATATGGACAACGTGTACATTAACAAGTCCTATAACTATGAAGTTGTTGCCATTAATAAAGGTATTTATTAAAATTTGCCACTGATGTTATAATCTTTGCAAATACATTCAGTCAACAAAGTATCGGGAATGAATGTTTTTTTTATGGTTTCAAATTCGAATTTTTTTTTTTTTGTTGTTGTTAGATTGGCATAACTGTTTTCCATTTTGGCGCGGAATTTGAGTTGCATCTGTTATTTATATTAAAAACAGTGCTGTTTTTAGTTTTATAATAATTATCTAGTGTGTATTGCGAATTCCATAATGGACAAAAACATCGAACAAAGAGTTTGTCTTAAATTTTGCATCGCCAATAAAATTTCGTGTTCGGAGGCACTCAAAATGTTACAGAAGGCTTACGGTGAATCGATTTTATCAAAAACACGTGCTTATGAGTGGTACAAAGCGTTCAAAAGCGGTCGAGATGTGATGGAAGATTTGCCTCGTTCTGGTAGGCCATCAACGTCTGCAACTGAAGTTAACATCGCAAAAGTGAAGGAAATAGTGACTGAAAATCCTCATTCAAGTTTGAGAGAGATGGCCGCCGAACTTTCTGTATCTCACGAATCGATCCGTACCATTTTAATAAATAATTTAGGTATGATACGTGTTGCCGCTCGGCTAGTCCCAAAAGACCTGAATTTTCTTCAAAAACTAAATCGCATTAAAGTCGCTGAGGACATGCTAGAACGAGTCAATACCGACCCAACATTCATGAAACGCATTGTTACTGGTGACGAGACGTGGGTTTACGAGTTTGACATGCAAACTAGTCAACAAGCTTCGGAATGGCGCCTCCCAACTGAACCAAAACCGAAAAAACCACGTCAAAGTCGATCAAAAGTCAAAGTCATGTTGACTGTTTTCTTTGACTATCGCGGTGTTGTGCACTCAGAATTCTTGCCCGAAGGTCAAACGGTAAATAAAGAATATTATTTGAGCGTTATGCGGCGTTAAAGAGAACAAATTCGACGAAAAAGGCCAAAAAATGTGGAAAGAAAATTCTTGGATTTTGCATCACGATAATGCGCCTTCGCACAAGGCCATCATTGTAAACGATTTTTTGTCCAAACACTCAACAAACACCATCGAGCAGCCACCATATTCACCAGATATGGCTCCAGCCGACTTCTTTCTTTTTCCCCACACTCAAATTACCCCTTCGTGGCACCCGTTTTCAATCGTTAGAAGACATAAAGGAGAATTCGCGGCGAGCACTGAACTCAATTCCGGAAACAGCGTTTAAAAAAAGTTTCGATGATTGGATTATTCGTTGGCGTAAGTGTATCGTTTCTGAAGGAGCATACTTTGAAGGTGATAAAATAAATTTAGATGAATAACAAACATTTTGTGTAATATTGACTTTTTCCCGGTACTTTCTTGACAGAGTAGTATATTTGAATCAATAAGATTTCAATCAAAGAATTCAATTGTTACTTATCTATATTACAATACTGTTGAAATCGGATGATAGTCTTTAAATATGTATTAAACTAGCTTCCACCCGCGGCTTCGCCCTCATAGTATGTTTATAAAAAGTAACCTATGTCCTATTCTGGACTGTATCCAATGCCTGTGCCAAATTTCATCCAGATCCGTCCAGCCGTTTTGGGGTGATTGAGTAACAAACATCTGATCATAACTTTCGCATTTATTAAGATAATAGTAACGTTTGTTAATTATCGAAACGTTATTTTTTTTAAGGTCACATAAACGGAGTCATACTGTATAAAGAAGTACCATCACTGTTTGGAAGCAATATATCATGTTCACCAGAACTGCACTGTTTGAGACCTGGGGAGAAACAAATATTCGTGATATCATTTTGTAACTCCAACCAGGGACCATTCTTTGAAGAAATCAACTTCACTATCCGCGATACAGATGTAGTTTTGAAACTGTATTTGAAGTAAGTCCAAAATGTAATTTTGTGTTTTTGACTCGCAGTGCCAAATATGTTTAAATATGCAAAAATATTTTTATAATTCTCTTTATTTTCAGAGGCGAAGTAATATACCCATCAT